CAAGGCATCAATAAGCATTTAATACCCACTGTCCACCAGATGCCAAACTATGTGTTCACTCACCAAACGTACACTCCCCTGGAGGGAGAGACCGTGACTGTCCTGATTCTACAGAGAGCATCTCAGAGAGGGAAAGCAACCTGCTGAGGTCACGTAGCTCTTGACAACTGAGCTGCAGGCTGTGTAGCCACACATTCAGGGCACTGGCTGGCTCTGCAGATGGCTTCTCAGGACATCAGGGGCCCAACAAAGTGATAGGCAGCCCTGGGCTCCGGCCCTGTGTCACACTGGGTCTCCTATGACACCCAGAGACTGAGGCAACTCTGCACAGCACTTCTTTCCAAGTCCAAAGGTAGCATGGTGTCCAGCGTGGGTGGAATGACTGCTGTGGACTCACTCGTCTACTAGCTTTCTTAGCCTGTGTTTACAACCTGCAGTGGAGCCCCCCACACCCTGTACCCCACACCCTGCATCCCACATGCAGCTGCAGTCCAGGGCTTGGAGACAGTTGTCCTGGTCTCCAGGGTATTCTCTTACCTATGACAAAGAGAGCCAGACCTGGCCTCCAGATGGTTCTCACACTGGTAGACTGTGTGCTGGCACTGAGGCCAGCCTGGGAAAGGCTGGGTACCTCGACTGGGTGTGCATGCCTCCACTGCTCGAGTCTGTAAACAGATGCCCTGGGCCACAGGAGGGCCAGTGGCTCCCACCCTTGCTGGCTTGATTCTGTTGCCCACCCTGTTCTGCCAAGCTGCTGGGTCTGAATCGAGGCCTCCGAGGGTGAAGTTGCTTTTCCCGTCTTTCCAATGGGCCTTCATTTTAAAATCTGCAAGGTTTACTTACTTTCCGAGAAAACATTTAGTGATGAAGCGCTTTAAGCTGCCTGTGTGTGATGTGAGATTCTTACACCTCACTCAATAACAAATGACTCACTAAAAGTACCTGGGATGTAAAATGTGAGATTCTGCCAACCCAGCCAGAATAAATCTCAGACATCCTGAGCCAGTGAGTCAAACAGCGCCCTTAGCTGTGTAACAAACAAGCATGTCTTTCCCGTCCTAGCAGGTGACCAAGGCTACCTGCTTCAAGTATCGCAGTTTTTTTCTGCCCCAACCTGAAGCCTAGAAAATGCACCTGGTTTGAGCCTACACACCCAGTGTCACCTCACCAAACTCAAAATTTCATTCTGCCTACTGCCTGCCTTTCCTCCCACCCTCTTTCCATGGACACCCTGTCCCTGGCAGGAGACCCTCCGAGGGCTGAGGGCTGGAGATCTAGCCCCCTCACACACACACCCAGGATGGGTGATGTAATCCCACTTGACCCTCAACCTCGGACTTTGAAAAGATGCAATTATATTTGACAGTGAGCAAAAGCCCTTGAGAATGGGCTTTTTGCCAGCCATAAATAAAAGAGACAATTAGCAAATAATAGGCTTTACTGTGTGGCCTGAGGCACCCTCTCTCTCCCTGGGTTAGGAGCTCTGCTTCCCCTGTCCCTCTGAGGGAGGCCAGGGCTCTGGTCAAGGTCACTTGCAAGCAGCAGAGACCAGCCTCTCCACCCAAAGCCAAGGCTCCTCCTGCTTCATAGCAGAAGCACCCCACTCCCCTGCCCCATGCCTGGTGTGCAAGGTTTCCAGCCCACTTGCCTGAAGGTGCCGTTGTCCTTGTCACTGTTGTGTTTACTATTGGCCAGCAGTAGCAAAGCCAAGGGTCAGAATGCCCCTGCAGTGGACAGAAGCACATAAGATGCTGCCCAGTTTCTACCATGAAGCTCTTGTCCGAAACAAGTGAGTCCTCAAGTCAGTTTGCAAGAAGAAGGATGTTGGCTTTCAGCATCTAATTCTGTAAAACAAAAAGACCTAAAGGTTAAAGAGTGAGTCCCACCTGCAGGGACTGTAAGATCCCCAAACAGACAGAGGTCCAGGACAGCTGTTTGCGGGAACAGAACCCAGCACTTGGACTTCCTGCTGTCCTCTGTCTAGATTGAGCTGTCCCCAACAGCTGGCCTGCCCCCCTATGGAGTGATGGTCAACTCACCCCTGAGAGACGCCCCACAGGGACGGCCTTCCTAGGTGGCACCTCAAGAGCTGCGCCATCTGCTCCAGCTGCTGCTGTTCACTGCACCCTGATGTGTGGGGCCTAGAAGGAAGCGGCCCTGGGAAATGGGAAAGGGTCCTGAGCTCAGCCTCTCCACCACTCTCCCCACCTCAGCCATTTCTCACTCTTCCCATCTGTCTCTGGTGGGGTCATGGCTGAGGTCCCTTGATCACAGAACATCGTCTGTGCTGCCTTGTGCTCACACAGAGAAACTCTGTAAAGGCCAGCTTGCCCTGACCTTTGGCCATGTGGGGAGGGGTGACCCGCTTCCTGCCTAGGGCATCTGCATCTGGAAGCTCGGGTAACCTGCAGGGCCTCTCTGTCTCCTTCCGGTGCTTCTCCGAAGTACAGTTCTCCAATGCTCTTCTTATCTCCTACCTACAAAGTCAGGAGTGGACGAGGAGACTAAGAACACTGTCATCACAAAGGGCAGACTCATCCTGTCATTCTCCAGTGGATATTAAAAGTAGGGAGGAAGAAGGATTACAAATGCAGTGAGAGAACGCGAGAGCCACCCAAGTCTGCTGTCCACCAAGGCCCCCAAGAGAACAGTGATCACCAACACTCCCATGTGTCCTCAGCTACAGGCAGAACCTTGGGTGGCCAGTGATCTCACAAGATGCGCCTGAGGAGGACAGTCCCAGCACGGTCCCTGCAGCCATGAGCAGGGTGGGGTGTGTGGAGTCCTGTAGGGTGAGGGCCATGAGGCCCTGCCCAGGTAGGATGGAGAAACACTCCTGAGAGGAGGCAGCTCACGGGCACTATGGAAGATCAGGGTGCCCGCAGGACCTAGTGCTTCACAGAGGGCAGGCATGCCAAGGCCCGGCCGCACAGCTGGTGGGCAAAGATGCCCCCTGGGCATGCCTCAGTAACAGCTGACATCAGGCAGTCGAGGCAGAAGAGGACACGGTGTGGTCTTGTGAACCTGGGAGCATTAGCACATGTTCACTGGGGAGTGTGCTGTCCTGAGGACACTGCCCTTCAGAACGCTTTGAGCCAAGTCCAAGGATTCTTGCAAGATTGGCCCTGTTGGAAGCCTTGGCACTCAGATTCTCTTTCTTGTGTGTGTAGGGGGGCGGGGGCGGAGTTTAGAAGTTGCCTGGTGGCAATCTGTAGACTCAGGGCAGATGTCCCCAGGATTGTGGCCAGATCCAGGTGAGCCTTGACCAGCCAAGGGCCCAGAGTTGGTCTCCAGAGCTGGGGACCAGTGTCTGAACCATCCGTGGCTGGGCTGCGGAGAATTTGCTGACTCACAGAGGCACCATGAACTTTCTGGTAACTCCCAAAATGTGTCAAAACTTTAGGAAGACACTTATCTCCCATGGGCCTGTTTCAGTGACACACTTCTCCTGGGATCAGCATTGGGTTTGAGGGAAGGTCCTACAGGGTCAATCTTGGTGAGAGGAGGAAATTCCAGGTAAAATCTGCATGGCCACCCACCCAGGCTGGGCAGCCAGATCAGTGACCTCCTGTGAGTGTCCCACACAAGGTGAGGAGTGTACAGGCTGTAAGTCACCTGGAATTTTTAAAGGTGTCAGACTTTGGTGGAGCCATCTTGTCTTGCTCTGTATTCCTTGTGCACTCCCTCCTCCCCCCATCCCACTGTGATGTGTGGTTAACACTGGGAAACAGGTTCAGGGTGCTGAGCTGTGCATAGGAGGCCAGCCTGATTTCTGTAGTCTGAACGCCAGCACTGTGCTCCATGTGGCAAGAGCAGGCATACTAGTGGCCCTGACCCCTCCTCACCAGCCCAGGGCTGTTAGACAGAATTGGAGGCAAATCAGTCGTCAGTAATCGCTAGTCAGGGCAGCTGGCAGTTCACAGGTGCCACCCACAGGACTGGCTTCCCTTGTGCTCAGTGTCACAGGGTCCCCTGCTGTTGTGTGCAGGACTGGAAGAGCAGGATTTAAGGCCAGTGCTGTGCAGATGGTATCTGCTGCCTCTGTTGCAGCTCTCAGGTTACAATACCTCCCGACCCACTTCCTCAGCTGCTGTGGCCCAGGTCTTCCTGTTAAACCCCTTGCAAGTCTTATCTGAGCTGTGTCACTTAGTCTCTGTGACTGCTGCTGTGTAGCAGGAGCAGTGGCAGATTCTGCGTGTGACAGACAGACATCCAAGCTTGGCTGGGAATGAGGAAGCCCCCAGGACACTGACCCAAGCCTGGCCTCTCCCTGTGCAGTGACATAAATCTTTTCTGTAGTCTGATTGGCTTCCCTTATGCTACTGCTGGACCTTCCTGCTTCTTGACCTGGAGGGGCTGGGTGCTGTCCATCCATCCCGAGACTCCTGATCAAGGGCTTGTGGTGGACTGAAGAGCAGAGTCATCTGCCTGTCCCTGCCAAGGTCAGGGATCAGGCCTGTTGCCACTGCCCTGCCTCACCAGGGTCAGGTGCACGGTGAGGCCAGGGGCAGTGCAGGACCTGGAGTACCCGTGGGTGTCTGTGCAGGCTGCGAGCTCAGTGCAGTGGCAAGTGTCCCTGTTGACCAGCAAGTCGTCAAAAGGCAACAGGTGAGAGCCTGAGTAGCCTGGATGTCTGCCAGGGCGCGGGTGGTTGTTTACCTCAAGTCAAGCCCAGCCCTATCCTCACCTCTCCGTGTGTCTGTCTCTCTGTCCCTCTCTTCTGTCTCCCCCTCCCCCCTCCCTCTTTCTGGCTGTATCTCTTTCGTTGCTGCTCGATATTGCTTACACACATTTTAAAATTGATGGTGAGTCACTCAGCACGGTGCAGTGTTTTGTGCTCTGAGAAACAAAGGCTTGTACGTATTGGAAACTGCCACGTGACCACCTGCCCCTGGGCGTGTGTGGCCGTGAGGGCTCCCGTGGGCTGGTCCCTGCGGGCAACACCTGTGGGTGTGGGACGGGGTTTCTGCCTGGTGACAGCGCTTCTTCTCTTCCCCCAGATGAAATCATGCACCAGGACATTGTCCCGCTCTGCGCCGCTGACATCCAGGAGCAGCTGAAGAAGCGCTTTGCTTACCTGTCTGGTGAGTTCCGGAAGCCAGGGAGGGGCAGGAAGGAGGGGCAGCCTGTGGGTCAGGGCCTGGTCCCTTTGGGCCTCATGTGTCCCAGGGTGGGAGGGGGCAGTCACTTTGGGCTGTGCAGCCTGCTCTGGGCCAGCTGTGGCAATGGGCTTCACTGCCCTCGGTGAATTGTGCAGCTGTGGCCACAGGAGAGTGTGGCATGGCTGGATCTGGGTCCTAGTCTGTTTTGTGTTGCCTATAACTCAATACCCCAGAAGGGATGAGTCAAAAAAAGACGTTTATTAACCAGGTGGTGACGCACACCTGAAATCTCAGCTACTCAGGAGGCAGAAGCAGCAGATCATGAATGTGAGGCCAGCCCAGGCAAAGTTAGGGAGACCCTATCTCAAAATAAAATAGGAACAAAATGGTTGGGGACATGGCTCAAGTAGTAGGGTGCTTGCCTTGTAAGTACAAGGCCCAGTACCGCCAAAAAAAAAGAGGTTTATTTTGTACTTTGGCTCATGGTCTAGGGCCAAGGGCCACATCGGATGATGGCCTTCTTGTTAGAACAAATAGCCTGAAGCTGGTATGGGGCATCACATAGAGAGAGACAGGGAGTACATTTGCACACGTGTGTGCGCATATGTGTGTGCATCTCTGTGGAGGAATGTAGTTGTGTGTATCTCCGTCTGTGTGTGCCTGTGTATATGTTTCCAGAAGGAAAAGGAGGCCTGGGGCTGTGGCTCAAGTGGTAGAGCATCTGCTTAGCAAGTGCGAGGCCCTGAGTTCAAACTCCAGTACCACCAAAAAAAGCCTGTAAGGAGGAGTCACACAGCATATTCTCCATTTGGCTACAAAAGTCAGAGAGGCCGCCTGGCAAGAGTGTGGCAGGCCCGGAACCAAGAGCAGCCCCACTGGCTGCCAGCAAGAATGGGGGACCTTGTTGCCAACCATAAGGAGCTGAACTCTGCCATCACTAAAGGGATCCTGGAAGAGGCTCCAGATCAGGTGATGGAGCCAGGCAGACACCTCACCTCTGTTTCTTCTCTTAGCCTTTGCTGAGCCCAGATGGCAACTGTGAACTGATACATTGTTACCAGATGAGTACACTGTCTGAAATTTGTAACTCTAAAACTGTTACTGTCTCCTGCCCAGGCTGGACCACCTGGGCTTTCATCACCTTAATGCAGATTCTACTCAAGTTATTTAGTAAAACCCAGGAGGATGTCTGCCTCTGTCTGGCTCCCAGGCCTCACTCATCAGCAGGCTGGGGCTTTGCCTGAGCACCCATGTTCTTACTGTGCTCTGGGTGCTTCCGTGCCCGGCACACCAAGCTCTGCTGGTTGTCGTCCTTCTTCCCTCCGAAAGGCTCAGCTTTGTACTCCATGACTAACCTGGCTTGCTCCTCCAACCTCCTAATCCATTCAACTCTGGAGTGTTATGGATGTGACAGAACACAAACAAAATTGCTGTCAGCTAAAAGTCTTAGGGCACACTGGTGTAGGAGTCTTTACTCCATGTTGTCCTCTGCTACAGATCAAAGGTTGCACCTGTAATTAACTTACCCTGAGCCACACAATCAAAGTTTGACTCATCTGACTGCACCATGCAGCCATCCCTCCACCACACAAGGCCCACCTTTGACAGGATGATGACATCACAGGGATCTGCCCAAGAGCTCAGCACCTTTCATCTGGGGCAGGGTCACCCATTCTCACACCCCAGGCTTGCTGGATGTGTGGCAGTGGGAGGCTGAGGAGACCTTGGCTGATGCAGCAGGGCCACCTGCACCCCACAGGCTCTCAGGGCTTTGCCCTGGAGGACACTGTTGACCAACCATTTCCACTGTGTCTGCAGCCTCACCTCCTGCTCTCCTCCCCTCTCCTCTTTTATCGGTGATTCTAAGTTCTTGGGCAGCTGAACCCAAGGTCTTTCCAAACGTGATATTTCTGGGCATCTCCAGAATTCCAGGACCTGCAGTATCCTCCCTGCCGTGAGTGTCTGGAGGCCCTGCTGCCTGGCGGAGTCCACAGCAGCCTCCTCAACCCGTCAGGGCTTCACATGGCAAGGCTTGGTGGTGCCACTGTTCTCATGGCAGCTGCCTGCTCCTGTCACCCCGTGTTACCAGGGTCAATCCCTGCTCTTGGGAGTCACTGGAGAGAAACAAGTGGACAGGTTGCTTGGGAGCCCAGCATGCCCACAGACTACAACTCAATCCAACATCATCCAAATGGACTGGTTCTGCCATCCCCATAAGAAAGCTGAAACGAGGGAGGAGGCCCGTGGGCAGCCACGCTGGACCAGTGGTGCCCTTGGGTGTTCCCACACTGCTCCGGAGGCCGGTGCTTTCTCATAGAAGATGTTCTCCTTGGGCATTTGAAAGTCTGGGTGAATTGAGCGTACCCCACTCCTCCTCCCCTTCTGTGTCATATTCAAAGGTGACAGAAGAGCAGGTGGGCATCAAGTTGTGTCACCAACCCGCACTCAAACACCAGCCACAATCGCTTCTCGGCCTTTGGCTAAGATCAAGTGTAGCATCTGTTCTTCTCAGTTTAATATCTGATACGTCCTCTATCTGAGGACAATGTATTAAATGGATTTTTGGAACAGGGACATGGAATAGGGGCTTGCTCCGTCCACTCCACGCATCAACCTGGTATTGCAGAACCTCCAGGAACATTGCACGCCTCCGGGGGACTTAAAAATCAGCTGAACAGAAAAGACCCTGTGGAGGGTTGGGGTTCATGTGGTTATTGCCGCAGCCTGTATCTGTCTGCGTGGGACAGGGTCTCCGTGAACTTTGAAATTCCTAAGGGAGACAGAGGGTAGTGAGTCCACCCTTTAGCCTGCATTGCTTCATGCATCATGGAGGCTCCTGGTCGATGTGGAACCTTCCTTTCCCCAGTTCCCACTGAGTCCATTTTCAGGAAGTCAGAGGGCAGGTGTGGCCAGGACCATTCCTTGTACCCAGGGCTCCCCTCACATTGCCTGGCAGAATATTTCTGTCTTTAATTATGACTGGAAAGTCACCAGTCTCCTGACAGTTATAGATGCCCTGTAAAGCTGAGGCATGGTGGGTCCACACCCCAAAGGGCTGTGAAGCCCTTCACAGCCATGTCCAGGGTGAGGCCCGTCTCAGGTCTCAGGTGGGCTCCAACAATGGGCATGGTGTTCGCTGGCTGGCCTGAGCAGCTGGGGACCTGGCCTTTCTCTGAGAGGAAGAGAATTCAGGATGATAAAGGGTGGTTGAGAGAGAAGCAGGCTGCTCGTTCGGGGCTGTGTGGGGCACTGCTTCAGCCAGGACAGAGCCAGGAAGCTGAGAGGGCTGGGATTCTGTGAGCTTCCAAGGTAGCCAATAAGTCACAGGGCTGGACAGCCAGGACAGGAGGGGACACTGTCTGGCCTGTGGACCTGACCAGATTTAAGGGTTTGGGAGACTGCTTGTCAGGTGAAGAGGGGCTGCCCGTGGGTTCACTGGACACTGTGGGCTCAGCCCTCTACCTGGCATGGTGGCGAGGCAGGGCATGAACCTCATCCAAGGAGTTTATGACAAAAAATGTAGAATCCTCTTTAAATAATGAGCTGTGTCCCATGGAGGAACGAGTTTGCTGTTGCCAAGCCTAGCTCATGACATGAGGGAGCTCTCTGACATGGCAGTGGAGACTCTGCAGTGACAAGAGATTGTAGGGCAGAAAATGGGGCCGAGCCTAGGAGTCCCTGAAAGGTGGCTCTGACTGGGATGGCCAGGCAGAGACCCTGCCACCAAGCAAGGTGTAATGCAGGGAGGTTGACGGTGACAACAGATGGTCACAGATGTCCTGTCTGTGTGTCACCTGCCATGTGCTCCCCAGAACACCTCACAGGCACGGTCACTGTAGGTCTCAGTGAAGATACGACTGTGGCCGTGTGCCATCTTTCACTGTGTAACACACCACCCCAAAAACTTCCCTCAAAGCAGCCCCAGCTCACTTACTTACTCTGCTTCCCCTGGGTCTGGAATTTGGAAGGCTTATCTGGGATTCACCCCATGAGGTACCGGTCAGGGTCCTTCGCTGGGCTCTGTCCACTGGAGGATGAACTGGAATGCCTTGTGGTTTCATTCACACTGTGCCTCGGGGTCCCTGCAAAGCCTGCCCCTCTCTCTCTGGCAGTCTTGGACCTCCTGGTGACATGGTTGGACAGGGTCACAGCCAACTTCTGTGACGACTGAGCGGGGAAGACCTCGGGGACACAAGCTGCAATGTGCCGTGTCCTGTCGGCCATAATAGGCTGAGGGGGTGGACTCAGGCTCTAGAGGTAGACTCTGTCACCAGGCCTGTGCCAGCAGGCTGCAGGCAGACCTACGGCTCTGGCCAGGTGGCCACGAGGTCCAGGTTCTATGCAGTCCTCCGAATTAAGTTGTTGAAAACGTGGAATGATAGAAAAGTACCCACACACGGGACAGACAGCAAGTCACGGGGCACACGCCTGCACACAGCCACGCGGGCCTGCGTGCAGAAGCACGCATCTTCACAGTATCCATCACACCACTTACAAGCAGGGAAGCAGTGTAGTTCCCAGGGCCAGGGAAGAGACAGAAGGCAAGCTTGTCTGTCCAGTTGTCTTGCTTATGTAAAATGTGCACAGAAAAGGGTTGGAAGTTGGCAGAAATGTTACAGAGGCTTCCACTGCAGAAAACAGCAGGCAACTGGATTTCTGCTTTCATTTGAGAGAAGAAATTTCTCATGTGTTGTCTTATGCTGGGAATTGAACCCAGGACCTTGCACATGCTAGGCAGTGCTCTACCACTGAGCCACATCACCAGCCCTGTTTTGATTTTTTGAGACAGGGTCTTGCTTTGTTGCCCAAGCTGTCTTGAACCCACAATCCTCCTGCCTCACACTCTCAAGTGCTGGGATTACAGGTGTGCACCACCACACTCAGCTGGGCAACTGCAATTTATCCCACTTACCTGTGTACAGAGTATTTCTTTGTTAAGCATGCACTTTTTTTTCATAGTAAAAAATCTGGAACAACAGAGAACCTGCCTTAATTTTAATTGAAGCACTAAGTGCCTATAAAAGGTGGCTGAAGTTCTGGTCCTATGGGAGACAGCTGGGAGGCCCCAAGGCCCTCCTCAGTACCTGCCTTTGTCTTTCCCCAGGTGGGCGGGGGCAGGACGGCAGCCCAGTCATCACCTTCCCCGACTACCCAGCCTTCAGCGAGATCCCGGACAAGGAGTTCCAGAATGTCCTGACCTATCTCACCAGCATCCCCAGGTATGTGCCTCGGACGCCAAGCGCTGCTGTTTCTTTGTGAGGGTGACACCATAGCTGAGACCCTCTGGACTTGGGGAAGGGGTAGAGCTTCGTCAGGGAAGCAAATCATGGCTCCGAGTCTGGGGTCTTGCCTGAGATAGAGTCTGAGGTCAAGTCCAGTGCTGTAGCTCCAGGCCCATCGTCTCCATGGCACCACCTGGAGAGCTGGTTGTCCTGCAGGCAGGGTCTGACTGAACCTGGGGAACATTTTTTCTCCTCATAAATGTCACCAACTGTTGCCCATTCTGTGTACATAGTTCCATGATGGTCAGTCCTGAGGGGGGCCCTGTGGCAGATGTGGCTGTCTAGCCAGACCCTCTGCAGCTAAGGCCAGGGTGCACCAGGAGCCTGTCCACCTCGCTGTCACTGATCATAACCTCCAGGGCAAGGCCTGCAGGAAGGAACTGTCCCCACAGGCAGTGACCAGAAACCAGTGAAACAAAGGTGGTCCCCTTGGGCTGTGGTGTTCTGTCTTACATGATGAGCAGAGCTGGGTCCCTGGCTCCAGAAAAGTGACAGAAGCCAGGGCTGTCCTTGGCGGTTCAGTGGATGAGGTGTCTTCTCCACGTCAGCACCATACCCTCCCTGCCCAGCAGCTGCTGCCTGTGCTCAGAGTGTGTGAACAACACACCAAGTAGCGATGGAACGTCCTTAATGTGACAGCTGCCGTCCTCACTTGTAAGACAGGGAAAATGCAGATGTCCATTAGATAGTTACCCAATAAGTGACAGAGCAGCCTTGACTGGCCCTCGTATGTCCTTGGCTCCACCATCTTTGGTGACAAGAATGCTGGCAATCCTGCCCAGTGAATCAGTGGGACCAGAAGACGGACCCAAAGAGCGGCTCCATTGCCTGACCGACGCTGTGTGGTGACTATCAGTTCCCAACACCAGCTGGTGATTCCTTTGAGAGGGTGAGTGCTCAGCAGGGCCTGCACCTCACTGCAGTCTCACTTCCCTCTGGCCCATTCTTCTCTACCCTGTCCTGGAATCCGATCCAGATCTCTTGGGTGGACACCCACCTCGGCCTCCTCTGCAGGAATGGTTCTTCAAGAACAATGTGAGACTCCAGCTCGCACAGCCCAAGACCTGTCTGGAGGGGGCTGGCCACTCCTCAGGCCTGTAACCTGTGGCATTGCTGCCCTAGCTATTCCTTGTGGTAATGGAAAGGCCAGGCGTTTCGTCAGCAGAGGCAGCTCTGTTGGTCTCTGTAAAATGGATTCAGCAGAGTAAGTCTGTCCCAGTCTTGGATGGAAACCAGACCTTCTGATCACTCTTAGACCTAAGTGAAAACACCATTTGTCACCAAACAGTCTACCTCAGTCTCTGTAAAGTCAGGGCCAACGCACCAGATTTAGCAGTGAGCCTCTTAAAGTTTGCCCGGTGCCCTCTCCACACTTGCTCTTCTTCTTTCATGCCTTGGGGTCACCCTCCCACCTCAGGGCCTTTGCGCTTGCTATCCCTCTGCCCAGGCTGCCCCTCCTGGCCCATTCTTAGGCCACCTTCCAGAAGCCCTTCATCATCACCCACCTGGAGAGGGACGCCATCTTCCCTGGGCATGAGTGTCCACTTCTGGCCTCTTACCTTCACTGGACTTGCCTAGGATTGGCCTAGTTATTTGATGCCTGTTTGGGCTGTGTCTGCTCTGGAGTGCTTGTCTGAGAGAGCAGGCTCATGGCTTCTTAGAAAATGTGTGCTGGACAAAGTGCACTTGCACAAAGTCAGTGCACATAGACTTCAGGCTCCCTGAGGTCTCCAGCACACCTGGCCTGGCAGGGGAGGGTGCCCTGAGGTCTCCCAACACACTTGGCCTCTCTCTCTCTCTCTCTCTCTCTCTCTCATGGCATTGGGTTTTGAATTCAGGGCCTCATGCTGCTCGACAGGTGCTCTACCACTTGAGCCACTCCACCAGCCCTGTTTTGTGATAGGGTTTTTCGAGATAGGGTCTCATGAACTATTTACCTGGGGCTGGCTTTGAACCTTGGTCCTCCTGATCGCTGCTTCCTGTGTAGCCAGGATTGTAGGCGTGAGCCACCAGCACCCAGCTGGTTTTCTCTTATTTTTAAGGAGTTCTTAACTCAGTGGGATGGAGCCTTCTCAAACACATGGTCTCCAAGAAAACATGCCCACGTCAGAGCAGGAAGCTCAGGCTCCCTGAAGGTAAAGGAACCATGGTGTTGACCAGGTGCTGTGGGCTGGTCTGCTCCACTCTCCCCTACTGCCCACCTGAACTGTCCTGCCCCTGACCTGCTGAAAGCGTCAGAGCAGCCTGACCTCTGACCCCAGGTGCCCTTACTTCTAGCTGTGAATTTCTGCTGGAATTTTCTGCTGACTTGTGCATGGAAAGCCAGAGTGTGTGTGTGAACATGCTAGACCACCTGTTATGCGTGCGTTAACCATGGAGGTTCCGCTTTGTGCCTGCTTCCTCCCCGCAGGCAACCAGAGCTAAGGGTAGCATAATGTCAAAACTGTTCCCCTCTGTGCCGTGGGACACACCATTCCCACAGTCAGCTTGCCTTCATAATCGACTCGTGGGCATCCTTCAAGTCAGGCCTCTACCTCATTCTTTTTGATGGTGCAGGGCCCTGCACGGTATAAATGGGCTGAGTGCAGCAGGGTCTCACTGACCCACGTTTGCACGGTTGGAGCACAGTTGTAATGAAGGGACATTCCTGGATTCGCTGGTTAAGTTCCATCTTGTTTCTGACAGTTCTTAGGTGTCTGACCAGGTGATCCTCCCCAGGTAGTTTTTTTTTTTGCAGCACTGGGGTTTTGAACTCAGGGCCTCCTGCTTGCTAGGCAGGCACAGGTGATCCTTCCCCGAGCCCCATGTGATGATCCTCTTTACTGTCCCCTGGGTCACTTACAGCCATGTTGACCCCAGTGGTCATGTCCTGTCTGAAGCTCCATGGAGAACTCTGCTCTCTGTGACTTTGTGAAAGACTGCAGAGGAGGTGTGAATGGGTCAGGGCTCACCACTGTCCTCTTCCCTAAGGTCATCTTAGGTACTTCAGACCTAGGCTTGCTGCACCAGCATTTTATTCATGGAGTCCTGCGTTTCTGAGCAATGGGGACCCTGTGAAGCACCCCAGAGACTCCATAGTTCCTGCCCCTGGGGACTGGCACTGTAGTGACCACCTCTCACGACACGAGGTCCCATTCCTGTTCTGGCTCCACCAGAGGCTGCTGTCTTCTCATTCCTTGTTGCAGGTCTTGCCTTTGTCACTGCCATGCAGTGTGACAGCCCCTGACCACACGTGGCCATCTTAATTTAAAATCCATTCCTCGTGGGCCTGGCCTGTTGCAGTTCACATGTGGCCAGAGGCTGCTGTATTGGGCAGCTGTGGTCTATGACATGACCACATTAACGACCTCACACTTTTCATGCAAAGACAGGCCGGCAATTGTCTAGGCTGTTTGCCCAAGAGGAGGGCATCTGTCATTCGCCCTGCAGGAGGCCGTGGCCTTTGCCATATGAAGCACATGGAGGTAGGGGCACCAGCTCGGGCAGTCCTTCCTGTTGGCCCTTCCCTGTCCTTGTCACAGAGGCCAGGCTGCCCCATTAGCTGACTGTCCCATGGGGGCTGGTGATGGCTGAGGGGGAGACAAAGGGCACCAGAATCCTTCATGTTTGAGTTTGGGCTCCAGGGTGGAGAGAAGTCACCAGGAGAAAGGTCCTGGGCAGCCCTGGGGTGAGGTCTCAGCAGCCCCTGGGAGGAGCTCCCAGAAACAAGGGTGAGGAAAGAGGCTGACCTTAGGCTGCAGAGCTGCAGGGCAGGTCTGACTGAAGCCTCTGTTTGTGGCCACTTGGTGGGGCCGGGAGAGGTGCAGCACTTCCCCTGTCTAATGGATTCTTCACCGGGGCTGGCTAGCAGCTGGCCTTGTGGCCTGGGCAGAAGGTCCAGATCAGGACTCATGAGTTTGCATTCAGGGCCAGAGGGATGGAGCAGAGAGCTCCAGGGAGGCCTTCTGTGGGGAGATGATGGGTTCCCAGAGGTCAAGGAAAAGGGAAGACAGGGTACTTTGCCTGCCGGACTGCCCCATAACCAGTTCACACAGCAGGTTCTCTAATTCCTCCTCTCCTAATGTTAAAAGAAAGGCAAGTTGAGCCCAGTTGCTGCTCTGAAATGGCAGGTTTAGTACGGTGTCTCTTTCTGGGAATTCTCTTCTTCTTCTCCTCAGGGAGGGTCAAGATGCTGTTTCACCTATGCATGGTGTTTGAGGCCCTCTCCGCCTTCCACCAGCCCACCACACACCCCTGTGACTGCTGTCCTCCACTCAGTGCCTTGTCCTGGAGTAGCTATGGGCCTCTGGCAGCAGTGGGCCCTACAGAGGGGCATGGAGACTGGGCTCTTGAGTAATGGCCACCCTGAGCTTAAAATTCCTGAACCATTCAGGCACAGTGGTTCATGCCTGTAATCCCAGCTACTCATGAGTTGGAGGCAGGATGGTCTCAAGTTAGAGGCCAGCCCAGGCAAAGTTAGTAGGACCCTATCTCAGAAATAAAAACAAGCAAAAAGGCTGGGGGTGTGGCTTAAGAAGTAAAACACTTACTTAACATGTACAAGTCCCTGGGTTCAATCTCCGGCACTGTCATAAGCAAACAAACAAATAAAACCCGAAATTTGGCCAGGCGCAGTGGCTCATGCCTGTAATTCTGGCTACTCAGGAGGCAGAGATCAGGAGGATCGCGGTTCAGAGCCATCCCAGGCAAATAGTTTGCAAGGCCCTAGCTCGAAAAACCCTTCACAAAATAGGGCTGGTAAAGTGGCCCAAGGTGAAGGCCCCGAGTTCAAGCCCCAGTATTGCAAAAAGAAAAAAGCCAGACCAGTTCACCTGGACATCCCCAGGAGGGTGGCCCTGAGAGCCGCCCGGCACCTTGGCTAGATCCTCCTGCGTGCCATACCTGCACATTGCTCAGGATGCACTGGGTGGCCAGCAGCAGCTGTGATATATGAGGCCAGGTGCCAGGATGAGGCAAGAAGGTGGGAGCAGGTCCAGCACTGCCCCATACCCTGACCTGTGCCATGGTGTCCTCCTGGCACGCATGGCTTCATGCTGGCCACACGAGGGCGCTATTGGTCGAACTGTTTTTTAAATACTAAACCTGGCTACCTTGTAGCACTTCTTACTTATTCGTGCACCTCAAACGTGGTTTTATTCCAGCCGTTCGTACAGCTAATAATTCATGCATTTAGAAGGTGGTCACATTGTACTCTAAAGGTCTGTTCTTTTCTTTTTATGACTGTACTAGGGTTTGAACTTAGGGTTCATACTTACTGAGTGGGTGTTCTACCACTAGAGACACTCCCAGTCAATGGTCTGTTCTTAAACTGTGTCATTAAGATGTAAGAAACGACCCTACTCAAATGAGACCAGACTTTTCATATTTTTATAAGATCTTTTAGAAACCACAGCTATTTCCCACCAGCAGAGGTGGTTCCTTGCATGACACACGAAGTCCACTGACCTCATGGGGATTTCTGACTCACCCCACGCCCCATCAGACACACGTCTGCTCACGCAGCTGCCCCTGCAGCCTTTGGTGTATAGTCCCAGGCCTACCCTGTCTCCCCTTTGGCTCTTCCCTCTGGGTGCTCCCATGTGGGAGCATCTTGAGTGTGTCCCCCCTCCATCTCCCACTGGGGCACCAGAACCCAGGAGGCCCAGGTTGAAGATTAGGCCCTGGGCTTTGGCTATCAGGCCCCAGACACAGCAACCCACTCTTGCTGATTGGCTCTGAAGTGTTAATTTCTCTGTGCCTCAGTTTCCCCACCTGTTAAAGAAGGTCCTCCTGCTTCCCCCCACCAGGCCCAGTAACAAAATGCAGCTTGGCGACACCTTGAGAGACCACAAAACTGGCTGGCCATGAGCGAGGCCCGGCCCTCTGCCTGGCTATGTTGTGTCCCCTCCTCCGCCCGTTGGCATCACAGTCAGACCTGGGCCTGCAGAGTTGGAAACATAGTGGCCCCAGAGAAGGGCCAGTGAATTTGTGCCTTCCTGAAACAGTGTTCATGAGAACTGTGGGCCTTTGTGTCTATTTGGCCGAAGTGAGCTTGCAGGCCATGGTTCTGCTGTGGTGCTGGCCTGGGCAGTAGATCCAGATGGCCCTCCTCAGGTGCTATTGCTGAGCTGGGGGCCACAACAGTATTCCCAGGCCATGGCAGTCCCAGGTGCTAGGGGACACTGTGTTCTTGCTGGAGTGACATAAGCTGAGTCTTCCCAGGGGCCCCCAGCCAGGCTGGGAGGAGACACTGTGACCCAGGACAAGGACATCACTTGAGCCCTGACCTTCTGACTTGGAGTTCCCAGGTAAAGTGTGGGGAGACACTGGGCAGGTCTGGGAGGCAGCTGCAGATGGCCTCGTGACCTAGAGTGGCAGGGTCATCATCTGTCTGGGCTCTGGTTTGTGTGACTTCACCTTTCTGCACCTAAGAGAAGTCCCATCTTCTTGGGGTTTCCATGAGGCCTTAGTGAAAAGACCTGTGGTGCATTCGCTTAGGGTCTGACCCCCAGCTACACGGAAACACAAAGAAAGTCCCTTCCCATGGTGAGGGGAATCTGACAGCCTCCTGGCCTCACAGCTCCTGTGGGGAACTGACTATGAGCAGCTGGGCAGCGGAGTGACCACGGGGCTGGCTTCCTGCCAGGGCAGCTGGTGCCCCTAAACTCAGTCACAGTGAGCGGCCTGGATATACAGCCTGCACCCTCGTCTATCTTCATTGAGAAACTGATTTCCTACTGTACATTTTTTTTGAGTCAAATAAATTCATAATTCCTTATATTTCATGTGAAATTTTAAATTTTTGAGTCAGTAACTTTGCTTTCTCAGGGAAGACAAGTGCCACTTATGACACCTGTGTTCCAATGACCATTACGACATAAAGACTTATTTATGATAAAACTTTCAAAATCCCTATTGTTAGGTCTGGGGATATGGCTCAGGTGGCAAGCTCCTGAGTTCAAATCCCAGTACTGCCAAGAAGACAGAAACAAAAATCAAAAACCCCAGTTGTTCAAATATCAGTAAACAGAGGCCCTGCTCAGAGGCACAGTGAGTAGGACAGGCCATGTTGAGTGGGCAAAGCTCCTTGCTTGTCAGGACTGTACCAGGCTTGTGTGAGCCTGCGCGTTTGGACAGACACGCAACAAGTCTGACGCGGCTCTCAGGCTTACACAGTGAGGCAGCAGCAGTGCTGTGGACCGTGAGGTGAGGGCTATGGGTGGCATGGAGGCCAAGGCTCTTTCACAGCAACAGCAGGGTAAGTTTGGGCCACTGAAGAGACTGTCTAGGTCCAGAAGCTTAGCCAAGGCACCACATCTACATGCATCGTGAAACAGAGAAAGCATTTCATTGGTTGGGGGGACACAGAGAGAGTGGAGAATGAGGCTGCAGTCAGTCCTGCCATCATCAAAGCTGTTTCAGAAAGGGCAGAGAAACTGAGCCAAGCTTTGCTACTCTGCGAAGACATGGCCACAGCAACGGTGGACCTGTGTCCATTGTGCCCTTGCTGGATTTGCATTTAACTTGACAGCCCCAAGAGGTAGATGCTATATTTATTCCCACATTTGCAGAAAAGGAATCGGAGGTGGCTCAGGGCTGAGTCACCACAGGGCAGTGCCTTTCCGTGTCATCAGGAAGAGCGTGTGTCTGTCCCTTCCCACTCTGTGCACCCCCTGTGGCAGCTGTTTTTAGCAAACCCTGTAGGTCGGTGTTTTGGGGAAGTTTCTCACAGCCCGGTTTGGACAGGAAGCAAACTACTGGGTTCGCTGGTCTGAGGCTTGTGTGTGCGATGACAGCCAGTGTTTCTGGACCCTCTTCTCCATCACCATAGGAGGAGTTGAGCATGACTTCCTGGCTCAGAACCACAAGACCACCCCCAGCACATTCCTGCAGAGCCAGAGGGAGGCAGGAAGGTGGGGACCTGTTGGCCAGCCTATCTTCCCCAGCCGCAGGGCCCTCAAGATTGCAAACAGACTTTATGCACCCTCCATGAAATAACCTCTAATTTTGTACCTCTCAAAGCGGGTGCATTTGGGGGCCCCCTTCCTCAACAGAGCGCCTGTCAGTGGTCTGTAGTCAACCACAGTGATGCTGCTTCCCCAGGGCTCAGCTCTGAACCATGCGGCCTCAGCTAGCATGAAAGAGCTAGCAGAAAGAGCTGCAATTTTAGCAAAGCCCTGCTCAGTCACTTAGAAGGGGCAGACGCCCACGTAGCACCTGGGACAACAGTACCTGGGCCAGAACAGGGGCGGAGCTCTGTTCTGTCTCCATTTCCTCACTGACCTGCCAGTGAAACCAGCCTGGCCTGCTGCAGGTCTGCAGTTGTGCTGAGCAGCCAGCGGCAGGAGGCTGTTTTGAGTGAAGCTCGCGTGTGTGTGCATTACCCGGAAATGCTGTGCGGTTATTCACCGCGCACATGTGGAGTCCTTCGTTCTCCAGCCTGGTGTGGACAGTCAGCAGCACGCCTAGGTGTGCTCCAAGCACCCTGTCATAAGAAGCCTGGGTGTCAGAGGGTCTTTGCTACAGTCATAGCACGCAGGGTCATCCGCAGACTGCATGATTTATAATGCTCCCTAGGATTCTGACTTCTGCTCACACCCAGAAGCAGCTCGCTTAGACTTGGAAATCAGTGTCAAGCCAGTGCCTCCGCTGGCCTGTCTCCTTCCTTTCTGCTAGGGATTGGCTGGCGGTGGCAGCTGTTGGCATTGCACAATTGGCTTGAATGTGAAATCACCCAGCGGAAGCAGTCCTCCTGCTTCTTCCCTGTGATTCAGGCTCCTGCCGCCAGGCTGAGCCAGGAGACCGAGGGAACGTGACACAACGGCGAGATGCCATCCCATCTCTGTCCCAGATGTCACTGCTGCAGAGAATAAGTGCTTGCATCCTGCTCCCCACAGACTCTTGTGAGCCTTCGGGAGGCTTGGGGGTTTTCTCCCAAAGTTGTCGTGATGCCATCAGGAGCTGTTTTCTTAGGATGGATGAACACGGGGACCTCAGATGGTAGGATTCACGTGATGTATGAGTCCTAAGACTTGTTTTGGAGGGTGTACTCAGCCAGCCATGCAGGAGAGGAAAATGACGGTGCTGTTGTCATGGAACACGAATGATCTGTGTGCCAGGAAGGATGGTCCTGCACGGCTTGTGAATGGTGGCTGATGTTAGACTGAGAAATCACAGCATGCCGGCAATTTCTGTCCTCCTTTAGCTAAGAGCAAGCCCGGAAAATTGCAGAATGGGGCTGCCCAGGCCCCCTGGCCATGCTGCCCACTGCAAGGTCCCGTGTGCATTTTGGCTTGCAGTACAGGATGGCGTGGGATTGTAGGATCATTGCTGTGAGGCAGAAGCAGGCTTCCTGGTGCGCTGACAACAGGATTTCTCCTCATTTCAGCTTGCAAGATGTGGGCATCGGATTCATCCTGGTCATAGACCGAAGGCAGGACAAATGGACTTCCGTGAAGGCGTCGGTCCTGCGAATAGCCGTAAGTGCCGTGCCCAGCCCTGCCTTGCTCCTGGCCAGTGAGAGCACACTGCTCTTCTCCCCAGTGCAGTCCATGCAGCTCATGCTGGGCTGCTTCCTGCTGAGCAGCAGGGGGAGGTTTGCTCACCCTGGAGGTGGCCAGCTAGGGACAAAGCCAGGGTGTGCTGAGCTGCACCAGGCCACGGGGGCTCCCAGGGGCTGGCCGTGTGTGGGTGTTCCCTGGTGGTACTCTTGGGGAGTCTATTCTAATTTCATTTGCTCTTAAATGGAACGCAGAAGTTCTAGGCAGGCAGGATGCTCAGCGTGTTAGAGTCTTCAGGTTAGAAGTTGGAAATTATTGATCAGCTTTTTTCTAAGCAACCCTCTCCTTTCTAAAGCATGCTGTTTATTCTTTAGCTTTAAGAGTGAGTTGCCTCAGCCTTCCTTAGTGCCCTCACCTGTACCAGAAGCCCTCACTCTGGGGACTCTGTACCCCTGCAGGGCTGGGGGCAGGGTCTGTGTGCTGCCCCACAGCAGAAAAGCCGCCGTGCATGCTGGTGTTTTTAGCTGCAGTAATCATTTCAGAGGGGTGAGATCATGCTGGCAGAAATCTTATTTTCTGCCGTCCCCTCCTCTCCCACCCACAAACTACGGGGCACCTCTTCCGAGCTGAGCTCACCCACGCCCGCTCTTCCGCCTGTCAGTCGTGGCTGCACAGCTGCGAAGGACCCAAAGTCTGGTTGTCTGCCAGCAGGATGCCTGGAGTGCTGCTGCACCCGGGCTGTGACTGCTCAGCCTCCAGAGCACCTCTGAACAGCCCAGCCCTGGGTCAGACCCTCGCGGCCTCCTGCTCTGGGTCTTGCAATCAGGCCCCTGGCCACTTGGGGGCTATTGGGCTGTAAGGTGCCCCATCCTCCCCGGCAAGTCGCCTCCTTCCATCTGCAAGGAGAATTAAAGGCTCCATTTCTCACAGCCCACGGTCCTGGACTGCCCGCCCTGTACAGAGCATCCCGCCACATCTCTCTGTGAAGCTCATTTAGGGGATCCTGGCTTCCCTGTCCGACCTGTGCTCCCCATTGCCATTGTTGATCTGAATTAGCCAGGACACCTGGTGGTCTCACAAGAAGCAGGTCTGTCACACAATCACTCCCTGACTCTCCCATCCCCAGAGGTCTGCAGAGCACTTCCAGTAGCCATCACCAGTTCACAGCCAAGCATCCAGGGCGACATTTCAAGTCAGGTGAGTTTGCATCTAGATGCAATTCCAGGGAGCCCGGGGCAGTCACATTGCCCTAACAAGCAATTCCAGATGAACCGGTCACTCCAGGGTTGAACCCTGCAAGGCTCCCAGCCTTTCAAAGGAAAGGCCACACTGACTTAGTAGCACCAACATCCAGATCAACCCAGCTCTTTTCTCAACCACCATTGTCAACAAATGATCAAGATGTGTCTTAGAGGCCAGGTGTGGTAACTCACACCTGTACTCCATGCTACTCAGGAGGCAGAGATCAGGGGGATTGCAGTTAGAGGCCAACCTGGGCATAAAAAGTTAGCAAGACCCCATCTCAGTCAACAAGCTGGATGTGGTGTTGTGCTCCTGTGTTTCCAGCTATCCAGGAGGCTGTAAATAGGAGAATCCTGATCTGAGGCTGGCCCTGGGCAAAAACACAAAACCCTACCTGAAAAGTAACTAAAGCATAGCTCAATTAGTACAGTGCCTGCCTAGCAAGTACTAGGGCCCTAAGTTCAAACTCCGATGCCACCCCAAAATCCTTCCCCAAAAAAGTGCTAAGACATTAGCACAATATGGGTAATAGAAGTTGGGGCTGGTCTGACACCCTGAAGGTCAGGACCCCTCAAGGTCAGCACCAGCTTGGAGCTCTCACTCCCCAAGGGGCCAGCCCTCTGCGCCTTTATGGTTTTTTTTTTTTCTCCTGGCGGTACTGGGGTTTATACTCAGGGCCTCATGCTTGGCAGGCAAATGCTCTTACAACTTGAGCCACGCCACCGGCCCTTTTTTTGTGTTGGGTTTTTTAGAGATAGGGTCTCCTGAACTATTTGTCCAGGCTGACTTCAATCAGCAATCCTCGTGATCTCTGCCTTCTGAGTAGTTACCATTACAGGCATGAGCCACCGTACCTGGTCCCTCTGTACCTTCTCCTGCCCTCACCCAGCCACACCTGGGCAGCTCCTACTCGATCCTCGCCCCACTCACATGCACCTCCTCAGAGCTCCTGCTGTGCCTCCACCTTTATGGGGCTGTGCCAGTGTGTCGCCAGCACTCATCCCAGACCTGACCTTGACTCCACACACACGACCACACGCCTGTGAGTGCAGTCACACATTCCGAGATACCACCACAGCGTGGTCTCTCGGGTTAATGGTCACACTTGGGCTAGATGACAAGAAGTCCCCAAATACAAGGTCACCTCCTAAGAAATACAGAAACCACTGTTAGACTGGAGCAGCCCTCTGAGCTGCACTGCAGCACTGTAGCCTGCAGAACCCTCCGTTGTCAAGTAAGGACATGGTTTTATCTGTTGTTGAGTTTATGGTCAGGTGGATTTTTGAAGCAAGCTGGCTCAACCTTAAAACTTGTCTTGTGAAAATCATAACTGTAGAGTTAGTATTTGAGTGTTTATTTTTGCATTGATGTATTTTTTTTGGTGGTACTGGGATTTGAACTCAGGGCTTAGTGCTTGCTAGGTAGGTACTCTACCACTTGAGCCATTCAAGTGGCTCTTTTGTCTTAGGTATTTTCCAGAGAGGATCTCATGGGCTGGCTTTGAGCCACGATCCTCCTGATCTCTGCCTCCCAAGTAGCTGTTATTACAGGCGTGAGCCTCTGGCACCTGACTTATGTTGATTCTTGCACTATAAAAATATAGGTTTTTTTTTTTAACCCTCTGATTCTTAATTCACCAGCCTTGGTTTGAAAGTAGCAGAAGTTACCATTTTTCCAGCAAAATTGTCACAGATTGTCTTTGAATTCCAATGCTGTCTTGCTATAAGAATTTACTGAGGGCTTTAATATAGTCTATTCCTGCATCTAGCACATGTTCTGAATCCCTGCGTGTACCAGGATGAGCAAGGTGCACACAGCCAAGTGGTGGAAGGAGAACAAGGGAGCATTGCCACGATGGTAGGCAGCATGCAGGAGGGGGGGCGCTAAGGCCCTCAGGCAGGGCAGGGTGCAGTACCCCGTGAGCCAGGCCATTGCCCTCTATGCCTGTGCCCATCTCTCTGTCCAGCTGGGATCCCTGAAGAGGCTGGAAGGGCCTGGTGCCTATTTGTAAACAGAGTGCAGAGGGGGAGTGAGTAGCCAGGAGACATGGAGCTCAGGGCGGGGGCCAGGAGGATACTTTAGGCCTGAGACCCTCCTGTGATGAAGGTACCAGTTCAGACCTCACTAGGAGATCAAGGTGGGGGACCTGGGATGGAGGACAACATTCACTGAGCACAGCCGTCCTCATTCTGAGCCTCAGAGAGCCACCCTGGTGGGACACAGCCAACTCTGCCCCACTGAGGCTCTGTGGTGAGAAAGGGTTAGGATCATCAGGGTCCATCCGCATGCCCTGGGGAGGCAAACTGGGGATGGCTTTTCTGGGGTCTTGGCTTCATGTTTCAGAGATGAAATATGACTCAGTGAGGAGCTGCCCTGGCCCATGCATTCATCCAGGTAGCTTTGGGGAAACTTCCGCTTAGCATCTGTGAAGGCCAACCAGGTCCTAAAGAGGATTTCTGAACCAGTGTGCCCAGCTCAGGGCCCCACGGGATACTGCAGAAGCAGAGAGGCTTCACTTACGTCACTTACCTCCTGACATGCCGGCCTCCTATGAGAGCCACACTTACACGATGCCTGAGATTACAGCTATTCTCAGCCACCATGTGTGCTGCCGTGTGAGCAGAGCTCTTTCTAGTTTGGGGTGTTCTTTCCTTTTTGGATGCCTTCAGCTTGGCTTGGAATAAAAAAAAAAGAGAGAGAGATAGGAGGAGCCAAAAACCAGCGTTCCTAAAGTCAGACTCCCTGTGCTCCCAACAAGAATGAAGCCCAGTCAATTCTGACCGCATGCTGGAGCACGAGGTATGTGTTTACCTGGGACAAGTTGCCAGTCTCAACCACTGGGCAAAGGCAGAGATGACAAGGCCCAAGCCAAGCTCAATGTCTGACCTCTCCTGCTGTACTGTGTGTGTGTGTGTGTGTGTGTGTGTGTGTGTGTGTTAGCATTTTTGGGCTTTGAAATAGAATGCACATATTTATCTTTAGAGTCACCTAATTCAAACTAAATCCATGTCCTAGGGTATTTAGCTCAAGGAAGTTGAATTTAAAGAATTGTTGGCCCACTTGGGCTAGAAATCTGTTTTTGCTCTCTGGTACAATCCTGTGCAGAAATATACACAGAGGGACCAGAGTTTTTAGGTCCCGCAGCAAGTACTCACTTTTGTACCACTGGATTCCTGCCCTTGGCCAGGCACTGGGGCTCCAAGGAGGAGCTGGAATGTGTAGGGCAGGCGGCAGTGGTGGAGTGGGAGCCAGCACTGGAGGGGCTCCCAGCAGAGGTGGCTGGTGCTGGCTGACAGCCCAGGCACAGGAAATGAATTTCCCCTGGAACACAAGGTAAAGGCACCAGCCTGAGATGGCTGCATTGCTTTTAGGCCCATGGCCAAGCAGAAACATCACAGAGAAAGGACCCGGTAGGGGAAAGCTGCTTACCTCATGGAGGCCAGGAAGCAAAAAGAGACAGGGAGGGCCAGGACAAGACATGCCCCTCAAAGGTACACCCCTCAGAGATCCACTTCCTCCAACCAGGCCCCTCCTTCCCCAGTTCCACCACCTCCCACTAGTCTATTAAAATTTGAATCCACCAATGAATATTGATTAGGACAGAGCCCTCACGACCCAATCGTCTCTGGAGATGCCCTCCCAGACACACCCAGAAGTTTGCTTTCCTAATTTCTTAGGTGTCTCTCAATTCAGTCAAGCTGAGATCAAGGTGAACCATGACAGGCCCAGAGATCCAAGGGTCTAAGAGCCGCAGGCTCCACCCACGCTGCTTCTGTACCAAACTTAAGCATTGCGTATCCCAAAATTACCAAAAGAATAGTCTAAATGCTTTCACCACCAAAAACCATCAGCGGGTGAGGCTGGGTTTGTCCGTCGGCTTGGCTTTCTCATCCCACAGTGGGGGTGACAGATAAGGACGCACCCCGTCGCTGCTCCTACTGTTGGGACATGTGCTTGCCAGGCTTCTTGGACTCTGCTCTGTGTTCAGCTCAGTGCATGGAGGCTGTCCATTTGCTTAACTTATTTTTTTCAACTTAGAGCTCATTACGCATGTGGTGAGATGTCTTGTGGCACAGAGGTGTTTGGTTGAAGGTTGATCTGGAAGGGAGTGATGTGGCCAAATGGGAAAAGAGAAGCTTGTATCCACTCAGCACCTTTTCCTCCCAACTTTTTATTCTGAAAAACGTCAAACCTACAGAAAACTTGGAAGGGTAGTAATATGTCCATGTGCCCATTGTGTACGTGTACACACACACACACCTGCACAGAGACATGCACACACACTCACACTCACACTCACACTGTTTGCTGATCCGCCTGAGAGTCAATTTCAGCCATCATATCGATTTCTTCATGAATACTTAGGTGTCTGTCTCCTAAGAACAAAGATATGCTCCTATGTGACCACAGTGGGCACTCAGGAAATGAATGTTGACATTGTTATAATTATAACAATAGTAATTACCAGTGCACACAAGAAATTTAATGTTGAAATAACTATCTAGTAAACAGTGTATGTTCAGATTTCCCCACCTAGCTCCAATAATGTCTTTATGTCTTTTGCTAAAATGCAAGAGCCAATTAAGGGTGACGTGGCACTTAGTTGTCCTACTTCTTCTCTTTAACTTGCCTCTCAGTGGGTTTTTGGTTTTGCTTTGAGTCTTTTGTGACACAATTATTCGTGAAAGTTTGAAGCCTGAAGTTTTATAGAAACCCTTCAATTTGGTTTCCTCAACTTGGCTTCAGCTAGTCAACCTGGCGGGAATCCCTGGTCGGTGGGCACAGGGTGCCCTTGTGTCCCATGGGTGAATAAAGACTGCTACCAGGTCAGGACCCTCACCGCAGACTTTCCACTAGTGGGTGCTTCTCCTGATTGCAACCAGTGCGGCGTCTGTGGGAGGCTTTGGGATAGGTGGTAGCGGCCTGTCCCCCAACGCTTTTGTGCCCCATGGTGTGCATGTCTAGGAGGGTTCACACCCAAGCTGAGGTGTGCTGATGGTTGCCATCTGGCTGTGTTGTCCAGAGGGCTGTGATGCTTGGTCTGCATTTCCTGTGTCTTACGGCGTCCACACTCTGCATCCTTGCAGCTGTGCCTGCCCACTGATGGATTGTGGCCTCCGCCCTTAAGTAAACCCGCTCACCTCTGCAGGGAAGAGGGATTATGGCCAAGCAGAAAAGTGTGCCTTTCTGCTCTTGATGTGAATTCTAGTCATATAGCTCCCCATAGGTGATACCAGACCAAAGCTGGCTAGAACCTTCTGGACTCTGAGGAGAGTAGGAAGAACAGGTGCAGGCACTGGCTTGGTAATAGGGCAGAGACAGGAGAGCCAGCTGGTTCCCTAACAGTATTGTATCCCTGACTGTCCCATTTTCCTACCAGTCCCAGCCACAATGTCACCCGCGTGTAAATAAGCAGGATCAGTGTCTGTATTTCCAAGTCTGGTTAGTGTGAAGTTCATGAGTGTGTGTTGTGCATTGCCACAGGAGGTGCGGCCAGATGAATGAGCGCAAATCCTCCTCTGAAGGCCTCACTGCAACTTATTAATGCTGCCCCATGCATCCATGGCTCCATCATCCAACCTCCACAGCCAGCATTATCGGCCACGGGTGGGGGGGACACGACAGGGGAGCTCTGTTCATCTTCGCCTGCTAAGCGTCTCTGAGGTCCCGAGGTGGTCTTATGCATCAACGCTGGGACAAACTTTCAGACGATGCTTCTGTGTAAACTTTGTTTGTTGCTTGGCTACTGTCAGACAAAAGTAATTGGTCAGCTCTTGGCCACTTACATTTGCTATTAAACATACAGCAGCAGGCTGGGTGCTGGGCTTTGAGTCTTACCTTGAGAAAAGTTACTTTAACTTCAGGAGGGTTTTAAACAGCTTTCCTAGCACCAGGGTTCCTGGTTTCTAAGGTGTCCCACGGACTTTCACTGAGCTGGTAAATACATGCAATGACTTCTCATTTTGTAAGTCTCCAAGAATATTAATTGAAAATCCACTTAGCTACTCTGTTTCTATGTCCATGGTACACTTGTATGGCCATAATCTCACACACCTGTTCCTAAGTGTGTCACTATTGGCCCCAGGAAAGAAACACAGTATGGCTTTCATATTAGGAAGAAATCTATTATAATTTTACAATTACTTGATTCTGACTAATTTACAAAAAAAAAAAAAAGACATTGTTTCACAGCTTCTACTCTAGATCCAGCTCTCTTTACTACTGTTTTAAAATAAGCTTTTATTTTAGACCTTTTCTCATTTTTATTGCAAATGGTTTATTCCAAACCAGAGAAAATTTAATTTGCTATTGTTTATATTCGCAGTACATTGTGTACATCCCTTCAAACCTCATGTGGATAGTATCTTACAATTATTCTATTTAACATGAAGATTCAATAACTTAAAGAATGGAAGTTCTAAAGCAGAGGAAATGGAGAGAAAGGAGCTATTTTTAAGGCTGGCTGTCACCCCCAAGGACAGACCAATGTGCCCCTCATCCTGGCAGGTTTCTTGCCACCTGCTGTAGGAGTTTAGCTGAGCTCAGGCGATTGCTAGGGAAGGTGAAAGTGCCGGTTCTGTCTTATAGGTGCAAACACCCAGCCTGTCCTTAAGAACCACTCTTCTGTGAGGTGTGACTCTAGATGACAAATGTAAGTTGAGATTGAGAAAAGCATAATTTGTGCCACTTCTAGAGGACAACTGAAAGGGTGGCTTCCTTAAATAGTGGTGGCCAATTTCACACACACAGGACGGTTTGGAAGCCTCTTGCCGATAAGTGGCCCAGATGTGTTCCGGGCTCTGGTGTGGGGGACGGGGGCTGGTGTGTCGGCCGATTCATGGATGTCAGGCACAGCACTGGTCATGGCTGTGCCTCTTCCAGCTCCCTCCTCACTGCGTATCTTCACAGTCACAGTCTCATACAGCTGAGGGTGCACCTGCAGATGGACGTGGGTGGTGCCCAAGTATCCTGGCTGTGGTGGGGCGAGGGATGGAAGGGAGGCCTCGGTCATCTCAGGAGAACTTCCAGGGCTGTAAGTAAGTAGGTGAGCTGGAGGACGCCGGCCACCAGGAGCTACCTCGGTAGCTACCAGCTCTGCTTAGGAAAAGCCCTCACCAAGCAGCTGCTTAGTATGCCAGCCAGTGGGGACACATGGCCTCCATGCTCCCTGAGTCTGAAGTAGGAAGTGATGTGAAGATCACCATGCTGGCAGCTCTGTGGAGACAGAGGGCATGGGTGCTGGCGCATAAAGCATGAGAGTCCTCCTTCAGAGCAAGGCCAGTGTCCACTGCCCTGGGTGGGAGGTCAGCTGCAGGTGATGAAGGCCAGTATTTTCTGCTATGGTGGCAGGTCATCTACAAATGACATGCCTGGCTTTGTCCCTTAGTTGTGTACCACATTGATAGCAGATCCTGTCTATCTCACTAGGACTCAGATGGCTTGAAGTTCAGCCACTTGTCCAGGTCTGGCCTTCAGGTCTAACATGACCCTGGGAAGTCATTGTGTTTCCTGAGGGAGGCCAGCCAGTCACGTTTTAACCCTGTTAGAATCACATGACCCACAGCTCCCAAGGATACCTGGGACAATGTGGTCAGTGCAGAGGTAAGAGGGGACTGTCTCTCCTGCCAGTCCTTCCTGGACCAGTGTGGGTGTCAGACACAACCTAGAATCATCTCTAGCTGAGCCATTTAGCCAGCTGGGTCTCCTCCCAAGCCAACTACATATCCATTCCAAGCTTCAGGGCTGGCTGCCTTCCTGCCTGTCATACTTAGAAACCACACTCAGGCCTTCTGAGCTTCTTTTTGAGTGCTGGGTCTCCCTGGCCTCCCCCAGCTGGGTGTGGCCTGGCATCTTAAACGACCCTGCTACCCACTGTCACAGCTGTGTTGGAGCGTCCACTCTGCTCCAGACGCTACATTCCCTATTCCACCCTTCAGAGACTGTGAGGAGACAGGCTTGGATTTATCTCCATTTTGAAGATGGAGACACTGAGTCACAGAGAAGTGAAGTAGCTTACTTAAGGTCACGTGCTTTGTAAAGGTACACGTGTGAGCTGTACAAGGGACAGCTCGTTTTTACTTTTGTTTCTGGAACTGCACATATGCATCTGTCTTGCCCTTTTGATTTTAGTTTTTCTGACAAGTCTGTTCATTTCCTGGGGCTGCTGTAACACAGAGCTGCAGCCTCGGTGACTTAGCAGCTCTGGAGGCTGGAAGTCTGAGATCACACTGTGGGCCAGGGCTGTTTTCTCCGAGGCTGAGCAGAAGCTGTGTTCTGGGCCTCCTCCCGGCTCTGATGTTGCCAGCAATCCATGGCATTGCTCAGCTTGTAGAATTATCACCGGCTTTCTGCCTCTTTTCACATGACGTCGTCTGGCGTGCAGATCTGTGTCCAAATTTCCTTTTTATAAGGACTGTTTTGTTGGCTAGGTCCCATCCTACTGACCTCATTTACTTGATTACTTACCAGTGTGAAGACCCGATCTCCACATGAGGTCCCAGTCTGAGTACTGGGACTCAGCATTTCCATATAGGAATGGGATGTCACACTTGGGCCCGTAGCGACTGTAACACAGCTTCGAATGTTTAAGTTTGTGAGCAGCGTGGCAATAGGAGCTGCAGTCAGCAGGAGTCCTGAAGGACACCACCGTCCTTCTCCTTGTCTCTCAGGCATCTTTCCCAGCAAACCTGCAGCTCGTCCTTGTTCTTCGCCCAACGGGGTTTTTCCAGAGAACTCTCTCGGACATCGCCTTCAAGTTCAATAGAGATGACTTTAAGATGAAGGTGCCGGTGAGTATGCCTACTTCAGTTCTGTCGGCAGAGCGGAACCTAATTGCATTCTTGGCCCACTGTGACAATCGACATTCTCAAGGAGCAATCTCAGTACTTCAGCCATAAATAAAACCCCACAGGACTGGGTCAGAAGCTACACTTCCTCTTAGCTCAGTCGGGAGCAGCACTGACATTTTTATTTCTCCTCCCATCACACCCCTGGGCTCCCTCCCCACCCCAGGCTGATGATGTGTAGGAAGTCACAGCCTTGGCTGAACCTCCATGAGGCAGCTCCATCAGAAACCCACAGCAGTCCTCCCTGAGAACCGCATGTGACCCGGGCACCAGCTCAGGGTGGTGACCAGATAGGATATTCTGCATGGCATAAAGCCTAGCAGGAATAGGCTATGTTTATGAGGCATACCTCAGTGGCCCTGGGAACAACCGGCCCAGGTGTCTAGGAGGACATTTGAACCTCTGTGTTAGGACGTGTTTCTGGACAGTGTGCTTCCTAGAGCTAGTTAAGGGCAGAACCACATAGGGCAGTAACCTCACCTCTGGAGAATCGTGCCCAACAACAGAATTGGATATTGGGGGTCATGCCAGTGACCCTTACCTCCAGTCCCTGGGGATGCTTACCTCTGAGACAGTGACTTGTATGTCTCATGGCCGTTACAATCAGGTGACAGTGTGATCTTTTCTCCACATTTTGCAAGCAAACTGCACTCACAATAAGTTTCCTTACCTTTGGTTATATCGCAGGAAATAGGACTGAAGATACCTGGCAGGTGGTGGTCTCCTTTGCAAAATTACACTAATACATGTACAAGTATCAAAATGGGTGTCAAAATGGGCGTGCAGAGCTCATCCCTGACCTCTACAAACTCACAGACACATTGTAGATCATGCTAGAGAAGCACACAGTTGTTAAAATGTGTCCGTGTCCCATTCAGTGCTGTGTGCCAACCCCAGTGCTAGTGAGAAACTCCAAGTGCAGCCCTGGTCCTGCGCCCTGTCCACCACTGTGGAAAACAAAGGCAGCACAGATGGCCGTTACTGAGACTTGGAGGTCACAGAAAGAAGTGACTGCATCCTTGCATTGCCCAATCTGTCTTGGCTTACTGGCTGTGAACCAGGGTTATTTGGCACCATGCAAACAGTGTTACTAGAACAAAGAATGTAGTGAGCTCGGTAGTTCTGTTTTCTTCTTGGAGTGAGAATCTAACACATTTTTGAGAAAAGACCATGTTTCAGTCAGGGGCTCTCAGTGTGGGCACTGTTGACATGCTGTGCTGAATAGTTCCTTGTCCTGCGGCCAGCCCGTGCCATGTGGGTGAGGTTTCTGCAACAGCCCTGCCCTCTGCCCACCAGACACCACTAACCCTTTCCCCATTGTCTCAGCCAGGTTGTCTCCAGACATCGTCAGATGTTCCCTGGGGACAGTCACCCTGGTGGAGAACCCCTGCCTTAAACTAATGCACATTTAATAATTCATGAAGTGGACTCAAATAGCATTTGGTCACAGCCTCTGAAGACCTATTTTGTAGGATCTGACAGCTTACAAAGCAAAGTCTATATTTTTATCTAAAACGTGGGGACAGAATGACCTCACAAAGGGCAAAAGAAATACAAAAAGCTGAAGATAAGTCACGTGAGAAGAGCTGGCATGGCCACCACACTCTCAGGTTCCCTCTTCCACTGAAGCCTTTCAGGAACTGCCAGTCACTCTGTGAATACGGCGGTCTGACTTTAAGATGCTAAAGTGGTGCTAACCACACCATAATGTGGATTGTCATATTTTACACAGAAGTAGAGACTGAATTGTCTTCTTTGAAAGCAGGGCACTATGCAGCCAACGTGCCAAGCTCCCTTCCCATGAGGAGGTCACAGATATCCTCTGTCCAGGGTTTTCCATGTGTCCCACAGCCGCCACTGGCTCCTCACCAGATTCTGGTGAGATCTGTCATAATATGCCCATTGTATGTAGAAGGAAACTGAGGCACAGACAACAAGCATTGCCCAAGGTCAGCCATTTAGGAGGAGCCTAGCTGGGATTTAGCCCATGTCTACTCAAGTCTGAAGTCAGATGTCACTGGTCACACTGCCAGTGTGAGGCTCTACTGCCCTCATTTGTAGTGTGTTCTGCCTTCGCCCCCAGGTCATAATGCTAAGCTCAGTGCCAGAACTGCATGGCTACATCGATAAGTCACAGCTGACCGAGGACCTCGGGGGGACCCTGGACTACTGCCACTCCCGGTGGTTGTGCCACCGCACGGTGAGTGAGTCTGGGCGCCCTGCACTGTGTTCTCTCGTTCATTCACAGTTAACACAGCAGAATGGCTTTTGCATTACGACACTGCCTTTTCCAAAAACATACTCACATTCACGAATGAGGAGATGGTCTCAATAGACCTTAGTCATCGTAAAGAAATAACTTGAGTAATAATTTTGGGAGTGGCTTTTTTTGGACTTAGAAACCATAAAAAAGAAAAGAAAAGAAAAAAACCCCAAAACCCTGTGTTGTTGCGGTTTGCAACACTCGTGCTTGTCTTAACAAGGAGGGAGACAGAGAGAGAGAGAAAGAGACCCAAGCATGAATGACTCTAGGTGATGGGGATTTTTGTAAGGCCTATCTGGTACGTGTGTGAAGAGGTGCGTGAAGTGGAGGAACTCGTGGGAAGGTATTCACTTGCACACTAGCTGCTCTCCGCCTTTCTGAGAACGGTCACAGCATGGTGTCAGCTTTCAGAGCAGAGCGGTGTGTGCAAGTCTCTGTGACCATGTTCTCCCTCCTCCCAAGGCGATCGAAAGCTTCGCGCTCATGGTGAAGCAGACAGCTCAGATGCTGCAGGCCTTCGGGACCGAGCTGGCCGAAACCGAGCTGCCCAATGATGTCCAGTCAACAAGCTCGGTGCTGTGTGCACACACGGAGAAGAAGAACAAGGCAAAGGTACGTGCGGGCTCCGTGGGGCTGAGGCTCTTCCATCCTAAGCACAAGACCCAAGGTGAGTCTTCAGCATTGGGCCACACTGAATGTGAGTGGGTTTCAGAGCTGCCTTCCAACACCTGTAAGAACCAACTTTTCTAAACAGCATAAGTGAACCCTGTAAAACACCATGCATGTCCACAGATGGCCAGAATGGCCCTTAGTTCAGATCAGCAGAGTCTACACAAAGCCAAGGTCAGAGCAGCTCGTCCTGGTGGGTGGGCGCTTGCTGTGTGTGGTACCTCTGGGGCTTCAGTGTCACAGATTGGGATTTCAGCCCCGGTTTCTGTCACCAGTGGGCGACAGAGTGGTGGCTGAATTTCCAGCATAAAATACCCATTGTGCTCACATATGCACATCACCCTGCAGGGTGACTTCATTTTGTATTACTTGCGTGCCTATCATTCTTGGGTTGCTGACTTTGAAACAGAAATGTCTGGATGGCAGTGACCCACTGTGCATTCTGAGCACTGTGCCCTGTTTCTGCCAGGCAGGCCATTCACTTCCCAAAAATGGCCTTTCCCCCTGCACAGCAAGGCTGGTTGTAGAAGACAGATGGCTAGATCTGGTTTCTGGTTTCTTTTTTACCTTCTCCCCATGCCCCTAGTGACCTGTAACCCTAGCTCTGCCCCTGTGCAGACAAGAGGGAGGCACCCGACAGCTGCCTTCCTCACTGGTTTTAAGTGGAACCTGGAAGCTTGATGGCACGGGGCGATGGTTTTGCACCTGCAGTGCACGGCGCCCCCGCCAAGCCTGACTGCTCGTGCAGCCAGGACCTGCCTGTGGGCTGCAGTGCAAGGCTGTGCTCTCTCTGCAGGAGGACCTGCAGCTGGCGCTGAAGGAGGGGAAGAGCATCCTGGAGAGCCTCAGGGAGCCGCTGGCCGAGAGCACGGCCCTCAGTGTGAACCAGGATCAGTTGGACAACCAGGCCACTGTGCAGAGGTGAGGCTGGCACCTTCCTGCCTTATCTCACTCTGGCCAAGGCAGGAGGACGCTACAGACACATGATCTTTGTGAAAATTTGAGGCCATTAGCCATGGAATTGCAACAAGCCTCCCACCTGGGCTTGATGTCTGGGCACGGAGTGGCCCCTGGCGCCCTCCTGCTGAGGAGTAGACACCAGAGCAAACCGTTTCTCAAGCTGAGGGAGACCACTGGCTGAGCAGAGGTGAACGAGCACCTTAGACTTCTGTTGCTCCACGTGTTCTTGTAGATAGGAAAGCCACCCGGGAATCTGTCCGCTCCAGCCTCGGGTTTTCGAGCGTGCATTTTACAATCATTGTAAAAGATTGAATTTGTGTGAGTCTCCTTTGGGTCTCCATCCTTATATAGAGTGCAGGACAATATGCACTCTACATGCACATTGTGAACGTCAGCTAATGTCCCATGGTGCTTTGGGATGTCCAGAGCTCTGACTGCCTCCTGCAGTCTTATCCTTGTCACTCTGCAGCCTGGGTGGGTGCCTGCCCCACCTCCCTCATGAGGGGACAGTTTTGGAGCACCTGGACAGAGCCTTGCCCAGTGATGTGGTGGTGGGCCACCAAGCCTGCTCCCATGGCTGATTTGCTTGGCTCTTATGTGGTCTTCTCCCAATTGGCTATACACAGAGCAGGCATGCTGGGCTGGGGACGTAGGGGATCTACCCAGTTAAGTGGCTCCCACCTAGGTGGGGTCCCCAGATACATGAGGAGGAGATCCACACAGCTCATCAACTCCCTCAAGACTCAGTTTCCTCATCTGTCAGTGTAGCCAGCCTAAGTGTGGCTTGCAGGGGTGGCGAGAGAACTGGAGAGGTGTGTGCGAGGCCTGGTAAGCGAATGCCAGCTCCTGCCCCCACCACTCATCAGGTGCAGACATCTGCTCCACCCTGAGTTGTAAACAATGAGCCTGGACCTTGACCTTCCTGTCCTTTCAAAAAGTATCAGAGGGATTCCATTCTGTGATGGCTCACTCCTCTTTCCCAGGCTCCTGGCCCAGCTGAATGAAACCGAGGCCGCCTTTGATGAGTTCTGGGCAAAGCATCAGCAAAAGCTGGAACAGTGCCTACAGCTGCGACACTTCGAGCAGGGTTTCCGGCAGGTGAGTGGCGAGCAGAGAGTGGGCCTGTGGGGTGCTGGGTGCAGGAGGCCAGGGCCAGGGGGCTGACCTCTGCACTTGTGCACAACACAGCACTCTGGAGCGGCAGCAAGAAGGAGATGGTTTGTAGCTTATTTCTGTGGGGAGCTGCAGAAATAAGCAATTTAAGGAACAATCCAGACAGATCCCTGTGCCCCCCACCCAGTTGCCCCAGTAGCAACAAACCACAGCTCAGCACAGCATCTGACATCAGTGCAATGGACGCAGGACATCGTCCCACCAGGACCCTGCTGCTGCCTCCAGCCACGGAAGGACATTGGGATCTTTCTGTTTTTTTGCTGTCCTGGATGGAGCTGCCATTAACATCCAGCTCATGTGTCCATGTGGACATAAACTTCAGGTCTCTGAGGCACGAGTTCAGAGTACAGTGGCCAGGCAGATGAGAGTCACATCTTTAGATTTTTTTTTTTTTTTTTTTTTTTTTTTTGCAGTACTGGGGCTTGAACTCAGGGCCCTTTTTTGTTTTTTGTTTTTTTTTTTTTTTTCATTTTTCTTTTATTATTCCTATGTGCATACAAGGCTTGGTTTATTTCTCCCCCCTGCCCCCACCCCCTCCCTTACCACCCACTCCACCCCCTCCCGCTCCCCCCCTCAATACCCAGCAGAAACTATTTTGCCCTTATCTCTAATTTTGTTGTAGAGAGAGTATAAGCAATAATAGGAAGGAACAAGGGGTTTTGCTGGTTGAGATAAAGATAGCTATACAGGGCATTGACTCACATTGATTTCAGGGCCCTTTTTTGTGATGGGTTTTTTTGAGACAGGGTCTCATGAACTATTTGCCCAGGCTGGCTTTGAACCATGATCCTCCTGAGTAGCTAGGATTACAGGCGTGAGCCACTGACACCTGGCACATGTTTAGATTTTAAGAAACTGACAAACCAGCCAGGCATGGAGGCACACACCTGTAATCTTAGCTACTTGGGAAGTGGAGGTAGGAGGATCTTGAGTTTGAGGCCAGCCCAGACAAAGGTATCCACATCTTATCTCAAAAATAAAATAAAACCAAAAGCGTTCCTGTGCCTTTCCATATAAACTTTAAAACAAGTTTATCTTGTCTACAAAAAAGTTGTGCTTGGAAAAGTTTGCTTCCTGGGCAAAACCTTTATTTTGGGGAAAAACAGTATACCAGTTTCATCAGCATCGCACAGGGGCCAGCACACAAACCCCATATGGCTTGTTCAGTGTACATTTAAGCATTCAATCTGTTAATAAGCGGGAGTGGCACTGCATTTGTAATTGTAGTGTTTACACATACATTGCTACACAGAGAAACACAGTAGCCTTTTCGACACTTGCCTCCTCTCCCATGACCCTATTGAACATACTTGTTTTAGTTTTTTTGTAGAGTCCTCGGGACTTCCTACAAGTGGTCATTTCTTCCTTTTTGCCTGTCTGCCTTTTCTTTATTTCTTTATCTCCCCTTTACTACTCTGGCTGGTGAGAGTGATGTCCTCGTTTTGCTCCCCTTATGTAGGTTTCTCTAGGTGCTTTTTTGTGTTTTAACTAAGTGAAGAGAGTTCTCCTTTGGTTTGTTTCTCTGAGAGATTTTTAAATCATGAATGGATGTTTAGTTTTACCAAATGCTTTTTCTGCATTGATTGAGCTATGTGATTTTTCTATTTTGATTTGTTGATAAAGCAAATTATATTGACCAATTTTCACATTCTGAATCAGTCTTGAGTCTCTGAAGTAAAACACACCTACTCATGGTATGTAATTATTTTTATCGTTGAGCTGTATTTGATGATGTTTTGCTAACAGTTCTCCATCCACAGTCATCCTTACCTGGCTCTGTTATCAGGGTGGTACTTCACTTCATGAAGTGAGCTGGGAGTGCTCCCTGCTCTCCTGTTTTCTGGAAGAGGCCACATAAGTTGGTGCAAATTCTTTAAATGTTTGGTGCAATATTCAGGAAAGCCATCTAGATGTGCGGACTTCTGTGGGGGCTTTAAAAACCACGCATTCAGCATCCTTGATGGTTGTAGGGCTGCTGGAATGACTGTTTCATGCTGAGCAAGATGTGGCAGTGTTTTCAAGAACTGTCCCCTTGGCTGGGAGCTGGTGGCTCACACCTATAATCCTAACTACTCAGGAGGCAGAGATCAGGAGGATTGCAGTTTGAGGCCAGCCCAGGCAAAGAGTTTGCAAGACCCTATCTTGAAAAAAACCAACACAGAACAGGGCTGGTGGAGTGGCTCAAGTGGTAGAGCACCTGCCTAGTAAGAGTAAGACTCTTGAGTTGTAAGGAAGGATGGAAGGGAGGGAGGAAGGACGGAAGGAAGGAAGGAAGGAAGGAAGGAAGGAAGGAAGGAAGGAAGGAAGGAAGGAAGGAAGGAGGAAGGAAGGAAGGGAGGCAAGAAGGAAGGGAGGAAGAAAGGATGGATGGAAGGGAGGGAGGGAGGACAGTGGAAGGAAGAAGGACTGGAAGGAAGGGAAGAAGGAAGGGAGAGAGGGTGATTCGTGTGTGCAGAATCACTTTTGGTGTTGTTTAGCTCTTCTTCGCACCTGCAGTGGTGATATCCCAGGTTCATTGCTGGTGTTTGTAGTCTGTTCTTCTTTTCTGTCTCTGTCAGTCTGTCCTCTCCTTTGTCAGTGAGCCCAGAGATTTGTCACTGTTCATTCCAGAGAAATGGATCTTTGTTTCATTGGTTTCCTCTGTCATTCTCTGTTTTCAGTTTGACTGGTTTCCAGTCTTACCTTTAATATTTATTTTTCTGATTGTTTGGATTTATTTGGGCTTCTTTTTCTGGGTCTCGAAGTGGGAGCTGGTGTTTGGTTTTCTTTTCTAATGTACGTATTTAACAGGAATGCTGTACATGCCCCTCACACTCCATCAGCTGTGTCCCACAAATACTGATATATTATATTCTTCATTTTCATTTAATTCAGCCTCTTAAAGTTTTCACATGTCCTCTTTGATGCTTGATCTTTCAGACTGTTGCTCATTGTTGGGACATTTTTCCTGTTACCTTTCTGTTCGTGATTTATGTTCTTGATTTTCACTGTGATTGGAGAACATGCTCCATTCCCACATTTCACCTCCAAATCTGTGGGGTGTGTCTGGTGGCCCACGACGTGTCCTGTCTTGGAGAGTGCTCCTCGAGACCTGGGAAGCAAAGTGTGCTCTGCACTCGTGGGTGGCGCGTTCTGTAATTGTCCATCAGATCCCGCCAGCTGCTGGCACAGTGCTCCTGCATCTTGACTGACTTTCCCTCTAATTGGTCCACGACTGCCCAGAGCATCCTTGAAGCCTCGAGCTGTAACTGGATGTCTCTCCTTTTTACCATAGTAGGTTTTGCTCCCATATTTCTCAGCTCTGTTGTTGGGTGCACACACAGTTAGGATTGCGGTCTTATTGTGTATGACGTCCCCTTCTGTCTCTGTAATTTTCTGGGTTCTGAATCAGTCTCCCTAGCTCACACAGTTTTCCCTGCATTCCCGATTGAGTCCGTGTGATATGTTCCCATCCTCCCTCCTGTGCTGGTGTTTGGAGTGAGTTTCTTGTAGACACACATAGTTGGGTCATGGTTTAAAATCCATCCCTTTAGCTGGTATAGTGGGCTGCTTACATTTAATGTAATTACTGATTTGTTAGGGCCGAAATCTGCTGTTTTAGTTTGTGTTTTCTGTTTGTCATCCTTTTCCTTTATCTGTTTTGTTTTTCCTGCCTTCCTGTGGTTACATGAACATCTTCTAGGATCTCATTTGTAGTGTTTTGGGGATTTATCACATTGTGTGACTCTGTAAGTGGTTGCTCCATGTGTTGTATTGGAGTGTGGCAAGGTATCACATTTGCGTATATAGAATGTGTGCATGGAGAGGAAGGGGGGTCCTGCACGCTTCACTTACCCTCCCCCATCACAATAACCTTTCCTTGAATTTTGCCTCTGTATACATTTAGAGCTGCATTCGTGTTACACGTTTGCTTCCGCCATCAAGCACAGTTGAGAGAACTGGGGAGCAGGGAGGCGTGTGCCCTCGCCATATCTCCAGCCCCGCCCTTTCTTCTGCCCTGACACTGCAGGACAGGCCAGTTCTTCTGCCTCTTCCTTTCCCCCTGTTCGGAGCACGTCCTGTGGTCGTTCTTTTAAGGCGCACAGAGCTTGTATCTGTTAGAGGGCCCTGGCCCTCCCAATGGCTCTGTGTTTAATTAATAACAATGCAGACTGCTACTTGAAATGGTTAGCCCTGTGCTCAGATGTCTGCCTGTGGCTGCAAATCCTCCATGCCAGCTCTGCCTGCATCTCAGGACAGACAGAATCAGGACAGACAGAAACAGGGGATGGAGGTCCTGCATTTTCATGTTTCCCCTCTGTTTCCTGCTGACCTGTGAGTGTTGCCAGCTGCCCTGTGCAAGGTCCTTGCCCTGTCTTCCTGGCAAATGTCATGTTCAGAATCCCACCCATTTGTACTGGGAGGATCAGCCGACCTCAGACCAATAAGAACAAGTTTCAGGGATATCCTTAAAACCATTTCCTGAGGCCTACTGAATGCAGGACTGGTGCAGGCACTGGGAAGGCAGATTCCAGCCCCAAGCTTTCATTCCTATGGAGAGGTTGGAGGGCAGACCCCAAGACACCTTAGACAGGGTGACTTCCAGACAAAGGGTCAGGAATAAAATGGGGCACAGCTACAGGATGGAGCAGCTGAGATGGTTCCCAAGGCGGGTTCCCAGGGACCCTGGCTGAGAGGCCTTGCATTAACTGTAACTGAGGGGCCATGGGGAAGGTGCAGGGAAATGGTGTCCTGCATTGTTTGCGCCTCCCTCAGTGGACCCACCAACTGAGTCCAGCCCCCCAGCTTCAGTGGGCAGCCATCTGAGCTGTGACCCAGGCTCATTCTTAGGATGACTTCTAGGACAAGAATTGAAAACTTTTGTGTGGAAAAAAAAAAAAAAAAAAAACTTTTGTGTGTAAAGGGACAAGCTGGCACAGAATTAAGAATAGTTACACGAAAGCTCGTCCTCCTGCCACAGCCTTGAGACATTAGGGTTCAGTGCTGAGCTGGAGGACGGGAGCCCCCCTGCCACCCAAACTGGAGGGAATGGGCCAATGCCTGCTGAACCCCCTGTGTCTCTCTGGCTGTCCAGTGTCACGTGTTCAGCTGTGGCACAGAGAAGCACGGGCCTCCACTGGTGAGGCTGTGGGCAGGCCTGAGTGGCTTTGTCCCCTGCCTCCCCTGGGCTCCTCATGACCTCACTGCTGTCTGCACTGGGTGTGGGTGTTCTGAAATGGCCCTCCTCTGTTCCAGGTCAAAGCCTCCTTGGACACAGTGTCCCAGAAGATGGTCGCCTTCACCGACATCGGCAACAGCCTGGCACACGTGCAGCACCTGCTGAAGGACCTGGCCAGCTTCGAGACCAAGTCCAGTGTGAGAGTGGGATGCAAGCAGAGGGGGGCAGTGGTCACAGTGTCACCTGGCAGCTCAGAGGGCACAGGACCCAGGCTGTCAACCATCAGAGTAGAAGTTCCTGTGCCCCCAAGGGACATCACAGGCAGGGCACAGGGACCCCATGGTGCCCACCTCTGCCTTGGGCACAGGCTCTGCCGTCTGCAGCCCCTTTGTCACAAACCATGAACTAGCTATTGATTTCCCTCTGGGCCAGGTCACCCAGCACTATCCCAAGCACCAGAATGGCTTCCAGGATCAGGTGGTACTCAGTCAGCTGTAGCAGTGAACGAGAGCGATGCCATCCCCGTCTCTGGGATGTCCTATAGGATTAGGTTTCCCCTTTGCCTCCAACAGAAACAAGCCTGAGCTGACTTTCTGGGTGGTGACGGTATCTCGCAGGTGGCTGTGGACAGGGCCCGAGCCCTGTCCCTGGAGGGCCAGCAGCTCATCGAAAGCAAGCACTACGCTGTGGACTCCATTCACCCTAAGTGCGAGGAGCTCCAGCACCTCTGCGACCACTTTGTGGCAGAGCTCAGCAAGAGGAGAGGGCTGCTCGGCAAGTCCCTGGAGCTGCACAGCCTCCTGGAGACGGTAGGAGGCCCCGCCCTGTCCCACACATCTTCCTGTCCTCCACACCAACAGGAGGGTCCCACGTCCTGGTCCAGCCGACCTTGTCACTGGGCTGATCGGAGTCAGTGATCAAAATACCAGTGTACTCCTCCTCCTTGTTGACCTAGAGTGTCAGACCCCAATGGCACTGTTCCCTAGGACTCGCTTGCCCCAGTAATGATTTCTTTAGGAGGACCAATAACTCAGTTTCCCTGTCAGTTTGGGACCTATGCCTTCCTCTCACGTGGTGTGAGTCCAGCCTGGGCAGTCTGCTTGGCTCTGCAGTGCTGCAGCCCCTCAGGCCTCCTTTGGCCTTAGAGGCTGAGCGCCTTGGATGTTCTGAGGATGTATCAGCTGGCAGATGACATGCGAGAAGCAAGTGGAACGCGGCAGGTCGAGTGCACACAGATGGCAAGCTGTAGCTCCTGATGGCGGCATTTTCTTTGCAGTCCATGAAGTGGTGCGATGAGGGTATCTTCCTGCTGGCCTCGCAGCCCGTGGACAAATGCCAGTCCCAGGACGGTGCTGAAGCAGCCCTCCAGGAGATTGAGAAGTTTCTGGAGACTGGTGCAGAAAATAAGATCCAGGAGCTCAATAAAATTTACAAGGAATATGAATCCATCCTCACCCAGGACCTCATGGTAATGCTCGCTCAGCTCATCTGCAGCCCCCGTGACCTGAGTGGTGGGCAGCTGCTTAGCAAACGTTGGAAAGATGGTTTAAGGGATTGCACGTAGATGGGGGGTGTGGGAGATGAGGCAGAGGCGGGAGGGCGCTGGGCTCAGACTTCCCTTCAGTGTAGAAATGATTCCCACGCCACCTGTGCAAGTATCACCCACTTCCCTCTTGACTCTGCCTGTGATGGGTGTGTTCTTTATAAGGCAGCATTCATTGGAACCTGGCAACACGAAGAAATTTATGCCACCTCCATGGCTGACCTTTCCAAGCTGTGGAGACGGTTCCCAGTCCTCCCCAGGCTTCAGACTGCCCCCATCCATAGAGAGCCGAGCTGCGTGCAGCACAGCTGGACGGAGGCTGTCCTGTGAACATTCAGAAAGGGAAGCTGTGCACGCCGAGGCACACTGTGTGCGACAGGATGTTTTTCATGACTGACACCAGTATTTATAAGATGTGCTCTGTCATTTCAGGAACATGTGCAAAAGGTCTTTCAGAAGCAAGAGAGCATGCAGGAGATGTTTCACCGCAGGCAGGCCAGCCTGAAGAAGCTGGCGGCCAAGCAGACACGGCCTGTGCAGCCGGTGGCCCCTAGGCCAGAGGCGCTCACAAAGTCGCCGTGCCCCTCCCCAGGTAAGGACAACCATCTCATCCCTGGAAGCCCGGAGTCCCTGCTGAGGGCCTCTCGACCTTGGTTCACCCAAAGAAGCCACATGTGCGTGAAGTGTCCTTCAGTGGGCCTCCTACCCTTCCTACCTCCATCCCTGGTCCAGGGTTGGTAGACTGTGGCCTAGGGCTCCTTCCAGCCTTTTCCCATTTTTTTTTAAATGAAGTTTTACAGCGATGCAGTCACACCCACTCCGTTGCACATCACCATTTGTGGCTGCTTTTGTGCTGCAGGGACAGCAGAGTCAGGTCATTTCAGCTGAGTCCATGTGGCCACAAAACTGGAAAAAACTGACCATGAGGAAAACTCCTGTGGCCATCTCTCTGGCCTGTCTCCCCACCATCATGCCAAAATAGTCCCTTGCTCAGCTTTGACTTCTGACCAAGCCCTCTGGCCATCCCTAGTGCTGTGTCCCAGACCCTACAAGCTCAGGAGGGTGCCCATGGCCACTGACCCTCCTGGCCCTGCTCCCAAACCAACCCTTCCCCAAGGCCAAGGAAGAGGAAGCTCCATTTCTCAGACGTCCCTGCCCCTCCCTGCACCAGAAGCATTTTTTTCCCATCCTGGCTGGACTTTCTCACAGGAAAGCCAGGCCAGTGGGCTTGAGCATCTGCTGCTGGCCTCAGGGCTTTGGCAAATGTCAGCCTCAGAGGCCTGAGGGCCTGGAGAGCCAGGCTCTGCCTTCCTGCGTGTTAGGGGAGGGGAAGTTACTTTCGGGCCTTTTGGAGACCTCCCAGGTCCTGTTGTGAGCTCCTCCCTCCCTCTTACCTCTTATCTGTCAGCCCAAACTGTGTCCCCACCTAGGGTCTGTGGACGCCCCGGTCAACGGTCCCTGGGATAGTTCCACATCCCTTCTGCTCCCTTGGTTCTGTTCTTTTGTCTCCTCTCTGGACCCTCTACTTCTTTCCTCTGACCGTGTTCCCCTTCCCAGGCAGAGCTCATGCCATACTCCCCGCTTTTTCCAAACCAGGTGGCTGGAGAGGATCCGAGAACTCTGGCTCTGAGGGCAGTGCACTCCGGAGGGGGCCCTACAGGAGAGCCAAGGTGAGGCCACACGCTGTGCTGATCCCACATGGCCCCATCCTGGGTGTAATGCCACAGATTCTTGGTGAAGTGTCTTGGCCTTCTCTCTGGTCCCTCCATGACGCTGCATGTAGCCCACCTCTGTGGGTCTGCTGGCCTCCGGGGTGCCCATCCTCCCTCCTCAGACTTGCCCAGATGGGGAATGGGGCTGGGGCTTGCTGTGACAATCTGAACTTGAGTCTGCTCCTTCCCGTTTTCACGGCTGACATTCTGTTCTCCCCTCAGAGTGAAATGAGTGAGAACCGACAGGGCCGGGCCAGCTCCACGGGGGACGAGGAAGAGAGCCTGGCCATCCTGCGCAGGTGGGTGGCTGCCCCTCCAGCCATGCCACACTCAACTCCACTCATCTTCTGGTCCCCACAGCACCGAGCACACAGACACCCAGGAACACCTGGGTTCGATTTTGGAGGGAAGGGTGGGGTGGAGCCATAGGAAAGAGTCATCTCCAGATACACACGAAACTCACTGCCACCAACAGGACCCCATCAAAGTGAGAGGCCAGTGTGTCCACTGCAGCAGCTGCTGGCCCATCAGGGCTGTGGACAAGTGCAGTGTGGCCAGCGAGGCTCAGCAGCTGAGTGTCACTGAAACAGCCAGATGTGGCCAGTGCACTGTAGGGGCAGCATGACTGTCAGGCCCGTCTTGTCATGCCCTCCTGGGAACCCCAGATCCTCAGATTCAGGGCACATTGCAAAAACCGGAAATCAGTTCTCTTTCTTGACCTCTCTCACCTTTAAGAAAGGAATGCCTCAGACTGGAGGTGTGGCTCAAGCAGTAGAGTGCCTGCTTTGTAAGCACAAAGCCCTCACTTCAAACCCCAGTCCCTCAAAAAAAAAAAAAAAATGGAGAGAAAGAGGAAGGAGGGGAGGGGAAGGGTGGAGAGAAGTGGAGAGGAAGGAAAAAAGGTCTCATTGATCCAGGCTAGGCAATGTAAACACAGGAGGTTAAAATTGGAGAGAAGCCAGAACACTAGGGGCCGGGTGGGGGTGGGGGGAATGCATGCTCACATCATCAAGGACCTGGGGTCACAGCAGCCCAGACTGTGCACCCAGCGCCCTATCGCTGTTCTGCAGATGCTCTGACGCTTCTGCGAGTAAATGCGTGGGCCATGCCAGGATGAAGAAGAGCCTCCTAGAAGCCTGCGAACAAGCAGGTGCACACAGGCAGCTCCTTCCAGGTGTCCCTAGCAAATAGTGTCACTCTGGACAGACTTTGATCTGTCAAGCAAATTCTGGAATTATAATGGCCCAGCTTGGAGGTGAACACAGATCCTGTCACTTCTGGCTTCTGATGGAAGCTGACAGAGAAGGGAGGATGGTGGGGAAGCTTCCACACAAAGCAGCAGGCACAGGGTCCTGAGACTCACAGGGGTGGCCTTCCTCACACCTGTGCAGGTCATAGCTGAGAAGCAGAACCCGGTCCCCTGCCCACTTATATACAGGCAGGGCCCAGACACTTGATCTTCATGGTTAGAATTGACTGTGCAAGTCTCAACCCGGGAGGTCTGTTGGCTCAAGAATTTGTGAATTTAAGTAGGCATTAATGGGCCATAAACAAGTGGCCCTTGTCAACAAAAAAGGTCTGAATGGCTGATTTGTAAGCCGGGGACTCCACAACTGATGGCACATAGTGAGTCTTCAGATGGTCTGTGCACCTGTCCTGTGCAGAAAGGGAGGAGGCTGTGTAGCTGAAGGGCTGGGAGGCCAAAGCTAAGCTGCAGAGCCACACTGGCCCTAGACTGGCCCTAGGAGGGGCCCAGGAGGCCATGGGGTGGTGTTGGGGAGCAGTGGGTGTTCCTAAAGTGGTTGGCTGAGGAGGTCAGCTTGCCAGTGTGTGCAAGGATAGGGAAAATTTTGTGCAGATGGGGCCCAAAAACCCAGTAGGTGTGTCAGACGATGGCAAGAGAGGTGGTGCAGCTGCATCAGAGGATGTGAGACAGAGTAGGTGGAGAAGGGGAGAAGGAGGCCAGGGGAGGTCCACACCTTGGGCTCAGCCTCCCCTCTAAGCCCTCATGCTGTGCAAGTCCTTCTCTTCTAGAGCTGCATTTCTTTGTCCACAAATAAGCCTGGGAACCCAGGGTTCCTGCCACTTCTCCCAGCTTTAACCTGTGGTTGCTCTCCATGCCCACCCACAGGCACGTGATGAATGAGCTCCTGGATACAGAGCGGGCCTACGTGGAGGAGCTGCTCTGCGTCCTGGAGGTGAGGCTGGACAGGGGAGGGAGCAGCACACTGGCCTCATTCTGGCTGCAGTTTAAAATTGCTGCCTAGAAATGATGGTTTCTGGCCATGAAAAAGCATGTGCAGTGTTCACAGCTGCTTAACCTGGCAACAGCCCAAGCTGAAACAGCCCAGGTGGAGGGTGGGGCCGAGGCAGGTAGATCTGGACAGGGGGTTGTGAGAGAGTGCTAATGCATGCAGCAAACACGTGACCCCCTCCCCAACACAGTGACAGTGAAAGAGATCAAAGGAAAGTGTAACAGCTTTCATGTATGAAAGATCCAGGCAAAGCAGGTCTAGTGAGAGGACGGGGTGCCTTTGTGGAGAATGCCAGGTGCTCCAAACAATGAATGAGCTGGGCGCTGCTGGCTGCAGTCACACAATGAATTTATGCAGGTGCACAATAACCCGTGCCCTTTGTGTAAGTTACACCCTAACAGAAAGCCTAGGAAAAGCCTAGGTGCTGGTGGTTCACTCCTATAATCCCAACTACTTGGGAGGCTGATATTGAGAGGATCATGGTTAAAGACCAGCCTGGACAAAAAGTTCACAAGACCCCATCTCAACCAATAGCTGGGCGCAGTGGCACACAGCTGTCATCCCAAGCTATGGGGGAGGCTGAAGTGGTAGGAATGGGGCATAAAAATAGGAGAATTGCAGTTCAGTACAGCCTGTGCAAAAAGTGAGACCCCATCTCCAAAATAACCGGAATAAAAAAGGCTGGGGATGTGGTTCAAGCTTTAGTGCCCAGAGTTCAAACTCCAGTACTGCCAAAAAAAAAGAAGGAAGAAAAGGAGGGAGAGAAAGAAGGGAGGAAGGAAGGAAGGGAGGAGGAAAGGAAGGGAAGAAGGAAGGGAGGAAGGAGGGGAGGAAGGAAGGAAGGAAGGAGGAAAGGAAGGAAGGAAGGAAGGGAGGAAGGAAGGGAAGAAGGAAGGAAGGGAGGAGGAAAAGAAGGGAAGAAGGAGGAAGGAGGGGAGGAAGGAAGGAAGGAGGAAAGGAAGGGAGGAAGGAGGGGAGGAAGGAAGGAAGGAGGAAAAGAAGGGAAGAAGGAAGGAAGGGAGGAAGGAAGGAAGGAGGAAAGGAAGGGAAGAAGGAAGGAGGGGAGGAAGGAAGGAAGGAGGAAAAGAAGGGAAGAAGGAGGAAGGGAGGAAGGAGGGGAGGAAGGAAGGAGGAAAAGAAGGGAAGAAGGAAGGAAGGGAGGAAGGAAGGAGGAAAAGAAGGAAGAAGGAGAGGAGGGGAGGAAGGAAGGAAGGAGGAAAGGAAGGGAAGAAGGAGGAAAAGAAGGGAGAAGAGAAGGGGGGAGGAAGGAAGGAAGGAGGAAAGAAGGGAAGAGGGAGGAAGAGGGGAGGAAGGAAGGAAGGAAGGAGGGAAGGAAGGAAGAAGGAGGAAGGAGGAAGGAGGGGAGGAGGAAGGAAGAAAGGAGGAAAGGAAGGGGAAGAGAGGAAGGAGGGGAGGAAGGAAGGAGGAAAAGAAGGGAAGAAGGAAGGAAGGGAGGAAGGAAGGAGGAAAAGAAGGGAAGAAGGAGGAAGGAGGGGAGGAAGGAAGGAAGGAGGAAAGGAAGGGAAGAAGGAGGAAAAGAAGGGAAGAAGGAGGAAGGAGGGGAGGAAGGAAGGAAGGAAGGAGGAAAGGAAGGAAGAGGGAGGAAGGAGGGAGGAAGGAAGGAAGGAGGAAAGGAAGGGAAGAAGGAGGAAGGGAGGAAGGAGGGGAGGAAGGAAGGAAGAAAGGAGGAAAGGAAGGGAAGAGGGAGGAAGGAGGGAGGAAGGAAGGAAGGAAGGAGGAAGGAAGGGAAGAGGGAGGAAGGGAGGAAGGGGAGGAAGGAAGGAGGAAAAGAAGGGAAGAGGAGGGAAGGAAGGAAGGAGGAAAGAAGGGAAGAAGGAGGAAGGGAGGAAAGGGGAGGAAGGAAGGAGAAAAAGAAGGGAAGAAGGAAGGAAGGAAGGAAGGAGGAAAGGAAGGGAAGAAGGAAAGAAGGAAGGAAGGAGGAAAGGAAGGGAAGAGGGAGGAATGAGGGGAGGAAGGAAGGAAGGAAGGAGGAAAGGAAGGGAAGAGGGAGGAAGGAGGGGAGGAAGGAAGGAGGAAAGGAAGGGAAGAGGGAGGAAGGGAGGAAGGAGGGGAGGAAGGAAAAGGGATGAGGCCCCGGCTAGGAAGGACGAGGCGTGAGGCTGCACCTGCCCGGGACAGTGCTGTTCCTCCTCCTGCTCTGTGAATGTCTTCAGGTCACCTTCTCAGAGGCAATCACCCGTAAGTAGGAGTGGAGTCACTTTGTTTACGCGTCCTGGCACTGGGCTCACTTTTAAACAAGCACTGACAAGGCATCACTGGCCTCCAGCCGTCCCAATACCGGCACTCGGTGGTGGCAGGTGCGCTGCATTCCTGGCCTGTCTTCTGACCTGACCCGTCCCCCACAGGGCTATGCTGCGGAGATGGACAACCCCCTGATGACACACCTCATCTCCTCAAGCCTGCACAACAAGAAGGAGATTCTGTTTGGGAACATGGAGGAGATCTACCACTTCCACAACAGGTGGGGCGTGGCCCTGGTCACACACACACCCTCCGGCCTCTCCCTCCTTCGAGGTGCCGGGACCCAGGGGCCCTGGCTGTGCTTGACTGAGGATGATTCCTCTAGGCAGTGGTGGGCATGCAGTGGGTTCCCAGGCACTTTCTCTGACACCCACTTGCTCCTTGTCCAGCTGGCTGGTGCCCAGCATGACTGGGTTAGAGGTGAGTGGTCAGCCCCAGGCATCTTTCTCTTGTCCCCCAAGGGTGTGCCTTTGGCACTTGGGTCCTGAAGGCCTTAGCAAGGCTCACTTTGTGCTGAGCTCATTCTTCTTGAAAAGGATGGCACACCAGACACTCCTTCCCATCATTCTCCCCTCTTGAGAGCAAGAGGAACTGTTTGTCCCCAGAAAGCCAAGAGTGGCCTCTTCGTGCCTTTCGACAAATATGAATGGCCACCTGGCTCTGCTTATCCTTAGCTCCTCTTTGTTATTTTGTGACTTTGACATGATTTGTGAGGGCTTGTGGGAGTGTAGACAAGTGGGTAGGCCTGCCATCCAGGGTGGGCACAAAGAAGATAGGTGGATGGCCTGCACATGTGTCCTAAAAAGAGGCCCAGCGTGAATGGACTGAGTGCACAGCACTGTGAGGGAATTAGGGACCCTGAGATCCTATCTCTCTACCTGCCTCTCTGCTTCAAAGACTCTGACCCACTGCTTCCAGAGAAAGCAGCTGCCCACCACTGACCCACCAGAGCTGCTCCTTTTCCAAAGGATGCAAGGAACCTCCCTTCGCATCCTCACAGGTAGCCCTCAAGTGGCCCCAGCAGCCTTCCCTTCCCTGGGATGTCCCCAAGGGACAAATAGAAGTCAGAAGATTAGAGGGGAAACCAGCCGTGGACCTGGGCTGATGTGTCCCAGAAAACCACTGGTCCACGATCGGGCCTGCTGAGCTCCTGACTACTCCATCTCTGTCTTTGCTCTTCCCACCGCTGTGCCATCTGAAAACAGTCCTGACCTCTGTGGGTGTGAATGCCAGAAGCAGAGGGAGATAGCACAGGGCCTCTCACAACAGAACCAGCGATCCAGGGACGGGTGTGGGCTACAGGGTCCCAGGCCAGGTAGGGCACTGTTGCCATCCAGTAAAGAGTGGTGTTCTCTGGGAAATGATGTCCCCTCTGTGGGTTATTGTTGTCACACAACTGTGAACTCCTCCATCCAGGATCTTCCTACGGGAGCTGGAGAGCTGCATAGACTGCCCGGAGCTGGTGGGGAGGTGCTTCCTGGAGCGGGTACGTATCTCCACACGCCTCTCAGAACCGTTCTGTACCCCTGCCTCCAAATTCCACTGCGGTTCCATTCCAGTTGCAGGTGGAGCACAGTGTTTCACGTGAGGCTGGAATAGGTGATACTTTGGGGGAGGGAAAAAGAATAGCTTTTTTTAAGGCTAATAACTAGTTTTTAAAAAGACAAAAAACATTAAGCCTGAGCTTTGGGGATACTGGAGTCCTGGTGCAAGTTGGAGGTGCTGACAAACTTTCCACTCAGGTTGATTATTTTTGAGGTAGGGGCCCACTTTATAAAATGCTGGCCTGGACTGCACTCTGTCCTTCCCCACCTAGCTGGGATGACAGGCACCTGCCACTGCACCCAGACATTGGGTGATATGGGGTCTCCCAAACTTTTTGCCTGCTCTGTTGTTGAACTGTGATCCTTCTGATCTCTACCTCCCAAGTAGCTAGGATTGCAGGCATGAGCCACCTTGCCAGCCTGGCTTTGTCTTTATTTGTGTCTGGCCCTGGCTAAGACTCCTTATTTGCCTGATGATCCTGGCCAAGTTCCTGGAGCTCTCTGAGCCATATTTCCTCCTCGTCAAGGCCGTGGACTTCTGCCTCTTTCACAAGGCTCTGGGGACAAACTCTAAAGGGACGGCTGTAGAGAAGCTTTGAGCAGGAAAGGCACAATCCACTGCATCTTTTCCTCTCAGACCCACGGGATCTGTCCTGTTAAGTGTGGAACTGCTAGCTTGGCGGCCTGGGAAAGGTAGCTCACTGTCAGTAGAAAAATGGAGCAATTTCATGAAAGAACTGATGGCTGAGACTCTCTCATGAGTTGGAACCAAGAGGTAGAAGGGAAGGAAGGAGCCCTATTTGTTTTAGCTCAGCTTGGCTGTTGGTATTTCTCCAAACGTCGTCTGAGACCTGAGGTGGGCACTGGGAACTGGTCAGTGGTGCAGGTGCTCGGTCCCCCATGCAGAGCCTGGGGATGGGCACCTGCACTGTGACAAGCTCACAAGGGAACTGTGGTCCTCAGGCTTGCACTGCTGTGGGAGACCAAACCCTGGAAACTCCTTCTGTAAAGTGGGAAGTCGGCTGCTCCATGTTCCTTGTCTGGTGTGGAGAGAAAGCCACCCTGTGTAATTCTCATAGGACAAAGGGGTTTAGTGAAGTTCTAGTGTGAGGCAGTAAACTGTCAGGCAGCGAGGGCCCGGGTAACCTGGGCTAAAGGAAGGCCCATACTGGCTGGGCGTTTTCCCAGGGGCCCATGGCCTGCTGGCCTTGAGCAGGTGTGTCATTGGGGAGACTGAGGCACACAAGATTGCGCAGCCCAAGGTCTGCTTCCATAGCCACTTTGCAGCCACCAGTTGTCCCCAAGCTCAGGGTTGACAGGGCTCATTCAGGGGTGGCTTTAGTTGTCAAGGCAGGCCAGAAGGGCTCCGAGTCAGGGGAGGACAGGGGTATCTAGGGTAGCTGTAGGGAGCACAACCTACATTCTTCCTAAATCCAGCCTGGACGAACAGTATCCAGTGCTCCACACAAAGTCCTGTCCTGGAGCCATCTGTACCCTCAAACCATCACTATCCCAAAATCATCTGTCCCCCACAACCATCTGCTCCCCAAACCATCTGTGCCCCAAAACTGTGCCACAAGGCCATCTGTGCCTCAAACTGTCTCTGCCCCAAAGCCCTCTGTCTTCTAGAGTCAACTACACCCTAGGAACTTCTATGCCTTAAAGCCATTTGCATCCTAAAACCATCTAAGACCTAAAACCATCTGCATCCCAAAATAATCTGCACCCAGAGCACTCTGTGTTCTAGAGTTGACAACCACCTAATCCCTACAGCCATCTGTGTCCTGAGGCGCCCACAGGCAATTTCATTTCACTCAGGGCTCCGGTGTGTGTGTGTGTGTGTGTTTACAAAATAATTTGTCTAATTTTCAAAACTGCCTGAGAAGATCCTAGAATTTTATGTAAATAAACAGACAGACAAGGCTATGAAGGACCTTTGATTAATGGGACATGGCAGAGTCCTATTGCCACCGGGCCACCCAGATCTGTGTTCCGGGATGGTTGGCAGGGACCTGGGGCTCCTCTTCCCCTCTTGTGATAAACAGTAGGACACCTGGCTGGAGGAGTCTGCTGGGGGTTCCCCAGCCCTCAAGCTCTGAGATTGGGACAGCCACCTCGGTAGGCCCAGAACGCAGTCTGTGACACTCCTTGTCCCTCCTGGCTGCAGATGGAGGACTTCCAGATCTATGAGAAGTACTGTCAGAACAAGCCGCGGTCTGAGAGCCTGTGGAGACAGTGTTCTGACTGTCCCTTCTTCCAGGTACGTCTTGACGCTCCCTTAGGCTGACATTTCCCCACAAGTCACCCTAAACAGAGAACCAGGGACCTTGTCTAACCCCAGCTGCTTGATGGTTCCAGGAATGCCAGAAGAAGCTAGACCACAAGCTGAGCCTGGACTCCTACCTGCTGAAGCCCGTGCAGAGGATAACCAAGTACCAGCTGCTGCTCAAGGTGGGCCACCCTCTCACCTGCTGGGTGGGTGTCTGCTGCTGCTCTGCCCCACCCAGGCTTCTTCCCCACCCAGCCCTGCATCCAGGCCCAGGGCCACCCTCTCCAAGCCATGTTCCTCCCACCTTGTGGGTGCCCTGATTTGTTCAGCCATTTGTGAGTGCCTACTATGTGCTGAACATGTAGGGTGGTGGGGGGACACAGAGATGAACAGCCAGATGCACCCCTTCCCCTTGGGTCCCTGCTCATCCTGCCCCGGGATTCTGTGCTGACAAGCCCACAAACCCTCCAAGGCAGGGCTACGCCCTGTTTATCCTGCCAGTCTCCAGCCTCGTGGGTGGTGGGGAGTGTGGAGGAGAGTCCATCTAAGAGTTTGCCCAGTGTGGCAGTAAACAGTTTGCAGCTCCGTACTTTCGGCTACAGTGGCAAGAGGGAGCCACTCCTCAGGAGGTGGGGGCTGGGGGTCTACACTAGCTGGGCTACACAGCTCCTGGTCTGTAGGATCCCACCATCCATCCATCAGCCCAGCCGTTGGGAGGGTGTGGGTGCAAGGCTTAGGAAAGCAGGCAGGACACCTCCTGAAGGGCAGCAGGAGTGTGGCTGATGGGTCGCCTGTGTCTTGTCCAGGAGCCATGCCAAGCTTCCTAGGAGTCCATCTTAGGGCCTGCCCAGCTCTGAATTTCTGGGAGCAGGCTGGCCCCGAAGGAGTGTTGGGAACATTTCTATGTATAAGCAATCCTCTTGTCTCCCCACTGTGCCCCTCAGGAAATGTTGAAATACAGCAAGAACTGCGAGGGGGCCGAGGACCTGCAGGAGGCACTCAGCTCCATCCTGGGCATTCTCAAGGCTGTGAACGACTCCATGCACCTCATCGCCATCACTGGCTATGATGTAAGGGGCTGAGGACTCCCTGTGCCTTGTTCATGTCTTGGTCCTGATGGGGTCTTCATGAACAGCCTTCAGGGGGCACTCTCTCAACACCTCTGAGCTCCCTAGGCCTTGATGTGAAGACCCAGGTTCTGGCCAGGACTCTGGGTGGACCTGGGTCAGCATTGGATGTGCAGACCACATGGGCTCACCCACGTGTAGAGCGAACCGGGAATGTCCCTCTGGGTGGGCAAGGGGCCTTCTCAGCAGCCATGTGGTCTAGCCTTTTCCCTGCCTGATGACCAGGAGTCCTCGGAGAGCAGATGGACCATATGTTTTCTGTGATGTGGTTTGTAGGCAGGTGACTTGTGATGAGTGACCATCAAAGGCAAATTCCTACTTTCACTCTTCTAGGCCCATATTGGATCGACTTCTGAGGTTTTTGCCTCTCTACGTATATAGATTCAGCTCTCATTCTCAGTTTGTTTTTAAAATTAATAGACTTTTTTTTAAGCGATTTTAGTTTTAAGAAGCACAATGGTCTCATATGCCCCCTCTCCCACACACAGTTTACCCTATTACTAACCTCTGGCATTAGTGAGACACCAGTTTATAATTGAACTATTCAGAATACATTATTAACTAAAGTTCATAGCTCATTAGGGTGCACTGTCCATACTGTACATTCTGTGGTTTGGGATAAGTGCAAGTGCTTGTGTCTACTGTTACAGTAGTGAATCCTCCCTGCCAAGAACCCTCGGGGCTCACCTCTCTGTCTCTCCCTCCTCCCAACCTCTGATCTCCTGTCTCCCTGGTTTTGCCTTTTCTAGTGTGATGTGGTGGGAACCCTGCAGTTCATAGCCTTCCTAACTGACTGCTTTCACTCGTTGACATGCTTAAAGCCCCCAGCCTGCCCCCTCCCTCCCCTGCTGCCCTGTGTCATCTGTCTTACATGTCACCCATTTCAGGGAAACCTCAGTGACCTGGGCAAGCTGCTGATGCAGGGCTCCTTCAGTGTGTGGACAGACCACAAGAAGGGCCACACCAAGGTGAAGGAGCTGGCCAGGTTCAAGCCCATGCAGCGCCACCTGTTTCTGCATGAGAAGGCCGTGCTCTTCTGCAAGAAGAGGGAGGAGAATGGGGAGGGCTATGAGAAGGCCCCGTCCTACAGCTACAAGCAGTCCTTGAATGTGAGTGAGGGTGGCACAGAGGGCTCTGCCCACTGACCTGAGGGAGGGAATTGATGACCAGTTCCTATCTCAGTAAACCTTGGTCTGACACCAAGGGACAGAAGACACCCAGCTCCTGTCCATGGCTGTGGGATTTGGGGATTTCTGCCATTCTTAGCCCCAACCCCTAAAATGCCCCATCACTTTATCCTCTTTGAACGAGGAGGAAGGTTTCATTAGACATGTTGATGCCTGCCTGGTTCTGCCCTCACCAGATGACTGCGGTTGGCATCACAGAGAATGTGAAGGGTGACGCTAAGAAGTTTGAGATCTGGTACAATGCCAGAGAAGAGGTCTACATCATCCAGGTAGGCCTCACCTGTCTCACAGGCCAGGTGTCAAGGTCCCCGCAGGCAGCATAGGGAGGGCCAACGAGAGATTTTATTGAGAACTGCATCTAGAATCTTTGTGGGTTCACAGCCCAGAGACAGGAGCTGCCATGCCTCATACTGGGACACTGCCCTGGGCATCTGTGACCTGAGCTGGCCCAGGATGTACTCTGGGAGCAAGTACAGACTGGGGTGTTAGGAGTGCGCCCCCAGGAATAGGCTGCCCCCTCCTGCAGCCCTGCCATCCAGGCTTGGGGAGGTGTGCCTTGCACCTGTCCTCACTGTGCCAATGGGGAGAGGGTGGAGCTGTGGCGTGGACTCAGGTGGCATCCTTTCCATGAGCCCTGGCAAGACCCCATGTGCCCTGTGAAGGATTCAGCCACACACCAACTGGGCCTTCCAGTAGCCTCATCCTAATAAGTGGGGTGATTTGGTACCAGTAGGTACACAGTGGTTACAGCAATGTCACAGCCCCATCATGTCCTCCAGTCCTGCACCCAAGCCACATAGAGCCGAAGCAAGGACAGGGGACACCAGGGGGAGCGACCAGGCTTGGCTCCCTCAGCATTCAGTTGCCCGTGTGGCAGCAACCCACAGGCCAAGCCACAGGCCACATCTGTACCAAGATAGGATAGCAGCCCCTGGCCACAGTTGACACCCTGGCCTGGCAGTCTGTCATCTCCCTGTGTGTTTCAGACTGACCACTGTCCTTGTATCTAAAAGGATGTCAAGGCAAAGCCACTCTCAGGAAGTCCTTCACTCGAGGTCACGCGTGGAGTTTGTCTGCCAAACCCAGTATGAGCGGCTGCACAGAGGTGCTGACCTCCTGTGGGTCCCAGCAGCACCCTGGGCTGCTGCATAGTCACACGGCTTTTTCCAGTCCATCCCATGCTTCAGGTCAAAGAGTTTCCGCAGCAAGGCGACGTGACTACCATCTGTCCCTCACACACAGTGATCTGTTGGATCCTCGGATCGTCAGCCATGATCAATAGGCACCTGAGTGCTAACTCCTGGGTTTCTTTTGGGGACAGGCACCCACTCCTGAAATTAAAGCAGCATGGGTGAGTGAAATTCGGAAAGTGCTGACCAGCCAGCTGCAGGCCTGCAGAGGTGAGGCTGCCTTTGGCTCTTTCTTCCTCTGACCCTCAAAATGTTCACAACATGCTCAAAACACATGAGAGACCTTAGCCTGTGTGTGTCATGGTGTTTGGTTCACGATGCTAAACGGCACATGTTGTCCCCCTCCCCACAGAAGCCAGCCAGCACAGAGCCCTAGAGCAGTCCCACAGCCTGCCTCTGCCTGCGCCAGCCAGCACCAGGTAAGCATCAGACATGTACGTCGTGAGCTTTAAGGCAGGATTTCTAGCTGGCGTGGTGGCATATGTATGCCTGTGATCTCAAAACTTGGGAGGCTGAGGCTCAGGAGGACCACAAGTTCAAAGCCAGCCTGGGCTACACAAGCTCTGTCTCAAAAATCAAAATTAAACTGGGTGTCAGTAGCTTACGCCTGCCATTCTAGCTACCCAGGAAGCGGAAATCAGGAGGATCGTGGTTTAAGCCAGCCCTGGCAAATAGTTTGCAAAACCCTATCTCAAAAAAACCCTTCACAAAAACCAGCTGGTGCAGTGGCTCAAGGAGTAAGGCCTTGAGTTCAAGCCCCAGTACCAAAAAAAAAAAAAAAAAAGAGCAGGGCTCTTACATGCTCCCTGAGTTTACTCCCCACTGTCACAGGGACCTGCTGGTTGTTGGGGTTGGGTTTGTCCCAGGCCTCTCCAGTGACATACTGCTGGCTTGTCCTGGGAAGGGGGAGGTCATCCCCAGAGACCCTCTCTCTGCTCCTCTCCCTGCAAGCACAGGTCCTGGCCTCTGCTTTGTTTCTGTATTATTTCCCTTCATGGTCAGCACATGTCAGGGGTACTTCCAGGTGACAGTTGGCCACCAACATTATGTGATGGATGGTGGCTGGCACAGGGTCTGTCACTAAAAGCTTGAGCTAGATTCAAGGCCTGTGGTCAGCACACGTGTGTGCATTTTGGACAGTGGCTTTGTTGTATCTTTTCTGCCCTCATTTTTCCTTTGTTATTCATTCACTTATTATTTTTATTATTTCTTTTAACTTTTTTCCTTTTTTATATAAGTCACCTTTAATCATTCATGGGCTAGGATAGGTCCTAAGTAAATCAGCCAGAGAACACTTGTTTTAAATGAGAAACTCACTCCCACAGTCATCCTACTCGAAATCTGGGAAGGTGGGATTTGTTCTCAGTTGGCTCCAATTGCGTGGTCCACATTCTCAGGCGGTACAATGGGCTGCCTCTGGGGTGGCCTGGACGTGAGATGTCCCAATGTGTGTGGTCCTCAGAGACACCTGAGAAACTAATCCGGCAATGTGCTGTTTCTTTACTGGCATCTTATACCATCAGCCCCTCAAGAGGGAGCACCAGAAACATCAAGAAACTGGAAGACAGGAAAACAGACCCCCTGAGCCTGGAAGGATACGTGAGTTCATCATTGCCCAAGCCTCCTGAGAAGGGCAAAGGTGGGTGTCTGCCATGGTGGGACCCATGTGGGTGCTGCTTGAGAGAGTTTATCAGCAGTCTGTAAGACCAGGTATCCTCCTGCAGCCTGCCATGTGTGCAGAGCTCAGGGTCCCCTCCCCCTTCCAGAACACTCGACCTGGGAGATGTCAGCCTCAGAGCCACCTGGACTGGGGGCAGCGGCCAGTGCCCTCTGCTTTCTGTCTGTCCTCCCTCCGGGATGACACCTCTGTTCTGTTCTGTCTCCTCCCTCCTAGTTCTGTCTCTCCTCCCTCCTAGGTGACATCTCTGTTCTATCCCCTCTCCCTCATAGAGAATGTCTCTGTTCTGTTCCGTCTGTCCTCCCTCCTAGGTGACACCTCTGTTCTGTTCTGTCTTTCTTCCCTCCTAGACAACACCTCTGTTCTGTTCTGTCTCTCTTCCCTCCTAGACGACGCCGTCTCTAGCTCTACCTCTGAAAGCTCTGCACTTTCTGTAAAGCGCTTCACGCTGCAGGGCTTTGCTAACCTCAAAGGTCAGAAAGGTAAAGACCTAACGCCTGACACCTCCCTCCGCCCTGTCCTCATTGGTGGCGTCTGTGCGGCCCATGCGTGGGGAAGGTCTCAGGAGGCACCCACAGCCCCATCCCACCCGCAGCCCATTCTGCACCACTTTCCACTGCATCATTCTGGTCCGCTGCACTGTGTCCATCCAGGGGCCTGAAGTTATCTTTTAGGGGTGCCTTTGGAAGCACAAAGGCCAGCTTAGCAAATATAGCCTGCTGGAACTTGTGAGCTGTGGGCTGCTCTCTAGCCAGCGTCTCCCCAGCCCCTCTCCTTTCCCTGTCCCCACACCCCTTGGCTTCCGCAGGCGTTTGCCTTTCCAGCTGTGGCCACTCTTTTCTGCCAGTGCTGAGTGCCATAGCCAGGTGTCTTCTAAAGCATGTGCTGCAAGTGAATGGCAGCAAAGAATGCCTCTGGGAGCTTCAGAATCACTTAGGCACCTTGGAGTGCACCTTGGTGGCTGAGGGGCCCCGACAGCCGAGGACAGTGCTGGGCTGCTGCAGTTCTGTGCAAGACCCCTCCCAATGCTCAAGGCCAGAGTGCCTGGTCAGACAGGCACTGGTCAGAGAATTAGGGATTTCCCCCCCAATTTATGACATACTTTTAAATTAAAGAAACAAAAAACAGAACAAACAAACCTAAAAAACCCTCCATTTCTGCTTCTGCATACTTTCCAATGCAGAGCTGACAAGAGGTCTAGAGGCAGCCCTAAGATGATACTGATGGCCAGCACCACCGTCCTCCAGCCTCATCTTCCCTGCTATCCCCTCCCCTGCGAGACCCACAGCCATTTCACTCACTCACAGACATTTCACTCACCTCTGCTCGCTCGGCGATTCCTCATGCTCTCTCTCTCTCTCTCCTGTTGTATTTTTGCTTTGTCCTCCTCCTGCAGCTTCTCCAACCAGTCCTGACAAAAAAGCTAAGCGACACGAAGTAAAGAGCGACCCAACTCCCTTTGGCTTACGAGGTAGCGCAACAGACCCTGGGCACCAGCCAGGCGGGCCATCTGTGGCCTTGCATGGCACCCAGGATGCAAACGAGTAGGTCAGGCAAGCCAGGAGCAGTCCTGGGGACTCACAGCTTAATGCCTGGTGACAGACGCTGGGGGGTGCTGCTTCCCGTCGACAACTCAGCTGGGGCTGCCCAGAGGTGGCAGAACTGCCCAGTGCTCGCAGTGGCTAGCATGTGACCTGGGGTTCATTGCTCAGTGCTGTGGTAAGCCGTGGGCACCCTGTTCACAGGGTGGAACAGTACCTGTCCCCTGCATCACCAGCTTGCCCCATCCTTCTTGTTATGGGATCAGGTCCATCCTCCCCTTTTACATGGAGGTGGCGACTCATACAGGCTGACAGGGTTGAACTCCAAACTGGGAGATTTGGGCCTCTGTTTCCTGCTCCCTCATATTCCAGCACATCTGCCATGTTCCCCCTCCCCCAGAAATCCAACACATCCCCTCCTCCCACCCCAGGATCAGAGGGGTTCAGGGAGAGGGTTTCTTGTTTCTGAGTTCCTGAGCTTTCTAAACAGTTGCAATGGTTCCTGGGAGAATAAGTTGACCCATATCCCCATCCCAGGACCAGAGGCCACCACACTGCAGACCCCCAGGCTCATTTTGCCCCAGCCATCCTCTGAGCCCAGCTCCTCTCACTTGGTGGGGCCCAGAGGCACGGAGCTGCTGGGTTCTAGCACAGTCTGCATGTGGATGGACGAAACTCGCAGCTGCTGACCCCAGGTGCTTGAGAAAGAGCCACTGCCCAGTTTGCCGCCTCTGCCAAGGCTTGCTTCTGTCCCTTTTTACTTGTGACCCCTTCCATCCCCCTGCTCGCCCCTGTGGGACACGGTATGGAGGCAGAAAGATGGGCCTGGCAAGCTCACCATGGACCAGACACTGCACCCACCTCATTGTAGCCAAGGGTTTCACCTCTGCAAGCTTCCCTTCCCTCCCTTGTGTGTGAGAGGAGACAGCGCAGCCTGGCAGGAATGCAGGGAAGACAGCAGGTGGTGTGCAAAGCCTGTCCTCCTTCACCCTGCCTAGGGCAGCCTGCAGTGCTGAGGACAGTCCTCCGCCTTGCACGGCTGCCCATCACCAATGTTTCCCAGAGGCCCAGCATTGCTGTGTCTATGCATTGAGGTGGCCAGGTGCCCAGGTCACTTTGGCCTAGTATTCTTGTGCACAGTCCCCCAGCATCCCAGAGAGCTGTGGCGCCTGGTTTGAGATGATTGCACTTCCAGATGCTTTTGTGTCTTGTCCCCAGATGGCACCTGGGTGCCACCAGACTTCAGTATGTCAGGCTTCCCTGCACCCATTAGAAAGCATGCAGGGATGCTACTCCAGCCTGGTAAGAATCCAGAGGGTCCAACAGCACCACGGCCTGGTGCCACTCTGGGTCTTCGGACCCTGCTGTTCTCTGGAAGTGCCAGTCACAAGCTGGTCCAGGTCCCTCACAGACAGTGCACCACACAGCAGTCTCTCTATAAATTCTGTGACCGGGCAGTGCAGCCTACTCTGCCTCCAGAAGGTATCACTTCATCTTCCTTTTCCCACTGTCTTCAGACTTTGGTCTCTTTGGCCAGAGCTCCCATCCAGGCTTCACAGCAACAGGGTGGCTGGAGGGGAGATGGCGTCTAAGCCAGGCTGTCCAGCACCAAAACCCATCCTAGCTTCCCAGGCAGTGCTAACAGCTATAGGTGTGCTCACAGCAGAAAGGGTAGGGTGACTGCAACTGGAAACACAAAACCCCATTCTTACACAGACACAGGCCTGGTGTGACACTGGGCAAGGCCAGGTGCACAGCTGTCCCACAGACCAGCCCAGGAAGGTAGTGCTCAGAGGGGCTCTGGCTGCATCTGTCCCGGTAGGACAGGTGCTAAGACTGAGTAATCTGTGGGCAGCTGGGAAGTGCCCGTGTCGGGGAGCACCCAGGCCCAGTCACCTTTTCTAGGAAGACAAGATGGCTTTCCAGTTCTCCTTAGCAGAAGCTTTTCATTGCCAGCCTTGGGCATTCACTGCAAAAGACAGTGAGAGGAACATGGCATTGATGTGCCCAGGCTCCAGTCAGGTTATCGGTCTGCCCGTGACCCTGGCGATCTTGCTTCTTGTTGAAGTGTGACAGTATCTAGTATCTATCATATGAGTGCAGCCTAGTCCCGTACGTCTGTTACTAGCATTTGTTGATTTATTCAGCAGCATAAACTCGTCATCTCTGTCTCTCCAACATGGAAAATACTACTGCCACCATCATGGGTTTGTGGCAGAGGAGCAACAATGAAGCAGTGTCAGTTCCCCACTGGCTCTGCAGGACATTGGGATGAGGCTCTGGTTTTGCTCTGATCCTCTGCATAGCCTTGAACTCATGGCCAGCTGCTCACCTACTCGGGGAGAATGACAGTCCTATTTAGCTCACAGGTCAGGAAATTACTTGGTCATTTTTGCTAGAAACTGTTTTCCTGGTCAGTGTGGTAGGTGTTGATTGAAAACGCCTCCCCTGCTGTGGTAGCTGCAGGGTGCAGGTCAGATGGATGGGCTTGGGGGGGACGAGCCTGATGAGGGCATAGCTCTCTGGGCGGGTCTGGGACTCATCTCCACACACACATCGGACCAGGAGGTGGAAGCAGGTATCCCAAACCCTGACTGCCTGATACTGTGCGGCTGTAGCACAATGTGCTAGACACTTCGGAAGTGGGGAGCCTGGGCCGGCAGCCTGACAAGGACAAAGGGTGTCACGTGCAGCCCAGTTTATGAACCTGGGAGGGTGACAGTGTGGTGTGGGGGCTGCACATTCCAGGGGCTCTGTGGGACTCCCAGGACCCCACTTGAGGAATGGTGACCCTGTCATTGGCGTGGCCCTGACCGGAGCCTATGTCTCTCTTAGGTTGGAGCAAAACGTCCCACTCCCTGGAGGCCCCCGAGGACGATGGCGGCTGGTCAAGTGCCGAGGAGCCCATTAACTCATCTGATGCAGAGGAAGATGGCGGTGTGGACCCCAAGAAGCTGGTAAACCTTGGCCTCTCTGTGGGTAGCTCAGGGTGGGTGCTCTGTCCAATGGGAAGGAATGTTCTGGAAGATCCACCTTGGCCGCAACCCTCACTTAGCTCGCTGTCCAGTGCCAAGGCCCTGTGACCTGTGCATCCAGGGCCTGTGCTAGAGCCTGGACACAGTGTGCCCCTTGCTTAGAGGATGGCCCACACTTTTCCTCACCTCCACATCACGGACTACTCTGAGTTTTCCTAAAGCCAAGCACACGCCTCTGTCTCACTCTCAGAGAAACTGAACCAACTTACTGTGGATTTGCAGTGTGCGTCTGCGTGGTTGACATCTGTTTTCAATGTCACCAGCGAGGGAGAGGCATCTGCACCTTCAGTCATTAGAGTTGGGATGATACCGACTTCCTTATTGCACGCTCCGTGCTGGGCCAAGCCAGGCACCAGGCTGTAGCAGCCAACAGAGGACGTCCAGTCAGACCAGGCCTCGAGTGGAGGGACTGTCTCAGACCAGACGGCCTCTCCCGAGGGGGCGCCTCTAACAGGCCTGCAAGTGAGGACGTGGATGGGGAGCAGGCCTGGCCGTGTCCTCAGTGTGGGAGGTGGTCCTGCTGCTCGGACGTGGCCCAGAGGGACCCAGAGCAGGCCTCTCCTCCTGAGGCAAGCAGCTCCAGTGACGACCAAGGCCCTCGCCGTCCTTCTGGTCCAAGCCTTGCTGCAGTCTACCATGCCCGGTCATGCGTTCGTAGCTCCCCCACGAGGCTGGGAGCAGCTCCACATTCCACAGTAGAACTCATTCCACAAACACTGCAGTTTTCCATACTCCTAGCCCCATTCCAGGCTCTGCCAATAAAACTGGGAACAGAGCAGACCTGAATCTCAACTCACAGAGAGGCACATGTAGCATGCTAGGTAAGAATAGCTGCCCTGAAAGAAAATGCAACAGGGAAGAGGCCGGCGGATGGCAGGACCCAGCCTCCAGCTCAACTGAGTGGCCAAGGAGACCTCTCAGAGAGTGCAGCCATTAAAGAAAACCTGCAGTAGAGGGAGAGCATTCCAAGACAGGGAGACAGCAAGTGCAAAAGTCCTGGGGTTCAGGGGGTTGTTTGGAGGCCAGCAAGGAGCTCAGCCCATGAGGACGTGGTAGTGCTAGGAACGGGCTGGTAATTCAGTTTATTTTCTTTAACATGATCAAAATATGACTTAGCCTCCTCCTAGATGGAGTGGGGTGGGAGAAACTTTCCAGTTTAAGCTAGTAATCTCTCCAGAATCTGTACAAATGAGCAGGACCCCAACAAAGCTGTGGCCTCCTTCTCATTGCTGCATGGTCCACTGTGGCGTGGACATTCCCGTTTGCCTATGACTGGCACTCCACAGTGGGTGGGGGGCGCAGAAGTGTGTTGCTTGCCTGCTGGTGCTGAGAGGAGGCGCCTCCACTCTGTCCCTCTGCCGTGTCCCCTTCAGGTTCCTGGAAAATACACGGTCATAGTGGATGATGAGAAGGGGGACCTGGAGACCCTCGCTGTGAGGAGCGGGGACGTGGTAGAAGTGGTGGAGGAGGGTGCCGAGGGGCTCTGGTAAGACAACACCTGCACCCATCTCCTCACACCTCAGACACCTGCCCACCCTCACCTGAGTCACCCCCACACCTCAGGCACCCCGCAGCACTCTCACCTCGCACCCCCACACCCCCTGCCCTGACCAAGGGCATGGGGACAGCCATGGCCACCATTCCAGGTATGTCCGGGACCTGACCAGCAGCAAGGAGGGTTGGCTGCCGGCCAGCAACCTGTGTGCTGTCCTGGGCAAATCCAGCTCCGCCCAGTGTCTGAGCAGCTCAGGTAAGATCCCTGGGAACCACTAAGCCTGCTGAGGCCCTGGCCCAGAGCAGAGGGGATGTGGTATGCTCGGGAACCACAGCCCAGTGTGTCCCCTTACTTCCCACAGAGTCGAGCCCGGGGTCAGCCGTGCTGAGTAACTCCTCCAGCTGCAGCGAGGGTGTCCCCGCACCCTTCCCTGACCTCCAGGGGTAGCACCGGGCTCTGCGGACCACCAGGCCACCATGCAGTAGGTCATCATGCAACTCTCCGAGTTTCCTTTTGCTTGGGCTTGCTTAGTTGGGCCAGGGACAGTGCTCCAAGATGTCCACAACCAGGAGGACCCCAATCAACCAGCGGCCAGAGGACCTCAGCCTCAGTGCGGAACCCGCCACCCCTGCAAAAGTGGCTTAGGGGGCAGTGGCCACCAGAGCTTCTGGAAAGTCCCGAGTGGACAGAGGAGGGGCTGCGGAGAGCAGACCCCAGAGGGACGGGGACACCCTGACCTGCCCTCGAGCGGCTGAGCGGCCTTTCCATCGTCCCGACATCTCTGGTTTGGTGCTTTCTGCAGGAATGGTATCCACAGGAGGGGACGATTCGCCAGCAGTGGCCCGAGGAGGAGGCCAGGGACTCATGTCTTTTTAAGGTTTTGATTTTTGTAAACGGGGATCAACCCCATGGCCATTTTTGTGGTACTTTGGCCTCAGATCTTTACCAAGAATCACTGTGTTTACATGAAATGACAATTTGATACTGTATTTGATATAAAACTATTTTTTGTTACGGGGTTTACATCGAAGCACCTTGTTTCTACCACTAGATGGTTTGGAGACTCTCACTGAAATGCTGGCACTCCCTGGAACGTACCTGTCACAGGTGAATGAAAGCATGTCCCTTGGTAACTCGGGTGGTGGCTCCATGACCCAAAGCAGTTGAAAGCCAAGGTCCTTGCACCGCACAGGTTTCATTTTCACCAGAAAATTTAAACTATCATTTAAAATATTAACTTCTTTTCTACAAAAAAAAGGGACTCAATTTTTTAAAGTGTTTCATTGAATTAGGGGTTTTTTTTTATTGTTTTTAAAGAAAATGTAAAGACGCAGTTTCTGCAGGGCTTCTGTGAAACTGCTGCTGTCAACCGTACTCTCCCTGGGTCCCCTCCCCCAGCGCCACCGGTGCAGCCCAGGCCACGGCCCAGTGGGCTCCATTCACACCACGGCCAGCCGGCTGCAGGGACTGCTTCTGTTTCCCCTTTCCTGTGTTTGCGAAACGCTGTCTGTGCCTGGTGGGGCGGATATTTTTGTACGTGTGTGTATATATGTTCACCTGTGTACATAAGATCTGGATGTATTTATCGTCTCATGCTGCTGAACATCTGTCACTTTATGGTCCCTCCCTGTCCTGCCTTGGGAGGCCACACGCTTGCTCTCCCCTGTGTCACAGCTGAAGTGTCCTCCCCTCCTCTGGTGTGCACAGCCATTGCTGACCAGGCCTCCAGAGAATGGTAATAAAACAGAAACCATGCAAACACTGCCCGTTCTCCTCTGGTGCACGCGTGGTTAGGAACGAACGAGGGACTTGATCTGCCTGGTCTGCTGCTCAGGCCTCTGTCCAGCACAGGCTGCCCACTGTGTGATCCCTTCCTCATAAAGGCACTTTAAACTGTCACCCTGCATTCACTGTTTGTTTATATTGCCGATGTAAATGAATCATTAAGATCAGAGCTCTTAATTGTACAGGTGAAGTTTGAATAAATAAACCAACTCCTGCAGTCTGCCTTCTCTGTAAAGACCCAGGGTACCCAGTGCTGCGAGCTCTGTGAGGCTCACGTGTGCCCAGCCCAGCAAATATGAGGTGAAGCAGGGAAAAGGCAGAGGGATGCCCAGCAACCTGGCATCTTAAATCTGAATCCCATCAGACAATAATGACAAAATGTGAAGGTGACCAGAGAAACACAAAACCTTATAAAATAGTAATTACACACTGTACAACTTCTAACCAAAACAGGGGAGAATGAAGGGAGGTCACTGATCCACAGAAGAGGGGAAGGGGGAGGGCAGGAAAAGCACGGTGAACAGAAAACACAAACTGGAAGGAAGGGTGAGTGTAATGATATCTAACTCACAGCAGACGAATATGCTGATTGATGTGTGGCTGGACCACTGGAAGAGCCCAGATTGGATTAACTACCAAAGGAGATCCCGGAAAGAAAACACAAAGGCATGTTTCCAGCCTAGGTAAACAGTTCTCGAGACCCTCATCTCCAAAATAACCCAAGCAAAATGGACTGGAATAGAGTGCCTGCTGTGCAAGAGCAAAGCCCTGAGTTCAAACCCCAGTCTCAACAAAAAAAAAAGAAAAGAAATGTGGTTTTAGATTCTGAAATGTCTTTTTAAAATTTTTTCATTGTTTCATAACTATTTTGTGCAGGTTTCATGTTGCTGACAATGGTACATTTCTTCTATTTTTAAGGATAAACAGGTACCAATTTCTATGACAGACAGTAACATTGGACTCAGACTGCTAAGGCCTGCCCTCTGTATTTTAAGCCTTATTGTCAGTTGCTTACAAATTTGTGATCCCCATGTAGTTCCTTATACTCTAACTGCCCTAAATCCCCTTTGTGTGATATCAGTATCTCCAGATTTCTTTGGTTAGTGTTTATCTAGGCAATCTTATTTTCTTTTTTCTTTTTTTTTTGGCAGTACTGTGGTTTGAACTCAGGGTCTTGCACTTGCTAGGCAGGCGCTCTACCACTGGAGCCATGCCTCTAGCCTGGAAGCACGCTTACTAAAGCAAAGTAACTATTTTTTTTAGGGAGGGTCTCATGTTTTTTGGCCCTAGGCTAGCCTGGATCTCCATCCTCCTATTTACGCCTCCTGAAGCTGGAATGACAGGTGTGCACCACCACACCCAACTTTTTTGTTGAAATGGGATCTCGAGCAAAAGGTTACTTTTGTCCGGCTCACCTTGAACCTCAATCCTCCTGATCGCTGCCTCCTGAGTAGCTAGGATTACAAGGCATGACCGCCAGCTCCCGGCTATAACCATATTTCTAAGATTGAGACCCACTAGCAGGCTCTGGACTGAATCCACTCATGGGTGCACAAGAGCTGCAGCTGAAACACGGCTGAGGTTGGCATCTGCAGCCCAACTACACCTAACCATCCTTCCAGGACACAAATGGTGAGTTACTTCGGTTAGTGGTATGTGTTCACATGTGAGCCTGTGGGGTTGGGCAGGCGTAGCATGCATTTGCACACGTGTGAGTGTGCTGTGTGCATGTGGCTCTAGCTGATTCTGAGGCCACAGTCACTCATTGCTCGCTCATCCCATGCATGCATTGTGGTGACACAGCTTGCCTGTGTCGGGTCCCCAGTGGGCTTGGCCAGGCACACTAGCCAGTTAACAAGTTGTTGGGCTGTTTTTGTATCTTCTCCCAAAGCTGATGGCTCAAGAGTGCAATGGTGGGCCACAGTTCAGAGGAGCCCAGCCCTGCTCTGCAGGCTTCAGTGAGCTCCCTCGTACGGACCACAGCTAGAGGAAAGCTGCTGCAGGGGAGGACATGCAGAGAAGTGGATCTGTGGCTGTCCCTGCCCAGGCTGGGGCACAGAGGCCTAGTGTGTCCGAGAGTGCTCACAGGAAGGGTAGCCTGGGGTTCTGGGAGCCAAGCAGATCTCCCCACACTTGCCCTTCTGTGTGCTGGGACCAGGCACAGTGCTGGTGCCCACGGGACTGATGGGGAAGGAAGACCAAGTGGTGAGGCCCCTTGTGGGTCCAGGTGGAACCCTGGTCCTCAGGAGTCAACACAGGGACACATGCTACAGGAGGATGTCACCGCCCCACCCCCATCCACTGAAGGGCGTCGTAAGAAGGCTGAGTTTCAGGTAAGCTCAACACTTGTTCTCTGACATTCCCCAGCTTGTTCTGCTGTCCTGGATGTTTGAGGACCCCTGACCTGGAGCCCAAAGAAGAAGGGAACCTCGAGGCCAACCCAACCTCCACTCTCAGGAGGACTGTGGTGAGCCATTGCTGCCTCTGTCCACATCCTGTCATTGCTCTGCAGCTAGAGTGGTGGGGTGGCTCAGAGCAGCTGAAAAGCCAGAAGTGCCCATCATCTGTGCCCTCTTGTCTCAGAGCCCCAGGTTGCCCTGGAAGTGCTGGGCCACAAGGGCTACTTTGCCTGCTGCTCCTCTCTTCCTCTCCCTCACACAGCTGCTGAGCACAGGGTTCTGGCCTCTGGATGGCCTCAAGTGCATGCTGTCAGCCAGTGTTCCAGCCTTCCTCCCCGCCCCCAATCCTCTTGCTCTTTGCCCTCCTGTCCCCATCTGGAATGTCCATGGCAGGAAGCAGCAGTACCAGCATGAAGCCCTGGGCCCCCAGGCTCATCCTCCTCTGCTTTCTGCTCTGGCTTCAGGGAACCCTGGGAGCTACAGGTATGTCTGTTGGTACTCCAGGGAGGGCTGCCGTGTGTACTGGGTGGAGGGACAGCGGGCTGTTTGCTGCGGGTTCTGAGGGCCAGCCCAGGCCTCCAGCCTTGCCTCTGCTGGAGCCGACCATCTAGCCAGCAGCTCCACTTCACACATGTCCTGCACAAGGCAAGTGCTGGGCGCTGGCCACGTGGTGGAAGGACTGCTCCTGATGGGATGGGCTTGGCTGCTATTTTTCAAAAATCTTTTAGAAGCAGGGGTAAGAACGCCCTTAGCTCCCCTGGGGACACTGGTCTGCGAATCTGGACAAGAGCATGGAAACTGGAGCTCTGGGGTCCAAGGTCAATCATGTCAGGTCACCCCACGGGGCACTGGGCTACAGGGCCTGCTCACCATCTCAGCTCTATGGCCATGGCATCAGCCCCACATGGCACTGGGGCCTTGGGGAGAAAACCTGGGGGCACGCTGAAAGCTGGGAAGTCTTGCAGAAGCGAGCCGGGGCTGCTGTGGGAACTCCCAGTGCCTTGTAGCTGCCAGCGCTGTTCTTCAGTCTGCTGAAATCATCCTTCAAATCCCACGGTGGGGAGTGCTGCTACCCCAGAGGCTGCGTCTTCCCTGCTTGGTGGCTTCAGTGTGCCCAAAGCTAGTGAGAGTTCATCCTTCCTGAGAAACAGAATAGCGACAGGACGACCGGCAGCTTTCGACTTTGTTTTATTCTGCCTTTTCAACTTCTCTGTGGTGGTATCATGGGTATTTTGTTAGGAGATTTGCTCTGTGTCTTTGAGAACTTTTCTGGTGCAAATTTGCATTCACCAAGGACCCACAGTTCAGTTCTGATCGTCTGCTGGATGTGTCCCCGTGGATGGTGACGTGTGGGTCTCTCTCCTGCTTTTGCCCAGGGCCAGGCTTTGACTTTCCTTGCTTGTATCCCAAGCTCTCCTTCCAAACCACCAATCCAGAGGAATGTTTACTATGGAAATCTCTCTCATTCTAAAGAAAAAGATGTGATCTTCCTTAGCCCTGTGTGGCCCAGTAGCCATCTCCTCTTCACCTCCCTTCCCTTCTCGAAGTCTGACTTCCATCCCTGCCCTTCCAAAGGCCCCTCCCGCTGAACACCCCAACAGCTTCCTGCTGACCAAAACTACCTTTTTAGCCACACCTGAGGCCACCTGCCCCTATTAGGCTCAAGTGAGCTCTCCTTGAACTCGGCTCCCCGTCACAAAAGTCATGGAGCCCTGACTCCTCGGCCCTCCCCTGCACCTCACGGGCTGCACTCTGCTTCTTCCCTAACTGCCTTCGTTCCCAGCTCTCCCCTCCACACCCCAGCCACTCGTCCTGCTGCTCACAGGTGCCTTGTTTTGTATAGTCTCACGGTTCATGTAGCGTGACCGCCCTGGAGGGTTTTCATGGCTTCCTTCTCACTCTTGGTTCTGACCCCATGAAAACAAACATTCTCCTGTCATCTCCACACCTTCACCTAGGATTTGGTCCCCATGTCTATTGGGGTGTCCCAAAGAATCCTCAAATTTGCCATGTTCAAATTGTTGGGGTGCCTCCACCTAATCTGGGTGTGCTGGGTGAATGCTAAGCCTCATCCATCTCACTTTTCTCAGAGACAAAGTGGGGGACACTGGTCACCGTCCCAGGTACTGTCAGGGTCACTGTGGAGGCAGGGGTTATGGGAGGCCTGGCTCCTGGTTTTTAGGTGTGAGGAGGTTGACAGAGGCAGGAGGATCTTGAGGTGGATCCCAGGGCTGGGCGGGCCCCTGGTGAGGCAGACACAGCCACAATACACAGGGCTAACACGCTTGTGTGAGGAGACCCAATGTCCCCAGGGCTGTGTGCTGTCCACTAGACAGGGGTCAGGGGTGGCAGAGATGAGGAATTAAGATTTTCATATGGTGCCTGTGAAGCGCTAGACAACATTTATATATGTTCATTTATGCACTGTTGTGCCCAAGAAAGGGATTGCACGCAGTGCTGTTGAATCTTCCTTTTCACTGTATTTCCTTGTCCAGAAGCTTGTGTTTAACGGCAGCACCAGAAGCAACTGCTTGGTAGTTTCAGAGGGCTAAGTTTTTGTACATCCTCTGTGTACTTCTTCAGGATAAATCTCTGAAAGTGTTAGTGACAAGGTCAAAAAAGGGTGTATATGGTAAATTTTCAATTCATTTAATGAACATGCTGCAATACACTTGTAACTAAGGCTGTGCCATGTTGCTTGTCACCAGCCATTCATGAGAAGCACACCCAGGTTCAAATTCAGCCAGGCCTAGGATTATGTCACTCTCTGTGGTCCTCAGCCCATAGAGCAGACTGGGCACTGAGGGATCCAGTCCATGCGCCTCTCCCCACTCAAGATAGGCAGGGACCATTAGATTCCCACCACTGAATGGGAGAGCAGTGTGGAGAGGTAGCTTCCATTGCTGACTGACACAGTCTGGTGTGGATGGTTTCCATGAGGGCACCTGGCACGGGTAGACTCCATCACTAAGCAGGACCGATCAGTGTGGATGGTTTCTGCACAATTTGAGAAGGCAAGCTTGTGTGTGTCACTGGAACTTCTGTGTGTCAGTCTTCATAACCCGGGAGGAAGCACATGGTGTCGTGCACAGACAAAGGCGTGCCTACTCGTTCCTGGAGGAGCTGAGGCCGGGCTCCCTGGAGAGAGAGTGCAAAGAAGAGCTGTGCTCCTTTGAGGAGGCCCGTGAGATCTTCAGGAGCACCGAAAGGACGGTGAGCACTGTCCCCTGGGCGTCGCCTACACGCGTAGGCATGCGGCCTGCGAAAAGGATGCGAGATGGATGAGAATTTAGAGGGTGGTCACACATGTGACTTGGAGGCTGTCTGCCATCGTTGTGGCTGGGGCAGTCGGAGCACATGTGTACAAAAAACAGCCCTCCCTGTAGAGTTGGGGTCACAAGTCCCCTCAAGACAACTTCAGTTGCCCACAAAGCTCCCTACTACTCCCTGGTTCCAGAGACACCACCGGGAGCCCACTGTCCCTCCTCTCTGCCATACCATTACAATTTTTACATTAGAAAATACAACAAAACCACACGATACGTCCTGCAACTTCTCCAGGAAAAGTCCCTCCATTCCCTAGGGATCCAGGGCTGCCCGTGAAGTTGCTCTAAGGGAAAGAGTGACGCCAACAGGGAGGGCTGGGCATCCGTGACCAGGGTCTCTTCTGGGAAGGTGTGAGGAACGCGAAGGGAGCCTGGGGCTTCACCACCATGCTGTATGGACAGTGTTGTCTTCATTTCTGGTTTCACTTTCTCTCTCTCTCTCTCTCCTCTCTCTCTCTCCTTCCCTCTTCCCCTCCCTCTCCTTCCTTCCTTCCTTCCTTTTTATCGTTGCTGTTTTGACACAGGGTCTCAAAGGTAGCCAGGCCTACTCAGAGCCCTGCCTCTGCCTCGAGTGCTGGAATCACAGGCACAAACCACCACACCCACCCAAAACTCTGGTTTCACTTTTGAAAAGATGCACATGTAAACACCATTGAACATTTTCCTCATGGTTTAAATATTTCTCTTTGAACATTCTTACCACAACTACGGGTCAGGATGTGATGAAGAGACTCGGCTTGGGGATCAGGCTGAGTCCAGTGTTCCATCTTGTCAACGTCTGGAATAAAAAGAGGACACCAGTTCTTTTGTGTAACTGCAAGGGCCTCCTGCGATCATAAGCTTGTTCATTCTTCATGATTTTTTTTTCTCACCATCCCTGACACTCCAGGACACCTCACGTTCACAGAAGGTTGGTTCACACTAACAGATCACCTCACCACTTCACACTCACAGGACATCTCACACTGCAGGACACCCCACCTCACACTCAGGCACCTCAGCCTCTAAGACACCTCACCTCACACTCACCAGCAAGTCAGCTGCTTGATTTTGAGGCTGGCACGACCCTCTCCAAGGAAATTGAGAGTACTTACACTTTCGTTTACTGCCACTCAGCTTTCAGAGCATTCCCAACATTTCTCATCGGGTCTGTTCTCATCACAGCCCTACAAGTTTAAGTTCAGTTGGCCAAAAGTTTCTCCAAGAGTCTCTTTGATCACTGCAGTTCTTTGCAATTTGTGGGACGCTTTTAAATCTGTTACCATTCTGCCTTCTCACGTCAGCCCCGTGTGTGGGGGGTGTGTGTGTTACCCGTCAGGAAACAGAAGCCCAGGCTGGATGTATTTTGTCCCAGGTCACATCTCGGGGAGGCAGGGTGGAGGCTGGGACTTGGGTGTGCTGGTTTGGGGGAGGAAAACATGGCAGTCTTAGCTATCCCAGGGAAAGGTTAGCAAAATGTCCTCCTCTACATGAGCCCACTTCGTTCCAGACGAAATCTGACTCCTGAGCCTCTCGCAAAGGCCCAGGTCAAGAGCCCCTTAGCCCATGAGCTCCTTCCATGGACACTATAATTGCTGCTTCTGGTGAATGTGCCTCACGTGACTCTTCTTGTTCCCTCAGAATCAGTTCTGGATTTCCTATACTGGTGAGCAGGTGAAGGGCCGTTTGGATCCCGCCCCACAGCCCTTCTCTTCGACACACTAATGCCAACTCGCCCACAGATGGGGACCAGTGTGCCTCAAATCCATGCCAGAACGGGGGTTCCTGCAAGGACCAGCTCCAGTCCTATGTTTGCTTCTGCCTCCTCGACTTCAAGGGCCGGAACTGTGAGACAAGTGAGGCCAGCTTCCTGCCCACAGCTTGCAGACATGGAGCTGGGAGAGAGGCCAGGCTGACTGGTTCTGGGGTGTTGGACCTGGTCAGGGGTGGGTCGGAGGTGTGTTGGGGGTGTGTCCAGCCTGGCCCAACCCTAGTGGGCCTAAGACTGTACATCTCAGACTTGATGTCCCTTTGGGCTCCCAGCCTCAGGAAATTCTGCTGGGCCTGAAGAACCAGGTGAAGGTCCCTGTGTCACTGTTGAGCTTATATCCCCATCTGGCAAGACAACGGAGTAAACTTCACCTTCTCTACTTGCTATTCTGAAGGTGTGAAGTTTTCCTTCAGCTTCTAAATATTAAAATTTTGGAAAGCTTGGGGCACCCTTCGGCCACCACAGGCTCAGCAGTTTACTAGAGAATTCACACAGCTCAGGAACATGCATGTACTCACAGTTTCCTCTTACTGTAGCACAAGCTTGCATAGAAGCCAGGCACAAGCCCCCAGTGGTCCTCCCGAGGAGTCATGTAGGCAGTGCCCCATTCTCCCAGAATGGCATGTAGTGAGAGAACCACCAACCTGAGGGCCCCCGGAGCCGGGGTATGCAAACATTGCTGTGGCCAAACTGCCTTCAGGCCCTCCAGGGGCCCAAGGCTCCTCTGTCACATTGTTCATAGGCCAGCTGGCATGACCTAAGTTCCCAGGGAAACAATATTCCTGCCAAGCAGGACATCCCAAGGCCACCTGCCAGGAGCCAGGGCAAAGGCATCCTCTCTTTGGGCTGGGTGCTCCTTCCACCCAAGTGCACACAATGATACAGAGTGGGCTCTTCTGGGCCACAGCTGCCTTCCCACTCTCAGCAGAATAGGGCCAGAGGAAGAACGAAGAGAAGTGGCAGAGCTCCCTGCTGGCCACTGGCCCTGGGAGGCCTTTGTGTCTTGGTGAGCCTCACTGTGAGTTATAGGATAGACCTTTCAGCTGGAAAACTGGGCTCACACACCAAGCCAGCTCCTAATGCCCACGCCCAGCAAAATTGGGCAGACAGTTTCTCCTCTGTCTAGGCCAATAATCCATGCTGGGACCAAAGAGTCTGGCTGGCTCACGAAGGTTTGAAGGCTGCCCCTAGAAGAACTGCCTCCCTCAGGTCCTCCCGTGGCCATGCCTGTGATTCTGCTGAACACTTTTATTATCACCAGGGAACTTTTGCTTCTCCCCAGAGCCCTTCCCAGCTTCCTACCAGCCACCTGGATAGGTGATGGATAGTCCTGGAAACGAGCACCAGCCTGGCACACACATGCATGCGCACATGTGCGCGCGCGCGCACACACACACACACACACACACACACACACACACACACACACATGGTTGGCCTGTTTCCCACCGGTGAGGCTGCTCAGTTGTGTGGCTCCCCCCAGCTGCAGGTGTTATCCTTCCAGATCAATCCACAGAACAGGTGGTGCTGAGTTCAGTCTCTGTAGCCCATAGTCGCAAGCCACCTTTCAAGCAGGGTGGGAACAATCACCATTAGGGTAGCAAAGGCCCTGCTCAGGCTGTCCCCTTCTTGTCCCCAGACAAGAATGCCCAGCTGATCTGTGACAATGAGAATGGTGGCTGTGAGCAGTACTGCACTGACCACACAGAGGACAAGCGTTCCTGCCGGTGCCATGAGGGGTACACATTACTGCCGGATGGAGTGTCCTGCAGGCCCACAGGTAATGATGCCAGGGACTCCTGTTGCCTCATGCAATGGGTGGCCAGTCATCATCCCCAAGCTGCTGCAAATTCTTTCATCAGCTTAAAGGTGGGAGACAGGGTTTGACCCTTGCTCGGCACCTGCCAGGCACAGACCACCTGTGGTGTGGGGACCAAGGGCAGAGAAGTCGCCCCACCTGAGAACGGTCAGCAGATAGTGCCCAGCACAGCCCCCTGGGGCAGCCTCCTGCATGATCTCGGGCTCCCTGTCCATTGCAAGGCTGTCTCACTTCTAATACCAGATGCAGAAGCTCTGTGGGCTCTAGAGCCCAGGTGGGCACACCCCATGTCTGTATCCACTGTTGCAGTTCTGGACTCCGTGACTTCATAAAGGTGTGTGCTCCTAAGAAAACAGAAATCTCCAAAACCAACCTCAAACTAATTAGGCTGCATTTCCAAAGCCGTGCACCCAAACCCGTGTCTCCTCAGTGGAGGGGGTGCCCAGCCTGTATCCAAAGCCTGAAGCTCAGCTGGCCACCGCTAAATGTTCTTCCTGACTAGAGGACTTTGTTGTGTAGGCCAAAACATGAGTGGTCTCAAAAAACACAAATGTTTGCACTGCTGGTTCATCTTCAGACAGCACCTTTTTCACCTTTTTATAAACCCAAGCAACTCGTCTTCCTCCTGTGGAAAGCTAGTGGGACTCAGCTCCAGGGAGCAAACCACCTCTGCCTGTCTTCTGTCCAGCAGTTGCCTCAGGGCCTCCCAAGCCCAGCCTACCTGCCCTGCCCCGGAGTGGGTGAGCTGCCCCCACTCCCCGTCCCTGGACAGGAGCCATGCAAGGCCGGGCCTTAAGGCCTCTCAGGGTTCAAGTGCTTCTGGATCTCTAACCTTCATTCCCCTAAATGCCCTCTCCCTGACTTGTTTTATACAGTGGAATATCCATGTGGGAAAATACCTATTCTGGAAAAAAGAAATACCAGCAGACCCCAAGGACGAATTGTGGGGGGCAAGGTGTGCCCCAAGGGGGAATGTCCATGGCAGGTAAGGTCTCCCTGGCCCCTCTGCCCAGACCCAGTTCCCCTAGCTTCAGGATTCCTAGGCCTTGAAGGCTTCTGAATGAGCTTGCCAACCCCCACAGGGAATGGGACCAGCAGCCCACCCCACCCCAGTCTGCTGCACCCCCCTCCCTTTTGCTTGTGCAGGAGAGGGAGGGAAAAACAAACAGGTACAGAGGCCAGCTCTGCTCCGTGCAGAGATGTGGGCCAAAGTCCCCTGAGGACTGTATGGGTGCACAGCGCAACCCAGCAGGACATAGCTGTTGTCAGACCAGTCCTGGAGGAGTCTCTTCCAGAGATGGGCATGGCCATCAGATCCAGGTCCACACAGCTCTGCCAGGAGGGATCCACAGAGGTCCTGGACTTCAGGAAGGAATGGCGTCCTGCCAGCTGCTCCTTCCAGCAAGGCAGCCATGACAATGCTGTGATGCTTTGCATTCGTGTGCCCCTGGACAGGCCGTGCTGACAGTTAATGGGAAGCTGCTGTGTGGTGGCACCCTGCTGGACACCAGCTGGGTGGTGTCTGCTGCCCACTGTTTTGACAAGATCCAGGACTGGAGAAATGTGTCAGTGGTGTTAGGTAGGTTCTGTCTTTGACCTGCAGGCAGTCCTCAATGCTCAGTGTCCCCTCAATCTCGCTGACCAGATAACAACCCCCAGGAGGAGGAGAACACTGAAGAAAGTCAGACCGGTCTGGGAAGTATGGTGGGGGACTTAGGGTGCTCTGTCTTCATCCACGCACAGCTGCCAGGGCCCCATCCCTCCTTGCTTGCCCCTAAACACCCAGGTTCCCTGTTCACCCCATTCACAATCTTCCCACAGGACCCGCTGGGGCCCCTGGGAAAGCTCTGCCTATAACCCCAGGAGAGCCTGCAAACCCCTCTAGACTCCAGATGCAAAAATGACCGTAGCCTGTCCACATGTTCCAAACTGGAGGGGTGAAGGGAGCCAGAGCTCTGAGCCAGGCTGTAACCATGAGTGATTGCTTCATCCCAGGTGAGCACGACCTCAGTGAGGATGAAGGAGAAGAGCAGGTGCAGCAGATCATGCAGCTGATCATGCCCAGCAAGTATGTTATCGGCAAGACTGACCATGACATCGCTCTGCTTCGCCTGCACCAGCCTGTGGTCTTCACTGACCATGTGGTGCCCATCTGTCTGCCTGAGAGGATCTTCTCTGAGAACACACTGGCCAACATTCGCTTCTCAAGGGTCAGTGGCTGGGGCCAGCTGCTGGACCGTGGTGCCACAGCTCTGGAGCTCATGGCCATAGAGGTGCCCCGCCTGATGACCCAGGACTGCCTGGAACAGTCACAGCAGAGCTCAGACTCCCCAGCGATCACAGATAACATGTTCTGTGCTGGCTACCCGGATGGTAGCAAGGACTCCTGCAAAGGGGACAGTGGGGGACCACATGCCACACACTACCGTGGCACATGGTACCTGACGGGTGTGGTCAGCTGGGGTGAGGGCTGCGCTGCTGTGGGCCATTTTGGGATCTACACCAGGGTCTCGCGGTATACTCAGTGGCTGATCAGGGTCATGGGCTCCAAGCCCCGGCCAGGCATCCTGCGAGTCTCACTGCCCTAGCTGCCCTCAAAAGTCACTGCCGCAGCCTTGGGTGGGAGGGAGGGACAGAGACACAGAGACTGAGGCTGCAGAGAGGGAGATAGTGAGGGAGAGAGGCAGAGAGAAACAGGAAAAGAGAGGTGAAGACAGGGAGAAGTTGGGATTCACAGACTAACAAAGACATGGCTAGGGAATGGAGAGGCAGGCCCAAGGCACTGGGTGGTCATGGAGGTGGTGGAGGTCAAGCCTTTGCTGCTACCTCCCTACACCCCGCCTTCTGCCTACAGGTGCTCTGCCTGCATTGCAGGTCACGTGCACGCACACATGCATGCACACGTACACGGGTTCACACATCTTCTGCAGCCTGTTGTTTCACTTCTGTTTCTTTTTTGTACAAGTACCCTGTCCTCATCTCAATTAAATGAGAGGCATCACCCATGTGTTCTGATGAGCATTCTTTTTGGCAGAACTGGGGTCTTACATAGGTGCTCTACCGCTTGAGCCACACCTTCAATCTTTTCTGCTTTCACTGGTTTCAGCCTAGACCATGATCCTCCTACCTAGGTCTCCTGCAGAGCTGGGATTAGAGACACACCACCAAACACAGCTTATTTGTTGAGATGGGGTTTTGCTGAGTTTCCCCCTCTCCTGTCTCAAACCACTACCCTCCAATCTCCACCTCCTGGGTAGCTGAGATTTTAAGCATAAGCTATGGCACCCAGCCCCATTTGAGTACTTTTAAAGGTAGCTGATCATGCTCTGGACTGTCTGACCTGCTTTCCCCACTTGGCCATGGGTGGCCAGTTGCCTCTATGGGTGCCTGTCCCACTGAGTTGTCCGTGATCACCAAGTGCAGTCCTGGTGTCAGGGTGCCCTTTTCTCTCAGTGTCATCATCACTGAAATGAACTCTTCAGTGGAGGTGCTCCTTAAGAACAGGAGCTCTGTGATGGTACCAGGGCTGCTGCCTCCCAGTCTCCAAACATAGGATCCTCTCCCTGTCCATGACACTTCTGAGGCCCAGAGAGCATCTGCCCAAGAATCACCAAGCATGCATCACAAAATGCAGGTTCCAAAGTCCTGCCCTGACTGACTGGACCTGGTGGATAAGCCACATCCCCAGGGTCACCTAGCCTAAGGCCAGCAGATGGCCTTGGAGGAGAATGGGAAACAGAGAGCCAGGTTGCTGATGAGTTGGTCTCACTTGGACTCAGGCAAGTGCATCCAAGACGACAGACTCAGCGAGCGCCCACCTTTCTCAAGCACATCACTGGCCTCCACTCTGGCTGAGTCACTGTGCCTAGGTTTCCTCGGATGTTGTGAAAATGCAAGCAGCATGGGTGTGCCACGAACTGGAGGACCCTGAACCTGCTGTCGTCTGCAGGGGAGCCCTGAAGAGCTACCTACGTCAAGAAAGCCAATGTGCAGTATCTGCTGCTGAATACACAGGGTGTCCTGCAGCTCCACTCAGCCGCTCTCTGCAAGTGGCGGTGACTTTGTGGAGACAAATGTTGGCAGGACTCCTCTCCCGAGGCCAAAGACAGGCGCCATGGGAGGCCAGTGGAAGCCATGGAGGAATGCTGGCCTGGCCTCAGTTTCTGTAACACTGGTTGCTCAGAGCTGCCCAGAAACAGTACCAAGTGCCTGTGAGATGCCCTGTGGACATGCTAATTTGTGGGATGTGCTCACTCATGTATCAGTGCCACCTCTGGGAATGCAGCCAGGGAGAGGGTGAGGGACAGAGGAGAGGCCCCCCCAAAGCCAGCATCACTATTCGGCCTCACCTTGGTGAACTCCCATATTTCCCAGCCCCCTGCCCTGCATGAGGTCCCCAAGTGTCAGGCCTGTAGGGCAGGGCCTCCCATTCTGACCCCAAAGTGTCTAATGTGGCCCTGGCCCTCTCTTCCCTGTTGACCCATCAGGTAACTGAGGAGTGAACTTAGTTTCCACCCATTTGTCTCCAATAGCACAGCTACTGTCTAAGGGATACCTGGGTGCCCTACCTGCGTCCATGTCTGTGGGTTAGTTCAGTGGTTGAAAGCCCAGGCCCAAATTCCATGTCCACTCCAGTGCCATACCTCCCCCCTCTCTCTAAATCTCAGTTTCTGTTCTTGAAAAGTAATGAGTAATGACACTTCTATCCTGGGTGTAAAGACTAGATGAAGCTGGACAAAAGCATCTGAAAACTACAGAAGGAGCACAAGATGGCAGGCATTCTTAGTCTCTCAGAACAGAATGATCACATGCTCTCGGCAGCAGTTTCTGATGAGGACGGGCTGGCTCCAACCTCCCCAGCTGCTCACTCTGCCTGGAGAAAGCTGGAGCCGGTGACCACAGTCCCCTGCCCTGCCCTCCAATCAGGAGCAGGACAATGGCCACTTGGGGCCTAGGGTGAGTGAACCTTGCCCCTCGCCCGTCACGGCAGGGACAGGAGCCATTGACCTTAGCCACAGCATGGAGAGCCTGCGTCTCATCCTGTTCTGTTCTGCCCTGACCAGCCTCCTGGTGCCCGGGAGAAGTGGTGAGCGCTCTGGCCCTTTGTACTACAGAATGGTCTGGGGGTCAGGGAGGAGGGGGTGAGGGTGGGCCACTCAGAAGGGTGTGGATGGTGGATGTCTGGCCTGGTCACAGTCTGGCTTCCCAGGCCAGGGTAAAGTTAGGGACATCTGTGTCCCCCCTCCCCCCACCCCATTCAGGAGAGTCAGATGGACGAATCTGAGGTCACAAGACAGAAATAAGGAAAGAGAAGTCAAGGGAGGAGGAAGTAGATACAGAAAGTGAGACAGGGACAGAGAAAAGAAGAGAGAGAGAGATAGGGAGACAGAGGGGGGTGCAGGGTGTCAGGCAGAGACAGAGGTGCTCTGGGCATGGCAGAGACATGAAACAATGCCACTACACTCCGGTGGCTTGGCCTTGGGCAGGGGCTGCACGGGAAAGGACAGACAGATGGTATCCGGACTGTCCAGGCCCTGAGCTGCCTAAAAGAAGAGTTTGTTTCAGTTAACTCAGAACAGGCACCGCTCACACAGTACTGGCTTTGCACCAACTCAAGAAGCAATCCCTGGGCTACATGGCTTGAGCTTCCCTCTCTACGCTCAGCAAACTGAAATCCATCTTTCACGGGATTTGGCCTTATTGATGAAAACCTTGCTAGTGAACCTGCTCACAGCAAATCACTCCCCGTAAATCCCAGATGAGGCCAGCGCCGTAGAGATAACCCATGTGTGAGGATTGCAATGCGCCAGACAGCAATTGGAAAAGCAGAGAACACAACTGAATAAAACATACAGCGACATCTAAGTGGTGGGGCACTCTGTATCAGGGCTGTGACATCTTTCATTAATTTCTTAAGACAAGTGTACCACAACCTCAGCATGTTTTAATTTCCAGTTGCCAATCTTATTTTTCAAATCAGAACTATGACTACAGGCAGCGCCAGATCTGTGTGACTGGCTGAGGAGTGAATATGGGTCCACAACAAAACCATTAATAGTGCCTAAAACTGGGTCGAGAGGGCAAAGCCTGGAGGCCAACCTGGATGTCCAGTCCTTCCTTCCCCTGCTCTGTTAGGCACAGGGGGCATGCCTGTGCTCAAACAGGCTGTTTGCATAGAGGCCACATTCTAGTTGAGGGGACAACAAACCTGTCAATATGTAACATCAGAGAGCAGCCACGTACGGTGACGAGAAAAAGCACAAGGCAAGGAGGTCAGAGATGCAGGCAGGGACAATTTTAGAGGGAGTGGCCAAGAAGGGACTCTAGAGGGGTCATGCAGTAGGAGTGGCCCATGTGGGTATCTGGGAGAAGAATGCTCCAGACAGGCAAGTTACTAAGGCCCTGGAGTGTGAGAATCCAAACAGCAAGTGGGCCAGTATGGTGGAGACAGACAAGAGCAAGAGAGAGTTAAAGGAAGGAGGCTATGAGGCCAGACTTGGGGACAGTAGACTCAGGTTTTCGTCCAAAGTCAGTGCTTCCTTATGCATCATTCCTTTCTACCCCTGTGCCCTTCATCTGTGTCCCTTCATGCCCATTTAAGGCCTCTGGCACCTCTACCAGTGGGAAGGAGATGGGGTTTCCCAGAGTAGGGAGGAAGAGACAGGAGCTGGACAGGGATACAAGGGAAAGAGAAATACTTGGTGGAACAGCCTGGGGAAAGCTCAGCAAGGGATACCAAGCGGAAGGGTGAGGAAGGGATCAGAGGAGAGAGCACCAGACTCTGACAGAGGGTGCAGGTCTATGAATCATCCCTGAGGCTCCAGGGTAGCAGACAGAAAACCAAACATACACCTAGCCAGAGGAAGGGAGGAAGGACCTATAGTGACAATGAAATGTGTGTTAGAATATCAGGGAGCTAATGTGGGTCTTCCGTCCCCACCTGGAAAACAAGAGGTCCACAAGTCACAATTAGGGAAACACCGGATGAGGCTTGATACCAAGTCTGAGGCTGTGGTCACTCCACAGGTGAATGCGAGGAGGTGAGAGGCAGATGACATAGCCTTTTGGCTTCCTCAGTGCCTGAGGAAAGAACATCGGCCTTCTGTAGTACAGTGGTAGCAGGATTCTGCAGGTTGGGGGCAATAAAAGTGAAGACTTGGACTGATGCTAGGGCTGTATTTCAAAGCAAAAGCTCAAACATGGGGCAGAAATGCAGAGTAATGGGGAAGGTTCAGTGAATGACACCTTCGAGCCTGGTATTAATGGGACAATGTTGACATCACTAAAGGAAATGGATTTTGTGGAAAAGAAAGTGATTTGAGGTAAGAACGAAGCTAACATTTATTGAGCACCTCCTGTGTAACAAACTCAACACTAGTTTTATACACTTTTCAGTACAACTCTAAGAAGTAAGCATTATAATTTCTACTTGCCGGGAATTTGCAGTGGTGGCTAAGATATATTTGAAACTCAAGACTACTTGTTTCTGCAGTCTTGTTTTTAAATTTTGGACCTGAGAGCTTGAAGTTGAGATGATGGGAGGCATCTGAGATGAGTGAGAGATGACGGCATGAAACTTGGAACAATAATCAATATCAGAAATATCAACTATAAGAGTCATCCTTACGGATTAACTGAATTCTTCAGTGGAAAAAGAATATAATGATGAGTACAGGGGGCAAAGCAAAGAACCTGAGGGCCTCTGTTCCACAACGAAAAGAGGAGTGGGATACAAAAGAAGGAGAGGAAGACAACAACAGCCAAGACACACACCAAGGAGAGACACCAAGATCTTCTGATGCATCAGCAGATCATGACTTTTACAGATTGTACTTTTTACAGATTATGAACAAAATAGCGTTAACTCTCCACTCAACCAAGAGCAGAGATCCTGAAGGATGGGTGGGATCAGGACAGTCCCGGGGGAAGCACAGAGAGGAGGAGTCTAAGATGGCCACGGGGGATGGACGTTCTCTGAGCAGGGAGAGAGTTCAGAAGGAGGGCTTGAGTGGCTGCCTGAAGCTGATGGATGGGTTGACCTGCAGGAGGCTGGCCAGTTGATTAGAGTACTTTACCTCTTCAGAGAAAGATATGTGGGGTCTACACAGGGGTCCGATAGTGGTGAAGCAGATCTGCACTGGGGGTTCTAGTGCCTGAGGATGGAGTTTTGAGGCTTTTAAGGGGTGGAGGCGATGTACTGAGGTTGGGTAAGGCGGAACTGAACGAGGCTGTCTCACCTGTGTCCTTCCCTGCCTTCCAGTGTTCATTAACCAGGACCAGGCCAACGATGTCCTGGTGAGGACTCGCAGGGCGAACTCGCTTTTTGAAGAGATGAAGAAAGGGAACCTGGAAAGAGAGTGCATGGAAGAGACTTGCTCTTATGAGGAAGCCCGAGAAGTGTTTGAGGATAACGACAAGACGGTGAGGCGGGCAGGGAGGCTGGGCTGTCTCAGCTGGGGACCAGACCAGGCCAGCCTTGGCCTCCAACCTGCAGGCCTGTGAGGGGTATCAGGAGGGCCGCCAAGGGTCCAAGAGAGAGGGGTGTCACAGGGCCTGCTGTCTGCAGGGTGTTCCGGTCTCTCCGCAAGCTGAGTTCACGGGTGGGAACCGAGGGGAGGGACGTGCCACGCCGCTGCAGTGAGGCCAGGTCAATGCAGGACTCACAGTGGTTATTTAAAACAACTCCCGGCTTCGGCCAGCGCCCCCCAACAGACCACCTCTGTCCCCCGGCTCCAGCTGGGGACCAACGGGCACACGACGACACGCAGGTGCACAGGGACACCCAGACCGCCCGCAGGAGCTCAGAGCCTGCCACGCCGTGCCTCTCACCATGCCTGCGCAACACGTGGGGGCGGGGGTCTCACCCCTTCCCAGAAGAGGCGGGACAGTGTGGCCGCCAGGACTGAGCTGTGCTTTTGCATAGCTGTGACCAGGGACTTGAGGAGACAACATGAAGGGAGGAATTCTGCATTCTGGTCCAGGTTCCAGCCGGGCCTGTCCATGGTCGCCTGGCCCCATGCTGCAGCAGAACATCATGGGGCAGGAGCCTGGCATAGGAGAGCTGCTCACCTCATGGCAGAAGGAAACAGGATGGTGACAGCCAGGGACCCGGACCAAGGACCTGCCCTGGTGAGCTTCTTTCAACCAACCCTAAAGTGTCCAGAACCTCCCAAAATCGCCCCACCAGCTGAGGACCCAGCTGTCACTACTACGTGAGCCTATGGAGGGTGTTTCCTATCCCAATGCCGACGGGGGTCAGGTTGCAAGTCAGAGCCAGCCCAAGGAATTGTAAGTCACATCTTAGACTGCGTCTGCTACTGCTAATCACAGGGATATCAACCTGTCCAAGACCGTCCAGAGGACTGCTGTGAGGGTCCCCACCAGGACGCCACAGGAGCCTGAGGATCCTGCCCGGTGCAGCAGCCCCTGCCAGCGGGAAGCAGCTAAGAGGCTGACGCTTTGCCCCAATTTCCCATCCTCAGCCCCCACCCTCATCATTATTAAAGAAAAAATGGGGGAATGATAGAACAATAATGTCACCATTTATAAATCAGCCGTCATTTTATCCTCAGACCTCACTTGAGAAACTTCCAAGGACAGCCCCGCCCTTAAACAAATTCCCACGCTCTAAGACAGCCCCACCCCGGCCAGGGACTCCCGCGCATGCGCTGACTTCCCTTCCCCTCCCCCTTCTATAAAAGCCACTCCTGGCCCAGAGTGTGTGCTGCGCCATCTTTCCCTGGCCACTAGCCTGAGCTGCCATTAAACTTTGCTCTTGGACGTGAGACTTTTCTCGTGAGATTTCTTCGTGAGCGGCGTTTTTCCTAACAATATCAAATAACAAATGACCCTGGACAGCCATAATAGGAGTTCAGGAAAATCCTGGGAAAACAAGAAAAGCAGAGTAGCATTCTTGACTAAACTGCCCTGCTGTCTCCTGGTTCCCATGTTACCACGTGAGCCTCAAAGATGCTGAAATATGTTTTCAAACTACTTGGACTTAATTCTGAATTATTTTCAGAGGGTGTGAAATTTATCATCCATTATAAGATCACACATATATAAGAAGTTTCTTGGAATTTCCAGATGCTGAAACGCCCATGTTAAACATCATCCCCAGGGATATCTGAGGCCAAGCCTTTCAGCACCTGCCATGGCAAGCTGGACATGAACTTAGATACGAGATTTCCTCTAGAACTTTACCACAAGATGCTAGTGGTTAGTGGCATTGACAAGATTTATGATATTGGATGCCAGTTCTGGAATGAGAGAATTGATTTGACTCACCACCTGTGAGTTCTACATAACCATGGATTCTGTCATACCTTTGAAGTCACAGAATAGAATATGTCAGGGATTGTGAAACACATCAGGGTGGCTTACAGGAAGAAACCCTCCAGAAGGCCAAGTTTATGAGATTGACTTCATCCACCTTTGTGGGAAATCAGCGTGGTAGAAGAGCTTGTGAAAGCTCAGGAAGTGAAGCTGCCAGGAACCAACCTTTTAGGAACTGAAGAAAATCACAAAATTCTGTAAAATAGAACCTTTTGAAAGTCCTCCACCTCTGACCACTTCGGGCTTCTCAATAAGCTCAATAGGAAGTTCCTGGAAGTGACTTGCCCCAACCCTAAACTGTTACCACCCATAAATAGTGAGTCTGTTAGCCAATCAGGCCACTCTAAAGAGGATTTCACAAAATCCTTTGGTGTATTTATCATAAAGAAGGAATCATATGGTGTTTAAACTGAGCAGTGGCATCATCCCCTAGCTGACTGGAAATTACATATCAACTCCGTCACCGTGTTTCTGGAAGAGTCCCATAACCCAAGGAAAGAATTTCCATTTCCTACCATGAAAACCAAAGAAGAGTGTGCAACCACTAACACATTGGAAAGCACTTTTTCTAGAAAGTTCTGATTGTTCAAGTCCTGCAACACAGACATCTTTGCATTTCTACAAACATCGTGGTACATAAGGGACTTCTTGTGCTGCTATCCATTCGAGTTTTCTTTTTTTTGTTTGTTTGTTTGTTTGTTTTGGTGGCACTGGTGTTTGAACTCAAGGCCTCCCACTTGCTAGGCAGACACTCTGCCACTTAAGCCACTCCACCAGCCCTTGAGTTCATTTCAGCCACCAGAAGAGAGAAAAGGAATCAAGAATTCCTTTAGCTCTTTGTTATCAAGAATGATTTGTATCTAATAGGAAAATTCATAACTTCAGGAACTATTTCATTTTAAGTATTTGTTTAATATATAAACATATATGCATACATATTTCAGGAATACTGAAAGTGGACTAGGATTGTTCAGTAGCAGAACACATAATTAGTATGTTCAGTGCCCTGGGTTTGAGCCCTAGCACGATGGCAAAGAAAAGAGTACAGAAGAATAAAAGTAACACACACACAGCAACTGATGATCCGAATTCTCATCTCACTTTTTCCTCAGCATCATTTCCTACTCTTCTTGTATATACCTGCCATAGTTATGATTTTCAAGAGCTAAATTATATACATATATATAAATTTATATGTAAATGATATATTTATAGTATTTATATATGTTTTTGTATATACTGGAGTTTGAACTCAAGGTGTCATGCCTGGTAGACAGGCACTCTTTCTCTCGAGCCACTACCAGGCTAACTTTGAGTAGCTAGGGTTATAGGAGTGAGACACCAGTGCCTGGCTAAATTATATTTTAATTATAATTTAGTTATAATTAAAATAGTTTATTGAATGGATGCATTCTCTATTTTCATGTTTTGAGCGCACAAGTGGTTTCTGAATATTGCTGTTATAAACATACACACACATGTATTTCTTCTGGATTATCTTTTAAGAATAGCTTCTCCAGAGAGGCATTACTGAGACCCAGGGTTTCAGCAAAACTCAGTGCTGGGAAAGGTGGGGCGGGGGCGTACCCCCCACTGACTCCCACTGAATGCAGCTACAAAACCCAAACAGAATACACAGAGCAGCTGTTGGAGGACCCTGGAAAGGGAAAAAACATCAGTGTATTGAAAAACGAGGTTAGTCCTAGAAGTCCCATACCATAGGAATTGGCTGTGTGTTTATCATTTTTCCTCCAGTTTTATGAGCATCACTGACCTGAATCCAACTGATAGTTGTAGGATTCTCTCTCTCTCTTTTTTTTTTTTACAAGAATGGGGTTTGAACTCAGAGATTTGTACTTGCAAAGCAGGGCACTCTGCTGCTTGAGCCACAGCAACTTGAGCTTCAGTCCTCCCTATCTCAGCCTCCCAAGTAACTGGGATTACAGGCATGAACCAAAGGTGCCCAGCTTTCATAGGATTCTTAATAAAAGCAAAATACAGTTTGTAGGCACCCATGGAGCATTCCCCAAGACAGCATATCCTGTGTCGTAAAGCACACTTTTAACACATTTAAAAGCTCGAACTCGTAAAAGTATGTTTTCTGATCAAAATGGAATCAAAGTAGAAATCAATGTAAGAAAGATAACGGGAAATTTGCCGAGTATTTGAATGTAGCACACTTATGACCAGTCCATAGGTCAAATAGGAAGTCCTGAGGAAAGTAAAAGCACTTTTGAATTATTGAACAAAATGAACATATGACACATAAATCTGTGTGTGTGCAGCTTTAAAAAGCAGTGTGCAGAAGACATTGTTTGGTATTAAATGCTCATTTTGGAAAAGAAGAAAAGTCTTAAATTGATCATCTCTGCTTCCACTCTGCTAGAATCACAGGCCCACACCACCACTCCTGCTTATTGAGAAATGGGGTCTCACATAAATTTTATTTTTTGGCTTGGGTTATCCTCAAAAAGCAATCCTCTCAGTCTCTGCCTCTTGGGTAGCTGGGATTAAAGACATGAGCCACTGTGTCCAGTCTGCAAATTCCATTTCTTAGACAAGAACTTTCTGAAAAGAAATGTCTAATCCAGGCTGGATATAGTGATGCACACTTATAATCCCAGCTGTACGGGAGGCATAGGTGGGGAGGATTGCAGTCATAGTCTGGCCCCAGGTAAAAAAATATAAGACCTTACCCAAAAAATAACTAAAGCAAAAAAGGACAGAGAACATGGCTCAAGTGGCAGGGTGCTTGCCTAGAAAGGGCAAGTCCCTGAGTTCAAACCCCAATATCACCACTACCAAAAAAAGGAAAAAGAAATGTCTAGTGAAAATGCTGTCACTAGTGACTTTTATCAAACATTTCAAGAAGGAATTCTAGGTAAACTCTTCCCGAAGATAGAAGAGTGTACACTCCCCAGTGTCTTTTAGGTCAACAATACCCTGATGCCAAAACCAAAGGCCAAGGGAAGACATGTAACGACATCGCTCATGAACCTAAATATAAAAACCCTCAACAAATGTTAGCAAACTGAATACAGCAATGTTTAACAAAAAAAAAAAAATGCTCCAACCAAGTGGATTATCTGGGGGGTGCAGCACACAGGCAGGATCAATATTTGAAATAATGTAATCTGCCATGTTAATAGTTTAAAGAAAATCCACACAATCATATCAATTGATGCAGTAAAAGAATTTGACAAAATTCAACATCCATTCACGATTTAGAAAAAAAATCTATCAGCAGTGCTGAGGATGTAGGCCAGTGGTAGAGTGTGTGCCTGATCTGCACAAGACCCTGGGTTCAATCGCCAGCCACACACGCACACACACATCCATCACCTGTCTGTGAATAGAAGAAAAGTCTCCAACGTGATGAAAGTCACTACAAAGACCTTAACGGACCTCACCCTTGGCAGTGAAGGTTGAATGCTTTCCTGCTGACACTGGGAACCAGACAGCCTCGCCCATTCTCAGCGCTTCTGAGTGCATCTGCAGGACCAGTCATACGGGAGGCCTCACGAGCAATCAAGAAAGAAAACACTCCCTATTTGCAGATGTTATGATTACCTACATGGAAAATACCAAAGTAAATACATAAATAATTAAAACCTCACCGGGTGCTATTCGGGAGGCAGACATCAGGAGGAACGAGGTTCAAAGCCAGCTACAGGCAAATTATTCACAAGACCCTATCTTAAAAAAAAAAAAAATCACTGGCAAAGTGTCTCAAGAGGGAAAAGTGCCTGCCTAGCAAGCAAGAGGCTCTGAGTTCAAACCCCAGTGCCACCAAAAACAACAAAAAAAAACTATTAAAATTTACAAATGAGACTAGCAAGGTCACGGAATACACAGCTGCACATAAATAGTAACCACACTTCTCTATAGCAAAAATGCAGCTAGAAGCCAAAATGTTTAAATGCCATTTATAATGCTCAAAAGAAAAATACATATATGCAATACTAATGAAACACAGAATCTACATGCTGAAGTCCACAAAATTCTAGCCAAAGCATTGGAACAGGACCAAATGGAGACCCAACACGTGAAGAAGCCAATCCCCTCAACTTGATTACAGAACCAATGCAGTCCTGGGCAAAACTCCAGCAGATAGAAATGAGCTAACTCCAAAACTGACGTGGGAAAGCAAAGGAACCAGACTGGCTGAAGTGCCCATCGTCACTGTAAATGGGCAACTGCACTGTGTCTCTGGCCCCGGGATGGAATACGACCAGGAGCAAATACTGGTCCCCAGCAACATGGATGAGCCCAGAGGCATGGTGCTGACTGGAAGAAGCAAGTTTCACAAGGTGGCATCTTGTATGATTCCATTTACTGACATTCTAGAAAAGTCCTTGCTATAGTGATGAGGAGTGGACCGGTGTGGGGGTCTGCCAGGGGCTGGCAGGTTGGGACGACATGGTATAGGATCTGAGAGAATGGATCTGTGCTGTGCTCTGACTGTGATGGTCCCACAAGTCTATGCAGTGGGTTGAAATCCGTAGTCTTACATACCAAGCCTAACTTTACTGTGCGATGATTTTTGAACTAAAACATTTTGAAAACCTGACATTCATTTCTAGGGCTACCATAACAAAGCACCACAATTGGGTGTCTTGAAATAACCGGGATTATTAACGTGTTGCCTCATGTTTTTGGAGGCAACAAATATAGAATCCAGCTGCTGGCAGGTTGCTTCCTTCTCAAGGGGCCCAGACGTCCTCACGATACTTTCCAAGGTGGCTCCAGACCTGTCACTCTGACCTCTGCTTTCATCATCGCTGAGTGGCTCCAGGTGTCTTTTTCTATAAAGCCCTCATTCATTTAGGACTTATAATAACCCAGCTGATCTTATCGGGGTCTTTACCTTAATCACATCTACAAAGACTCTGTTTCTGATTAAGGTCCCATTTGAGGTTCAGGTGGATCCGAATGGGTGCGGGGAGCACTAGTGAACTATTTTACAGATAGTAAAAAATTCTAAGACTATGGATATTTTGAGTGTAATATAGGCTCTTGATGACTTGTTTTAAGGTAATTAGCATCTCTTCATCTAACATAAAGTTTTTTTTTTTTTTTTTTGCAGTACTGGGGCTTGAACTCAGGGCCTACACCTTGAGCCACTACACCAGCCCCTTTTCTTTTCTTTCTTTTTTTTTTTTTTTTGTGATGGGTTTGTCAAGATAGGGTCTCACGAACTACTTGCCTGGGCTGGCTTCAAACCTCGATCCTCCTGAATTCTGCCTCCTGAGTAGCTGGGATTACAGATGTGAGCCACCAGTGCCCGGCAACATGACTACTGACAAGCATGTGACCCTTTCCTGAATTTTTAGCCCAGGTATACTAACTAAAATTCACCCACTGACCAAGTAGGAAGCAGTGCTATTTTTGTACAGTCTGTTTCCTGGCGATTAACTAGAAATTGCGTTTTGAATATTCAACAAAGATGGTGCATTTGAGACCATTGAATTCACACCTCCCCAGGTGCAAAGATCAGAACAGCTGTCCTGTTTACATGGGGCAGTTCTGGATAGCTCAGTTCTCAGGTCCACTACTGGTTACTGTTGGTGTGAAATGTCGGTTCTCCCTAACATGTTGTTAAATATTTTTCTCTTTTAGAATGAATTCTGGAACAAATATAAAGGTGAGATGTTTTCTACTTTTCACCTTAAGTGAGAGGGTTCATTAGGATATTTAATATTAGGGAATTTAAGTTTGGATAAACTTAAATTCTGGAAATACTTTCTGAATTTCCTTCCTGCTCCTGTTTAAATCTTGCTCATTTAACACTTTTCCTCTCTGCATGTTTCCGTAAAAGTTATTTAAATAGTTTCTATAGTAATTTTATGTTGATTTCAGTTTTGTTATTTACTCAAGAACAATTTTTTTCATTTTTTGTTAGCATATATTCATTGTACAGGGAGGATTCATTGTGCCAATTCTAAATAGGCTCACCTCACACATTGGTTAGATTGACCCCACCATCTTCCCCTCCAGCCCTCTCCCCGCCCCACTTAAAGCAATTGCTAGAGGTTTCATTGTTCTATTTCATATAAATCTATGAAAGAGATCAACCACATTCCCTCACCTTCATCTCCTCCATTCACCCTCCCTGCTCCCACGAGTACCCTCCCCCCACACACATTGTAGCTATTTTACAGTCCTGTCTTTCATTTTTAATTCTTCAATGTTCAAAGACAGATTTTTTTCTTTTTTTTGAGATTGAGTCTCACTGTGTTGCCCAACCTGGGATCCAGTGACCCCCAGGCCTGACTCCAAGACAGACATGTACCACCCTGTCTTGCTCAGATACCGATTTTTTTTTACTGTTGCACTGGATGGGGGTACATTGTGACATTTACAAAAGTTCTTACAATATGTCAAATACATCATACTTGAATTCATCCTCAGATATAGATTTAAATCAGCTTGTTCTCATTTGAGGACACCAAATTCCATGATAACTTTAATACAAGCATGTTAAGTGAACTAAAAAACTGGAGTCTGAAATAGTGAGTTCCTTAACAAGGTAACCACTCTGATTTCATGCTTATCGCATTTGAGATGGCGTTGTTTGAGACTATCTGGTCTCAAACAGATAGTCTCACTTCTCAGAACGACCACTGGTGCTCCCTCTGAATTGGGTGATAACATCAACAAGAACTGTGACGTCTGAATGAGTGCTGGACAGGAGTCTTTGGAGTCTTTGTCCAAGGTCCCTTCCTTAGGAAGAGGAATCCTACCATCTTCTGTGTTCAACGCTCAGCCCAAACACAAGTGTCACATTCCCACCCATCCCCACCTTCCAGGTGGCCCCACATGGTCACCAGCCGAGAGCTCCTCACCCTGGCTGCAAATATGCCATAACATATCTCAGTAGAAATCAGAGGCCCAAACAACGATTCAGGTGGATCACAGCATCTCACACACAGCCACAAAATGAAGTCTGGTGAGGAGGAAAAGGAGGCGCGTTCACACCGCCTGCAAAGTGAGTGCCAAGGTCTAGGTCCACCCAGTGCAGTGGTTCCCACGGCGGGACAATCGCCTGCAAACTTGGCTTCCCAACCCTCTTGTTGCAGATGGCGACCAGTGTGAAACCAGCCCTTGTGAGAATAAGGGCACGTGTCAAGACGGCCTTGGGGGGTACACGTGCATCTGCGAGGAAGGATTTGAAGGCAAAGACTGTGAATTCTGTAAGTCCCTCTGCCGGGACACACCTGCAGATGGTGGGGAAGAGGGGCAATGCTGAAATACCAAAGGCGGCAACCGTAATGATGTCTCACTTAGAAAGTCTGTGCTCTGCCGCACTGAGCCACTGCGCTAAGTCTCAAAACACAACAGCCCCCGTATGTCCTCCAGACCCCCAGGGTGGGGTGGGTGTGGGAGGCATAGGTTTCTGTGCAGCACCCAGAGCTGTGACCCACTACTGTGCGTCCCGCGAGGTAGAGTGCATTGCTCTTACTCATGCTCCTTGGGTGATTATAAATCACCTTTTATTTTACACAAACATCAATGGGGAATATTTGAGATTGCCCAGTTATAATGTGATGACTTATCTATATAAATAGATACATCTGTGTATAAATATATACATGTGTGTGTATGCATGTATGTTGGTACATATGCTGGCAGTAGTGGGGTTTGAACTCAGGGCCTCACACTTGTTAGGCAGGCACTTTACCACTTCAGCCGTGCCCCCAGCCCTTTTTGATTTATTTTTCAGATAGATTTTCAGTTTGGCTGGAGCCCAGCCTTGGACCATCGTTTTCCTTTTCAGCCTTCCAAGTAGCTTGGCTTACAGTTCACGCCACCATATTCTGCCCTGATGATTAATATTTTAATTTAAAAAGTAGGTTACGGGACTAGGGATGTAGCTCAGCGGGGGAACACTTGCCTTACATGTGTGAGGACCTAGGTTTGATCCCCAGCACCCAAAAAAAAAAAAGTGTGCGTGTGTGTTACTCCCAGACCAGTTTTCTCCACAGAGGAAGATTGCAGTTCTTTTAAGTTATTTAAATATTAGCTTGTAATATTTAGAGTGTGTGTGTGTGTGTGTGTGTGGTACTGGGGTTTGAACTTAGGGCCTCATGCTTACTAGGTCGGTGCTCCACCACTTGAACCACTCCCCCCATCCTTTTCTTGCTTTAGTTATTTTTTGGATGCGGTCTTAAAACTCCCACACCGCTCTTAACTGGGACACAGGTGTGCACCATCATACCTGGTTTATTGGTTGAGATGGAGTCTCACTAACTTATTGCCCAGGCTGGCCTTGAACTGTGATTCTCCCGAGTAGCTGAGATTACAGAAATGCACCACCGGGTCCAGCTAGAGCATGTCTTTTAAATGGATTTCTTCAGGACTTTCCCCAGTGGGAGTACCCACGATCTATCAGTCCACGGAGATCCAGCCAGCCCTGCACAGCATTCGGGTAACTTAGACAAAATGTGGAGCAGGCAGTGATGGTGTCTGCTAGAATTCCATTTAATGTTCATCTTCACGCCGTAATTCGTTTTCAACCATACCCAAGTGGAGGGCACTGTGGCGTGATTATTAGTGTGAACTGGAGTTGGATGGGCCTGTGCTGGATGCAGGTGGGAGGCTCCCCTCATGCTGCCCATGGCGGAGGACACTGTGTAAGGCGCGACCGGCCAGCAGGCGGTTGCTGAGGGCCCGTGTGCGCGCCAGGCATGTGCACTGAGCCAGGAGCGTCAGGTGGCCCCAGAAGCATGCACACTAAGGCTATGGGGCTGAAATGACCTGTCCGAATCACAAAGCCAGGGCTCTTGCTCACAGCACTGCTGTCTATCTTCTTGCCCACACTGAAGCGGATCCCCAGCCTCCTGCTGGATCCCCATCCCCTCCCCACACAGGCAGTGCTCCTACTGAGGCTCAAGGAGATCCCACAGCTGCAAGCCGCGTGTCCACAGTGGGGTGCTCTCTGGCTCTGTAGCACGAGGTGCTGCATCAGGCCAGGCTGGAGAGGGAGGGAAGGGAGAGCACTGGAGCTCAAGGGCTCCCCAGCGAACAGCCAAGCCCTGGGCCAGCACAATGTGACAGCAGAGATCATGGAAGGCCTCCACCAGGGCCTGCCTGAGCATCAGTGGACAAATAAGGCTCTGAGCTCCATCTTCACAGGCCAACCCAAGCTGAACACAAGAGGACAAGCTTAAGGAGCCCACAGCATGACCAAGGAGGCCCTTAAGATCCTGTGGGCCTTAGAGGGAAGGGGCTCTGAGGTTGCTAACCCCTCTCTGGATCACCCTCTTGCTCTCCTTCCACACGATCCAGCCCTTGGGACCCTCCCCAGCCCCACACCTCCTGACTCCTCAGTGGGTGTGCTCAAGTTTCTTAGGGTCAGTGCAGAGCCCTGCAGGGATGCTGGGGGTCCCACAGGTAGCCAGGGAGGAGGGCTTGGCTACCAGTTCTGTTCTTGTTGAAACCACCCATGTACATCTTGCTGGGACTCTGGCCCCTTGCTTGCCTGGCAGCCTGAGTATGGCTGGGGTGGGTGGACGACGTGCCTGGCATCCTCCCACCAACCAGCCTGTTCCTCTGCCTGCAGTCGTACGGTCACTCTGCAGCCTGGACAATGGGGGCTGTGATCAATTCTGCCAGGAGGAGCAGAACTCAGTGGTGTGCTCTTGTGCCAGCGGGTACTTCCTGGGCGACGACGGCAAGTCCTGCATCTCCACAGGTAGGCAGCCATGTGCCAGCAGGGACCCGGTGTGTTCCAGTTGGGCCTTGCAGGTGACAACAGCTCTAGGAGAGCAAGAGCCGGGCACTCTGAGCTCAAGGGGCTGGAATGTGAAGACCTCAGGTTTGGAACAGACCTGGGAGCCCCGTATGCAGGTTAGCCTCAGTTTCCTCATTTGAAAAGCAGTCAGTTACCTAACTCCTGGGGCAGACAAGGAACTGAAGGGAGGTGCCCAACAGCTTGGTCACCTGCTTCAAAACTCTGGCAATGACCTCTCAGCCAGGGCAGCCCACACTCCCCTGCCCTGAGGGATGGTGAGGGCAGGGCCAGCCTGCAGGGGGAGGGTGGCGTGGGCAGGGAGAGAAGGCAGAGGACCCTCAAGCACTGAGCTCATACTCATGGGCCCCAATGTTAATTGGGTTTATTTTTCCTTTTACTTGTGAGCATCAGAGCCCCTGCTAATGAGACTCTCAGAGAGCAGTGAACGCAAGGCAGGCTGAGTGACCCACCTGTTGCAGACATGAGAGGGGCTCAGGTTGGGCACAGTGTTCCTAAGAAGCCAGCCTTTTGGTTGGTGTCACTTAGTCTACCTTTCACTATCCACAAATGGTCTCTGACCCCACCTAGGCATCACCATGGGGAGGTAGAAATGCAGACTCCCAAGCGCCCCCATCCAAGAGCCCAGGTGACAGGGTCACTTTCTGCCCTGCAGCTGCAGCAACTGTCCCACGCGAACATGTGATTCCCACTCTTCCTTTCACGTGCTTCTCACTAAAAACTTATTCTTTGGGAATGGTGACTGAAAGGTGGTGCACACCTGTAATCCCAGCACTGGGGAAGCTGAGGCACTAATCACATGTGCAAGGCCAGCCTGGGTTACATAGTGAGACGCTATCCCAAAAAAGCAACAACCACACACACACAAAAACCCCACAATTTATTCCAAAAGATAAGAAATCAGGAAAAATGGCTGCAAATATTGAAGTGAAGGATGACTTCATGAAATCTCTCAAAGGTAAAAGATTTTTATTTCCATCAACAATGAAATTTCAATCTTCAGCTGACTCAGAACTGTGTTAACTGAAGTCATTTCTTGACATGCATGCAAGTTATTTTAATTCTAGGAATAATCACAAATCAGTTTAAAGGAGGGTTGGGGACGTGGTTCTGTGGTGGAGTGTTGGCCTAGCATATGTGAGGCCCTGGGTTTGATCCCTGGCAATGGAAAGAAAGAAAGAAGGGAGGGAGGGAGGGAGGGAGGAAGGAAGGAAAGAAAATCAGGTAAACTACTTTTCCTGGTGCAGAAATCTCTGTTCTAAATCAAGGACAAGCTAATTTCAAAGTATAGTGACTACAAATATCAACCCAGAATTAACAATCCATAGGACACTGGACCCACAGATTCCCCACGTCCCTGGGCTGGTTCTAGACACCACCGGACCTTGTGTGAATGCAACCTGGCCTTAGGCAAGGACCAGTGCTACTGTGCTCGGTCTTGGGCCACTGTGACCCTTTTTCTTCCCTCCTGCTCTGCACACCACACCCCCTCTCTGGCTCAGGTCCCTCATTGATAAATTAGGCAGGAAGCTGTCTGATATGTCATTCCCTATGAGAGATGCTTTTAAGGAGAGATACACTCTTTGAGGCATCATCACACAAACCTCTTTCTTAGGCTCAGTTGCTTGCATGTGTCACCTCTTCTGTCTGGAACACTTTTTTCCTTCCACATTTCATGAGGGAAATATTCAAACACACAGTACAATCAAAAGAGTTGCACCAGCCCGCAGATATGGAGGGTAGCCATCTGGATTCGTTACCATCTTGCTGTACGTGGTTCGTCACGGGCGCCCGCTTCTGCCCTCTGCACATCTGCCAAATCCTGACATAGATGCAAGGTGTCTTTCCTATTGTCCTGACACAAAGCACTTGGCACTTCTCCTCTTTTCTCTCCTTCTTCCCGAGACAGAGTCTCACTACGTAGCCCAAGCTGGCCTTGAACTTTCAATCCTCCTGCCTCAGCTTCCCAAGTGCTGGAATTACACACAAGCACCACCGTGCTTGACTCACTGGCTTCCCCTTTTTATTTGGTGGGGGGATGGCTGGAGTTTGAACTTAGGGCTTTGTGCTTGCAAAGCAGGTGCTCTACCACTTGAACCACACCTCTGGTCCAATTTACTTTGTTTATTTTGGAGATGGAGGTCTCACAAACTATTTGCCTTGGCTGATTTTGAACTGCAGTTCTCCCAATCTCAGACTCCCCAATACCCAGGATTATAGGCATGAGCCACCAGTGCGTCTCTTGGTGTTTTTTTTTCTTTTATTCATATGTGCATACAATGTTTGGGTCATTTCTCCCCCCTCCCCCCCACCTTACCTACCCCGCCCCCTCCCTATCCCCCCCACACCCCCTCACTACCAGGCAGAAACTATTTTGCCCTTATTTCTAATTTTGTTGTAGAGAGAGTATAAGCAATAATAGGAAGGAACAAGGGTTTTTGCTGGTTGAGATAAGGATAGCTATACAGGGCATTGACTCACATTGATTTCCTGTGCGTGGGTGTTACCTTCTAGGTTAATTCTTTTTGATCTAACCTTTTCTCTAGTTCCTGGTCCCCTTTTCCTGTTGGCCTCAGTTGCTTTGAGGTATCTGCTTTAGTTTCTCTGCGTTAAGGGCAGCAAATGCTAGCTAATTTTTGAGGTGTCTTACCTATCCTCACCCCTCCCTTGTGTGCTCTCGCTTTTATCATGTGCTCAAAGTCCAATCCCATTGTTGTGTTTGCCCTTGATCTAATGTCCACATATGAGGGAGAACATACGATTTTTGGTCTTTTGGGCCAGGCTAACCTCACTCAGAATGATGTTCTCCAATTCCATCCATTTACCAGCGAATGATAACATTTCGTTCTTCTTCATGGCTGCATAAAATTCCATTGTGTATAGATACCACATTTTCTTAATCCATTCGTCAGTGGGGGCATCTTGGCTGTTTCCATAACTTGGCTATTGTGAATAGTGCCGCAATAAACATGGGATGTGCAGGTGCCTCTGGAGTAACAGTCTTTTGGGTATATCCCCAAGAGTGGTATTGCTGGATCAAATGGTAGATCAATGTCCAGCTTTTTAAGTAGCCTCCAAATTTTTTTCCAGAGTGGTTGTACTAGTCTACATTCCCACCAACAGTGTAAGAGGGTTCCTTTTTCCCCGCATCCTCGCCAACACCTGTTGTTGGTGGTGTTGCTGATGATGGCTATTCTAACAGGGGTGAGGTGGAATCTTAGTGTGGTTTTAATTTGCATTTCCTTTATTGCTAGAGATGGTGAGCATTTTTTCATGTGTTTTTTGGCCATTTGAATTTCTTCTTTTGAGAAAGTTCTGTTTAGTTCACTTGCCCATTTCTTTATTGGTTCATTAGTTTTGGGAGAATTTAGTTTTTTAAGTTCCCTATATATTCTGGTTATCAGTCCTTTGTCTGATGTGTAGCTGGCAAATATTTTCTCCCACTCTGTGGGTGTTCTCTTCAGTTTAGAGACCATTTCTTTTGATGAACAGAAGCTTTTTAGTTTTATGAGGTCCCATTTATCTATGCTATCTCTTAGTTGCTGTGCTGCTGGGGTTTCATTGAGAAAGTTCTTACCTATACCTACTAACTCCAGAGTATTTCCTACTCTTTCCTGTATCAACTTTAGAGTTTGGGTCTGATATTAAGATCCTTGATCCATTTTGAGTTAATCTTGGTATAGGGTGATATACATGGATCTAGTTTCAGTTTTTTGCAGACTGCTAACCAGTTTTCCCAGCAGTTTTTGTTGAAGAGGCTGCTATTTCTCCATCGTATATTTTTAGCTCCTTTGTCAAAGACAAGTTGGTTATAGTTGTGTGGCTTCATATCTGGGTCCTCTATTCTGTTCCACTGGTCTTCATGTCTGTTTTTGTGCCAGTACCATGCTGTTTTTATTGTTATTGCTTTGTAATATAGTTTGAAGTCAGGTATTGTGATACCTCCAGCATTGTTCTTTTTGACTGAGTATTGCCTTGGCTATTCGTGGCCTCTTGTGTTTCCATATAAATTTCAACGTAGATTTTTCAATCTCTTTAATGAATGTCATTGGAATTTTGATGGGAATTGCATTAAACATGTAGATTACTTTTGGAGTATAGACATTTTTACTATGTTGATTCTACCAATCCATGAGCATGGGAGATCTCTCCACTTTCTATAGTCTTCCTCAATCTCTTTCTTCAGAAGTGTATAGTTTTCCTTGTAGAGGTCATTCACATCTTTTGTTAGGTTTACACCTAGGTATTTGATTTTTTTTGAGGCTATTGTAAATGGAATTGTTTTCATACATTCTTTTTCCGTTTGCTCATTGTTAGTGTATAGAAATGCTAATGATTTTTCTATGTTGATTTTATATCCTGCTACCTTGCTATAGCTATTGATGATGTCTAGAAGCTTCTGAGTAGAGTTTTTTGGGTCTTTAAGGTATAGGATCATGTCATCTGCAAATAGGGATATTTTGACAGTTTCTTTACCTATTTGTATTCCTTTTATTCCTTCTTCTTGCCTAATTGCTCTGGCTAGGAATTCCAGTACTATGTTGAATAGGAGTGGAGATAGTGGGCATCCTTGTCTGGTTCCTGATTTTAGAGGGAATGGTTTCAGTTTTTCTCCGTTAAGTATAATGCTGGCTGTAGGTTTGTCATATATAGCTTTTATAATGTTGAGGAACTTTCCTTCTATTCCTAGTTTTCTTAGAGCTTTTATCATGAAATGGTGTTGAATCTTATCAAAGGCTTTTCTGCATCTATTGAGATGATCAAGTGGTTTTTGTCTGTTTTACGTTTTGTCTGTTTTTACGTTTATTGATTTTCGTATGTTGAACCACCCCTGCGTCCCTGGGATGAAGCCTACTTGGTCGTGGTGAATGATCTTTTTGATATGTTGTTGAATTCGGTTTGCCATTATTTTGTTGAAGATTTTTGCATCAATGTTCATTAAGGAGATTGGCCTATAGTTCTCCTTTTTGGAGGTGTCTTTGCCTGGTTTTGGGATAAGTGTAATACTGGCTTCATAAAATGTGTTTGGCAGTTTTCCTTCCCTTTCTATTTCATGGAACAGTTTAAGGAGGGTTGGTATCAGTTCTTCTTTAAAGATCTGATAGACATTCGCTGGTAAATGGATGGAATTAGAGAACATCATTCTGAGTGAGGTTAGCCTGGCCCAAAAGACCAAAAATCGTATGTTCTCCCTCATATGTGGACATTAGATCAAGGGCAAACACAACAAGGGGATTGGACTTTGAGCACATGATAAAAGCGAGAGCACACAAGGGAGGGGTGAGGATAGGTAAGACACCTAAAAAATTAGCTAGCATTTGTTGCCCTCAACGCAGAGAAACTAAAGCAGATACCTCAAAGCAACTGAGGCCAATAGGAAAAGGGGACCAGGAACTAGAGAAAAGGTGAGATCAAAAAGAATTAACCTAGAAGGTAACACACACGCACAGGAAATCAATGTGAGTCAATGCCCTGTATAGCTATCCTTATCTCAACCAGCAAAAACCCTTGTTCCTTCCTATTATTGCTTATACTCTCTCTACAACAAAATTAGAGATAAGGGCAAAATAGTTTCTGCTGGGTATTGAGGGGGGGAGCGGGAGGGGGTGGAGTGGGTGGTAAGGGAGCGGGTGGGGGCAGGGGGGAGAAATGACCCAAGCCTTGTATGCACATAGGAATAATAAAAGAAAAATGAAAATAAATAAATAAACCAGAGTTTCTCCAACTCAAAAATAAATAAATAAATAAATAAATAATAAAGGTCTGATAGAATTCAGCAGAGAATCCATCAGGTCCTGGACTTTTCTTTTTGGGGAGACTCTTGATTGCTGGTTCAATTTCATTTTGTGTTGTAGATCTATTCAGGTGATTAATTTCCTCTTGGTTCAGTTTTGGATGGTCATATGTATCTAGAAATCTATTTCTTTAAGATTTTCAAATTTATTTGAATATAGGTTCTTGAAGTAATCTCTGATGATTTCTGGGACTTCCATGGTGTTTGTTGTTATCTTCCCTTTTGCATTCCTGATCCTACTAATTTGGGTTTTTTCTCTCCTCATTTTAGTCAGGTTTGCCAGGGGTCTATTGATCTTGTTTATTTTTTCAAAGAACCAACTTTTTGTTTCATTAATTCTTTTTTTTTTTTTGGTCTCTATTTCATTGATTTCAGCTCTTATTTTTATTATTTCTCTCCTTCTACTTGTTTTGGGATTTGCTTGTTCTTGTTTTTCTAGGAGTTTGAGATGTATCATTAGGTCATTGATTTGGGATCTTTCAGTCTTTTTAATATATGCACTCATGGCTATAAACTTTCCTCTCAGGACTGCCTTTGCTGTGTCCCATAGGTTCCGGTAGGTTGTGTTTTCATTGTCATTGACTTCCAGGAACTTTTTAATTTCCTCTGTTATTTCATCAATGACCCATTGTTCATTAAACAATGAGTTATTCAGTTTCCAGCTGTTTGCATGTTTTTTGTCTTTATTTTTGCTGTTGAGTTCTAGTTTTATTGCATTGTGATCAGATATAATGCATGGTATAATTTCTATTTTCTTATATTTGCTGAGACTTGCTTTGTGCCCTAGGATATGATCTATTTTGGAGAAGGTTTCGTGGGCTGCTGAGAAGAATGTATATTGTGTAGAGGTTGGATGAAATGTTCTGTAGAGATCAAGTAGGTCCATTTGATCTATTGCATATTTTAGATCTAGGATTTCTTTATTGATTTTTTGTTTGGATGACCTATCTATTGATGATAGTGTGGTATTAAAGTTTCCCACGACAACTGTGTTAGAGTTAATATATGCTTTTAGGGCCTTCAGGGTATGTTTGATGAAATTGGGTGTATTGACACTGGGTGCATATAGGTTGATAATTGTTACTTCCTTTTGGTCTATTTCCTCTTGGTGTTTTTTTAATGGCGCTAATCTAACAACCATAACTTCCTTGGCCTCAACTCTTTATATACTCCTTTTTCTCAGAAAACTGAAAGGGTTTTGTTATTATTATTATTATTTGTGCTCAGCTTTTGCTCCTGATTCCCACTGTAAGCCTGAGGAAAAGCAACTAGCAATAACCATGCAACAGTCTGACTGCTGGGCTGCCTTCAAACTTCCTCACCAAATTAGTCTGTCACCTTTGAATTCAGCCTCCCATAAAGTCTCAGCGCTTGGCAAAATGTAGATAAGTTCCTTGCTACAATGACATTAATGACCTCTGGTCCAACTTCCAGTAGAGCCCCCATTCCCATCTGAAACCTCATGATCACAGTCTTCACTGTCTGCAGTCCTCTCGGCATTCTGGTCTTCTACCAGAACCGCCCAGTAAGCTCTGCTTACAACATTCTAGGCTTTCTCTAACGTGCATCTCCAGACTTCCCCAAATTCCTCTCACAAGCCAATTCCAAAGGCTTCTGAACCACTTGGTCAGGCAGTCACAGTGACAACCCACTCTCACTGCTAGTCAGAATTTGTCACTGTAACAAAACAGCTGACATAAACAATTTAAGGGAGGAATAGATTTATTTGACATGGTGTCAGTCCATCATGGCAGGATGGCATAGTGGAGCATTGTGGCCAGAAAGGAAGAAAGGAGAGAGAGAGAGAGAGAGAGAGAGAAATTCCCAAATGCCCAAAATGGTGGGATTGGCCTTTCTATTTTTCCCTCTTTTATTCCATCCAGGACCCCCAGCCTATGGGATTGTGCCACCCACATTCAGGGCAGGTCTCTGCCTCAGTTAATCCTCTCTGGAAACCCCTCGCAGACACACCCAGAAGTGTGCTTTATGATTTTCCTAGGCACTTCTGAATCCAATCAAGCTGGCCATCAATCATAACCATCACACTGACCCTGCCTTTCAGGTGATCCAGGGAGTGTGGGAGCCTCTGGCTTGCTGAAGCCTTGCATCCTTGTTCTTTCAGAGCCCTTCCCCTGTGGGAAGCTTACTGTGGGACGCAGCAAAAGGTCAGCACCCCAGACCACCAATAGCACTGATGCTGTCCCCACCTGGAATATCTTGGATGACCTGCCTCCCACTGAGAACCCTATGGACCTGCTCAACCTCAACCAGCAGAACCTGACGGACCAGGAGAAGGAGAGCAGGGACCTTGGCCGGATTGTGGGTGGCCGGGACTGCAAAAACGGCGAGTGTCCCTGGCAGGTAATTGGCCTAAGTCACACTGCACTGGTTGCAATAGGACCAATCTGCTTGGTTCTGCTCAATACCTGGACCCTCTAGGAACTGGCAACCCAATCAGGTATAGGTTGGTGTTAGGACAGAGGTCTCCGCCCCCCAGCACATCTGTGTGTCCCCTCCCCCTGGACCTGAAGCCTCTAGGAGGCTGTGAGCACTGCCACCCTGCCCCTAGCTAGCATTTCTCACCACTACTGGACCGCATGTCCCAGGAAGGACAA